GCTCCCTCAGGCTAGAACACTGTGGTATCGTGTGCTTCACAAGAAACTGCCCACTGCGTCCGAACTTTTCAAGATTGGTACTGTCTCTACTCCTGTCTGTCGGCTGTGCAAATCACAACCGGAATCGTATGATCATTTCATAGCCCACTGCTCTACCAATGGAGTGTTTGGTTGGAAATACTGAACTGCTACTACCCTCTGGTATACTTTACTCCGTCCTCCCTCCACAAGGTCCTCACTCTTCAAGCCTTTCCTCCTGCCATTACAAACCGCTCCAAACTTGTATCCATCGTTGCGATAGCTCAATGGAATATCTGGAAATCCTATTGGAACCTGATTCTTAACCAGGTTGCTTTTGAACATTCTTGTATCATTTCAGATACAATTTACCAGGTAGCCTTAGCTACAAAAAATCACTCCTTGCTAAAATAGTCCTGATCATTGTATGATCTTTACTTCGTCTTTCTTTACTCCTGTTTTTTGACGTCCCACCTCTCTGCGATGTGTGACTAATCAATAATACTGTAAATAAAATCCAACTACAAAAAAAAATTAAGAGCATCTCAATTATCAAAAAAAAAAAAACTATTAATTCATTGTTCTATATGTCATTCAATGTAGTTTTTGAAAATGATTTCAACTTTTACATTCTTCTATTCTTGAGACCAATCAATCTTTTCTTTCTCCTCGCCTAATAAAATACAAGGGCTATGGTGCTCTATAAGTATGAGTATTTCGTTAATTCTTTTTTTTTTTTTTTTTTTTTTTTTTTTTTTTTTTTTGCTAATAGCTTTTATGTTTTCACAATTGAGAGGAAATATTCTCATCAGAATCAGTGACGGTTTTCATCATAACGACTACAACATCTCTTTCTTTTGTGTTTTCTATATTTAATGAGTCAATACTAACTGAAATTTAATTATCTCGTTTATTTCCGATTCGACACCTTCATCTATAGGCACTGGAGCATTTGACATACTGATTGATTTTAAGGCATGAGTTTTCATTGGTATAATTTATAGATATATTTGTATTTTTATCTTTGGTGTTCTATCATATTTTATGATTTTCGATACAAAGTGGTTATGTAACTTGGAATTTGATAAAATATTTCTAAAATCATTATCTATCAAACCTAAGGAATTAGCAGCAATTGTTAGCATTTTCTCAGTATTTTTATTACTGATACTATCTTTTATATCCAGAATAGTGATCTTCTTCTAATATACTTGGATTCTTACTACAAATAGAATCTGTATTCGAATTTACATATTCATCTACTTTCTATTTATTTTGTTTTGAATCATCTAAGTCATTTGCATTTTTCTCTTGAGTTTATGTTAATTTTATGTTAGTTTTATTTTAACTTCTTTATGTTGATTTTTTGGCAATAATTACATTTGTACGAACAAAACTACCTGTGTTGCTTCTGATGAACTCATGTCACTTGCTGCAGACGTGATTTTTTTTTGTTCATCTTGTTCTTTTCATCGAGTGGCCTTCAAGTCCTTAGAAGCAAAATGATTAAAGTTGCTTTGGAAAAGAATCAAGAGAAATTCACTTAGGTATTAGATACCCATTTCCTTTGCCTTTCCCGTAAAGAAAGCACTCTATCTACTCTAATGTTCTCTCTAAAAAGCAGCCACTTTCGCGCGAATGATGCTCATTTCTGAAATAGAAAAAGTAATTGTAATCGCTTTATTGAGAAAAAGAAAAGAAATGATTTATCAAAATTATGTTCAATTGATCAGTTTATAGCAACAAATAGGTTTTTTATTGTTATTTATCATACAAAAAACCAGTAATTCGTCATATGCATACAAAGATAAAAAAAAGAAGGATATTGTAAAAAAAAAAAATTGAGAAGAGTTGGCATACTTCAACACTTGTAGCCATTGTATTTTCAAAATCTACCCATGCATGCTCCTTTTTGGAGTGGATGGTATTCCCTTTTTATAAACTCTCTCTTGATATAGTCATTTGACCAGATTTAATGTATCATAGAATTTCTCAACACTTTGGCACTTTATGAGCAACTATTCTGTTTTCTGGTTTAAACAAATCAAGTATTTTTTTTGTCAAGGTGTTCTAGTCAAATAAGCTACTTGATGGTACATACCTTATTTATATAGCAAAGACTCTATGCAAATAGATGCTTCAACAGAAATGACAACATTTCACACAAATCTTCCTCTTTTCCTCGATAAACGAAGATAACATAAAGCCTGGTCTATACACACATTAAATCTTTTTTTTTTGTAAGGGAGACTTGCTCCAATTTTATTTAAAGTCCTTTAGACGTCAAAAGAGTGGAAGAAAAGACTGAGGTATTATAAGAACTAGACTAAGGAAAGGGAAATGAGCCTGTGGTAGAAGAAATTGAGAAAAGAATAAGAGTTTAAGAGAGCTTGATAGATACTTGAAATGGAGAGAACATCATGAGTAGTGAGAGAAGAACTGGAAAGGAAAGCGGAGGAGAGAATTTACGGTTCATAATCAAGGCGGGATTCATCATGCAGCTTATTTGCTAAGCGGAAAACTGGCTTGGTTATAGTTTTGGAGAGGAATGGGTTTTCAGAAAAAACAGATTGCCAGTGAGCTTGCCAGAGGGCTAGAGCAGTGCATGCAAAGATTTGGAAGATACTTAAGGAAGGAAAATGGAGGAGAGAAACACGAGGGATAACAACCCGAAGGAGGAGGACTTGACGTAGGAGATTGACCGAAGGTGCACGGATGTTGGGATTAATGCACTTGGAGAAGACATGAGACCAAACAGCATACTTGGTAGGGCAGAGGAAATAAAAGTGATCAAGGGTATCAATGGAAGTAATGAGATTTGAAGGACAGTGGATACAAAAGTTACTAGGAACTGTATGGGGCATAAGACGATGTAGGTGAAAGCGGTTGTTGACTTTGTTGTGAAGCATCCTGTAGAGGACATCTTTGAAAACTTTGAGAACCCGCTCGACGATATGATCACTCTGGCTGTTTGGACTGCATCGTCTTTTTCAACTTGTCATGCAAACTATGTCGTTAGTAGATGTTTGAATGATTTTATATAGTTTTTGGGATATGGAAGAACGTAGGAAAGCAGAAATACAGACATCTTATAATGTAAATGTGGAGTAAATGAACATAGGACATACAGAATGGCCATGATGCGAAGGTTGAAATGAGAAAGTCCAATTCTTTAGGAATGCTAGGGAATTGTTAAGCCTGATTTACAGTTTGACATAACCCATTTTTGAGTAAGTCTTTTTTTTTCATCTGTTTATTGCACAAACACACACATACACACACACGAACATACAAGAAAGCATTCATATTGTTTAATACCATTTCTATAATTTTCTATTATTACTGTTTAGCCCTGAATTTCATCAGAGCATTCTGAAAGTGGTAAAAGGTACATATTTCTTAAACATCCTTGAAGCATGTACTGCATATGGCCAATACTATTGCCGGGCGATTTATTTTCCAGGATGTTTACTTTTTACTGTAGCCAGGTCATCCGTATCCAATTGATATTGCATCAAAAAGCCATTATTGGTCGCTCTCAACACACTTGTACAATGCATAAATATAATCGGCTGTGATCACAGCAATTGTTTTTCTAGATAAAATAAAGTTGCTAATCAAGCATATCCAGTTGACAAGAACGTGCAGCTCGGCCAAATTATATACATGTGTGACCATACACACGTCTAAAAATCGCTCGCTCTTTAGATAAATCGGGTCTTTTTTTTCTAAATTCTATAAATTAATGTCTTGTTCAACCATACCTTTTGATTTGTGCTTTACATAGAAAATAATTCTGTTTAAGTAAATATTTGTTATGCACAAAAAGACAAAGTGCTTTATCATTAGCAACTCATTCATTGAGACGATCTTTTTCAAGTATGTCAGCGAATAAATTAAGAAAAGCTATGGATTCAAGATAGATGATTGAAGAAATGACTTATTCAAACTACCTCTACAATACTTGCAGTACCAAACCATTAATTAAATCTGTAAATGATTTTTTGATTAGTATCCTAGTTGAGAACTCTGATTTTCTTTAGTTTTATTTTTATCTTTTTAGTGTAATTCAGAACGGCAACATAAAGTTAAGAGATAAGCAGTTATTCAAAAGACTTTACTTGGATATCTGCATATCAAATGCATGCTTATCAAGCAGTCATTGCATTTGTGATATTATAAATGAAACAGCTTAGCAAATTTTTTTGCAATTCCATGACACGTTTGAATTTACTATAGCTTTAGAAGGAACAAGTGTAATTGGAAATCTCTCAGATTCACAGAGTCTTGTTATTCAACAATACATATACTTGCAACACAATATTCTGGAAGTTTGTTTTACAAATCCCAGACAGTGGTACAGTCCAATTTATTGAGTAACCTCTCTTGCATAACGTTTGAGCCTGTATTTGGTAAAAAAAAAAAAAAAAAAAAAAAAAAAAAAAAAAAACCTTCTAGGGATAGTCTATACTGGTTACTGCTGATGAGCTTATGCTGCCTTAAACTGAACAGCATCGATAATGACATAAGTATACGCTTTATAGAGGATACATGCCATTGACTCATTGTTGCTTAGACGCATTGTCATATTTCTAAATCAATCTGAAACTATCTAATAAATAAATGCAATTGTTTTACATATGACTAAGATAAATATGCTTGATTATCTAAAGGTCAAATGTCTGACAGACATACGCAACTCAGCATGTCTCAATATGATTTGAGACACATGAATGCTAGCGATCAGGGCTCACTAAAATCAATAGGATTCAAAGCATTTCTGCTACTCATAGACTTGTGTCTTGGAATTGTTGTTACTTTGTTATTTGATCATGAATATATGCACCAATATGCTAATAAGTCGGTAGCCGCATCCCATGGTCAATTACGACTTGATCGTACAAGCAAATCTCGATAGCCATTTTCTTTTATCTTGTGTACTCAGCTTGTTCCATCATGTAACTTTATTTCCTGGTTTACAGGCTCGACTTGCTTTTTTTATACTCAATAGACTATAAATGGTAGTATTGGATGAAAAAAGCAATTGAATTGCTTGACATTTTTCATATAAAAAGAGACAGCGTTTCAAAGGATTTGTTACTTCATTCAAACAATAGTTCTTTCCTTTTTCAAAAATGAAGTTTTCTCTTGTCTCCTCTTGTGTCGCTCTCGTTGTGATGGCCATGGCAGCCGAAGCTGCTCCTTCTGGCAAGAAGCTTACCATTCCTTTGAGCAAAAACGAAAACTACAAGCCCAATGCTAAGGCTGCTCTCGCCAAAGCAAAGGCCAAGTACCTCAAGCATGTTATTAACCCTCTTCACGGTGTTCCTTCCAATGTCACTACAGATGGTACTGGTACTGTTCCTGTCACTGACTACGGAAATGATGTTGAATACTATGGTGTTGTTGGTATTGGTACTCCTGAACAAAAGTTCAAGTTGGATTTCGATACTGGTTCCAGTGATCTCTGGGTTGGTAAGTCTTTGTTTTTTTTGAAATACAATCTAGGCACCGAAACTTATTGTTTAATGTATAGCCTCTACCTTGTGTTCTTCTTGTACCAACCAAAACCGTTACAACCCCAGCAAATCCAGCACCTACCAAGCTGATGGTCGTTCTTGGTCTATCTCTTACGGTGATGGTTCTACTGCTAATGGTATTCTCGGTACTGACACTGTCAACTTGGGTGGTCTCAAGATCCAAGATCAAACAATCGAGTTGGCCAGAAGAGAATCTAGCTCTTTCTCCTCAGGTCCCAGCGATGGTCTCTTGGGTCTCGGTTTCGACTCTATCACTACTGTCAGTGGTATCAAGACTCCTGTTGACAACTTGATCAGCCAAGGTTTGATCTCTTCCCCTGTCTTTGGTGTTTACCTCGGTAAGGCCTCCAATGGCGGCGGTGGTGAATATGTCTTTGGTGGCTACGATTCTTCTAAATTCAGCGGTGCTTTGAAGACTGTCCCTGTCAGCAAGTCTCGAGGTTACTGGGGCATTACTATTGGCGGTCTCTCTGCTGGCGGTAGAACCGTCGCTAGATCTTTCTCTGGTATTCTCGACACTGGTACTACTCTTTTGCTCTTGACCGACTCTGTTGCTGATGCTGTTGCTTCTGCCTATGGTGCTACTGAAAACAGCGATGGTACCTATCTCATTGACTGTGACACCTCTAGCTTCTCTCCTCTTGTCTTCACTATTAACGGTGCCACTTTCAAGATCCCTGCTTCTGACTTGGTCTTTGAAGATGATGGTAGCTACTGTTTCGCCTCCTTTGCCAAGGGTGGTCTCAGCTTTGCTATTTTGGGTGATACCTTCTTGAAGAACAACTATGTTGTCTTTAACCAACAAGTTCCTAGCGTTCAAATTGCTCAAATCTAATAACTTGTTTATTCACTTATTTATTTGATAATGCGATACAATAAAACCGTATTTGCCATATTTAAAAAATGATCAGGTCAATTTTATCCAGGTGGAAGATGTGTAGGGTCAACGGTATCATTTGTTTCTTGTTCTTCTTCTGACATTGCATGCTTAGTTTGTGGTCCAAAATGGTCATGTAAAGGAGACCGAGGCATTGCCATAACACCTAGAAAAAAGGGGTTCGAGTTCATGAGTAAATAAGCATTCTATTTACCTGTTCTTGCTGCCTCAATAATCCCAAAAGGCTTGCAGAGTCGCATAAAAGACGTAATACGTTCTGGTTTGGCACATAACTGAACAATCACTGAATCAGAAGATACGTCCAGAATTTTACCATGAAACAAGCGTGTCAATTCAGCAAGGGCACGTAAATGATGGAATGTATTTCGAAGTGTTATGTTGGGAGATTCCTAGATAGAACACAAGTGAATATAAATAAATAAATATATATATATATACATGGACTGTTTTATATCTTTACCTCATTGTTTGCTTTCAAATGTGTGTCTAAAACCTCAACTTTCTGCTCATTTAGTTTTGCAGTAGGCAATTGCTCATGAAGATGCTCTGGGCCTAGAATAGATATTTTGATCATCAATAATTCACGCTCAACCAGTTTTGTATGCGAATAATCCAACACCGCCCATACTTGAACCTATCGTATGATCAACATTCAGGCATTTATTTCTCACATACCAAATCTTCCAACTGTCTTCTAGCTTGTTCCATTTGCATGTCTGTTCCTTTTAGTACAATAGTCATTCGACCCAAGTCTTCCACTTCTGTCTTGGCGACCACTAAGGATTCTATATTAAAGTTTCTGCTGGCCAAAACACCTGAGAGTCGACTCAACACACCTGGTTCATTATGTACCAAGCAGTTGAGCACATGACGTGTTGGCCTCTGCTTGTCTTCTTCGGGTGTGTTGTAAAGAATGTTATAGACAGCGTCTTGAACAGAAGAAGGGCGATAACCAGATGTGAGTCCGACTCTTTTTTGGCGTTGATGGTTCTTAAAAGATGAATAGACACGCTTTTGTCTAGCTAGATTTGCCTATTTCAAACATGATTGGTATTTGCGTTTGTCTGTCCACTTACGAATATGTTTTGAAAAACTGGTTTTAACATGAAAAGAAAAGAAAAGAAAAGAATTATTTTTGAAACCTCTAAGACAGTGTATGATAACAAGGCGTCTCAACTCAGACATCTGTTTAGCCGCATTGAGAGTCATGTTATGCACCTAGAGTAGATGAAGGTTTATGTCATCTAAATAAATGATATACATTCTATTATATATATATATAGACATACAACTTGCTTTTTGTCAAAATTCATGCTGTCTGTCAAAACGTAGATCAGATAAAGGTGTGACTTGCCTACGACTGCTTTTCTATATGAAAAAAAAAATCAGAAAAAAAAAGGCACCCTTTTCAAACTTTTAGATCAAGATGAGCGATGATTTTGTAATGACTATTGACGATGACGACCAAGTCGTTATCGAAGAAGAAGAAGTGACGCAACTATCCGAGGCAGAACAAGAAAAGCCTGTGGATAAAAAAGCAGCCAAAAAATTAAAGAAGCAAAAGCAAAAAGAGAAAGCAAAGACCGAGAAACAAGAAGAAGAATTTGATACTGAATTCACATTTTCCATGGATGGTGGAGGAAGACACACCCATAAAGATTGGGACTTTAGTGCTGCTCGAGACATGTTGAAATCAAAACAACAAGTGGAGCGTACTGATATTGATGAAATTATTGCTAAAAAGAGACAAGAAGCAAAGGATGCTAAGAAGGCTAAAAAACAACAACAAGAAGAAGAAAAAGAAGAAGACGAAGAAGAAGTTGTAGCTGAAGAAACAGACGACGATGATGATGATGATTTGGCATTAGATGGTTTTGGTGCTGGTGCCGAAAGAATTGAACCCGAAGAAGAAGAAGAAGATAGTGACAGTGATACTTCCGAAGATGAAGATGAAGAAGTAGAAGATGTCAATGTAGATAGTGATCAAGAAGCAGAAGAAGATGAAGAAGAGAAAAAGGTAATACATATATATATATATTTGCGGCTATTGTTTATTCACCTATGGTAGCGTAAACAAGCATATTTTGCAGATGAATCCGAGACAGTAACAGAAGAACATCAATCATTTGCTTCTATGAACTTGTCTCGTCCTATTCTTAAGGGTTTATCTAATGTTGGTTTCATTAAGCCTACAGATATTCAATCACGTACGATTCCTGTTGCATTGATGGGTAAAGATATCTGTGGTGGTGCTGTCACAGGTTCTGGTAAGACAGCTGCTTTCATCGTGCCTATTCTGGAACGTCTTCTCTATCGACCCAGACAGACACCTACCACCCGTGTCTTGATTCTCTGTCCTACCCGTGAATTGGCCGCTCAAGTACACAGTGTGGCTGTCAAACTTGCTAATTTTACAGATATTACCTTCTGTCTCTGTGTGGGTGGTCTCAGTGTTAAGACACAAGAACAAGAACTCAAATTGAAGCCTGATGTAGTGGTAGCCACACCAGGTCGTTTGATTGACCATGTACGCAACTCAACTGGTTTCCATCTAGATGCTTGCGAAATTCTCGTGATGGACGAAGCTGATCGTATGCTGGAAGACGGTTTTGCAGACGAATTAGACGAGATCATCAAGTCCTGTCCTCGTTCAAGACAGACCATGTTGTTCTCTGCTACCATGACAGACAATGTGGATCAATTGGTTCGTATGTCACTCAATAATCCAGTCCGTTTGTTTATCGACAAGAATAATCAAGCTGCTTCCCGTTTGGTTCAAGAGTTTGTTCGTATCCGTCAAACCCGTGAATCTGATCGTTCTGCTGTCTTGTTGGCCTTGTGTCGCAAGACCTTCAAGAACAAAGTGATTGTGTTCTTCCGTTCCAAAGCTGCTGCTCATCAGATGAAGATCTTGTTTGGTCTCATGGGTCTTTCTGCTGCTGAATTGCATGGTAATTTGACGCAAGAACAACGTCTGGAAGCATTGGAGCGATTCAGAGATAATGAAGTCGACTTTTTGTTGGCTACAGATTTAGCTGCTCGTGGTCTGGATATCAAAGGGATTGAGACCGTCATTAATTACAACATGCCTACCCAGTTTGCTCAATACTTGCATCGTGTGGGGCGTACAGCCAGAGCAGGTCGTAATGGTCGTTCTGTCACATTAGTAGGTGAAGCAGATCGTAAGATGCTCAAAATGGCTATCAAATCAGCCCAAGGTTCTCAAGTCAAGAACCGTGTGGTCAATCATGACTTGATTCAAAAATACAAGCAAAAAGTAGAGAGTTTATCTGATCAAATCAAGGAAGTGTTGGCTGAAGAAAAAGAAGAAAAAGCACTTAGAAATGCTGAAATGCAATTGAAAAAGAGTGAAAACATGCTGCTTCATTCAGACGAAATTTATGCCCGACCTGCTCGAACATGGTTCCAAACAGGCTCAGAGAAGAAAAAGGCTCAAAAGACAAGTAAAGCTGAACATCTTGCTAAATATGGTGTGACTGAAGAAAAACCTGTCAAGAAAGAAAAGAAGGACAAATATGCTGGTATGAGTCGTCATAAGCGAAGAAGATTGCAGGCCATGGAAGAAGATGATGAAGACAGTGGTCGACTTCAAAAAGTAGCTGCCAGAGCAGCCAAGAAGTCTTCACGACCTGCTCCTATCAAAAAAATGAGAAAATAAATAATTTCCTTTTTTGAATTCGATTTGACATTTTTATGCCAGGATACACATCATTTCGATTTTTTGTTGGCTTTTATTAGGATTCCAAAACTTTATAACATCCTGTGTGATGATGATAATGATTACTGTTCTCAATGAGCAGCATGAGATTCAGACTTGACGTTATAACCAATCAAGTTTCTACGGCCAACGATTTCACCAATAAGGAAGAAGGTATAGATTTCAGCAAGAACAACAGAGCCCTTGGCAACATCAGAGAAAGTCAAGTTCTTGAGGTTTTTGATTTTGAGAGCATTTTGAAGGGTGTTGGTGGCTTCAGTGAATTGTGCGCCAGTAGGGAAAGCCATGCCTTCCTTAACATAGACTTGTTTAGCGACTTCGACAGCAACCTTAGCGTTGTAGACAACAGGCTTTTGGAGAGCTATACGTTTTATGTTATTGACAGCAATAAAGTCGTGTACTTACCAATAAGCTTATGAAGGTAAGTTTGGGCGGAACCGACAATCTTGGAAGCCATCTTTAATGAAAATTTTAGTGAAAGAAAGAAAAGGGGGAATGCAAGCGTCTGTTCAATGGGAGGGGGTAGCTGACTATGAAAATAAGAAAAAGATTTTTTTTCTTTTTTTGCTCAATGTGACGTGAACGTTTATTTGTTTATTTTTCTTTTCTCTCTCATTTTTTTTCTTTTCTTTTTCTGCTCCAAGTTGTATGAGAAGCATTTGTAGTAAAATCTATAAAAGCAAAGATCAAAATGTGTTTGTTGAAGCCGACCCTTTTTTTTTCGAGTCTATGGATCATGTCCATTTGTAGATAAGGCGTTTCTCCCAGTATTTAAAAGGAACGCATTCCGCCCAAGGACGATTGGCTTAAATGATTGACGTCATTTAACAGGGCTTTCTGATTTGTTTGTTTGTTCAATTTTCTCTTTTTCTTTACTACTATGTTTACCCTTCTCAAGAACAATTTGTATCCTGCTATTGCCCTTATAATTATTCCCTGTGGCTATTACATTGGCACAGAATTAAGAGAACGCAATGATGCTAAAAAGATAATTCAACAATCAGTAGATCAAGAAGCCCTTAGACAACAATTAGAGGCCCTTAAAGAAGAACGTGAACTAGTGTTAAATAAACTTAAAAAGCAATAGACTCCCCTCTCTCTCTTCTCATATGATACAAAACTGTAAATAAACAAATACCCCCCTCTTTTGTTTTTAATGATTTCATTTGAATCAATAATAAGCTTCTAAATCAATGATTTTGGCCGTTTATTTGTTTGTCTTGTACTCCTTTTCTTTCCCTCCCTCTCTCTCTCTCTCTCTCTCTCTCTCTCTTTTTTTTTTTTTTTTCCCTCTCTTTTATCATGCTGAAACAATCTTATAACACTTATTACTATACTACACCTTCACGTACACATAACAGTCATAGTGTGCATTTATATGACAGAGCGAGACAAGACTTGTTTGATAATGATCTGTATAGAGACACTGTCCCATCTATCACAACCATTTGCTTACTGCAGATTCAGGCCAGTATTATTCAAGTATTGGCTTATTTACCCTATTCGTCCAGTTGGTCATTACAGACTATCCTAAAGCAATGCCTGCGATGGACATTACTGATTGGACTCCTCTTGCTTGATAATATAGCACGCGTCCTGAATGTAGATACAGAAATGATGGCACTAAGGAGCAACAACGATTATTATCATGGTCAATGCATTCAAGAATCAAGCGGAAATCCGGAACCTTCTTCACCGACGCTTGTCAAACGTACTGTGGCACCTGCTTCTCCCATCCCCACCTATTTTCCCAAAACATCTCGTAAAGCGTCTACCAACCCTCCCTCCCCTATTACACTGACTGCTGCTGAAACACGATCACGTGCCAGTCGTACTCCAGGTCATGTTCGTTCCTTATCAAATACAATGATGGATAAAAAGCTGCGTCGTGTTACAGCACAACGTGAAATCACAGTCCAAAATGCAATTTTGCCTAAAGCCAACAAGAAATCAGACTCAGCTCGGTCTGATTCGTCTGAATCTCCAGTGAACGATCGGCCCAGAATGCAAAAGACGATGAGTTTATCGACTGCTCAACAATACCATAAACAAGTAGAGGTAATAATCAAACAAGCATCTGCATGTTGAATGAGAACTAACAATCCCAAGTTAAATAGCACAAAAGCTCAAGATACTCTTTTCATGAACCTAAAAAACCCTATGAAAGGTGCTGTCCAGCCTGTGCTACACACCACTAAATTGAAAAGCAGCCCTTCACTTGTACCTTGGAAATAAAGTTCATGTTCTCCTTACAAATGTTTTTTTTTTGTTTTTCTCTTTTATTTTATTTCATTTTATTATGTTGTCTCAACATACAATTGAATCTGTCTGGAACGCATTCAAGACAAAGCGTTCAAATGCAGACTTATTTACCACAGACGCTGTGGTCATGTTTGTACCATCTTCAGTAGGAGCAAGAGGCAATGAACACATTCGTCGATTCTTTTTACACCCACAGTTCTCTGATAAAGTGACACTTGTACAAGAGACAGTCTGTCATACAGTCGCATCCAACTTTAGATTGATAGAAGAAGTGGTTTGGTCTGTTCAGTTTTTTACAGATGAATGTCAATGGCTTGTACCTGGGATTGAAGATCGTTATTTGGTAAGACATGTAAGTCATTATTTCTGTAACACCCTGTTTTAGATGAATGCAGCTATCAAGTTTCCTGTGGTAAGTAAACCAAAAAAAAAAAGGAGTGGCTATTTGATGCTAGTTAGACCATTTCAGCTTCTTTTGATCCAGCACAGTTAAGAATAGAGAGTATTCGGTATTCTTGGGATCAAGCATGTGTATTGAAACAAATTCGAGTAATTTCAGATAAAGTAAAATGGCCTATTGTAGCAGAACAACAAGTAGATACACTCCAATGTCCTGATAGTGTTCGACTGATTGGTTTAGATGGTCAACCCATTGACCCTAAAAAAGTAAGTTGGATTCAACTGTTTATACACTTTATTCAAGATGGTTTAGGTCAAACAACAACAACAACAACAACAACATTATAGTAAGGCGTAAAACTCTAAATAAGAAACAAATATTGACTTGTTCTAGTGCCAGGTAGAATATTTGGACCTGTTGATCCTAAAGATCAAGTATCTAGACCTGTACGTCACCCTGAACCTAATGGGCCTCCTAATCGAAACATTTTTACTTATGAGCCACCTGCTGAAAGACGCCTTGTTGCCTCCTCAAACAAACTAGACGCACAATTCTCATTTGCACATCACACGGCAAGATAATTTTATTCAATAATAAATTAAGGACCAGCACTTGGTTCAGAGCTTAATAGGATTTCAGCAGCACGGTTCAAGTCTGACTTGGCACGCGTGAGTGCTCTTTCGATATCTTGTCTAGAATAGTTGGGAAACATAGCAAACATGGTATCAATATCTTGTTGTTGAATCACAGGTGTTGCTACTTGTGTATAGGACTGCTTCTTTGTAGTACTGAGAAGGGGCATCATATAATTGGATGTCCATGATCGAATCCATGCAGGAAATCGCCATTGTTGAATTGATTTTGTATGGTAATATAGTTTACCAATCACTAATCCACATAATGAGGGAATAGCAGATGCTGATGTATTGGACAATAGAAGCTATATATGCATGTCAATGTCTTGTATCCCCTCCCTTTTATATATATATATCTTACTTGAATAGCAGCAGCATAGACATAGATTTTATCTGTCACTTGAATACCAAGTATGCTTGTTTGATAGGTAGCAGGAACAATTTTATGGAATTGGTATAGAATAGAGAACAGAATAGCATAGCTTTGTTTATCGTGTCAGTATCTTTCTACTGGTTTTGTGTTTTGTGACTTACGGTCCACTCTCAATTGATTTCAATCCAAAGGGTGAGCCAATAAACAATACACTTGTTTGAATGAGAGTAGATGCTACAAAAGTAACAAACACAAGAGCCTAAAGGTATATACATATTTAAAAAAAAAATGCCACATTCCCCTATAGAATATAAACTGATACTTACTGCATATTTAGCACTACCATATCTTCTTTCTACAATCTTAAGTCGATAAATCAACCAAGTACCAATCACACTTGTTCCAATACTACTAAAAGCCCAATGATAAGTGAAAAGACGCCACAACTATTCAAGTTCATCATAAGACAGAGAGAGAGAGAGAGAGAGAGAGAGAGAGAGAGATGGGTTAACATACCTGTTTATGCTCAGTCAAGTGTGCCATTTCAAGTGACATGGCAGGCTTCAAGCTAAATACGGCAGCAAGTGCTGAACTAGCGCCTACAATAGGCACTAAGAACTTAGTCATAGGCGCATAACGAAAGCCTATTCAGGTGTTAAAGAACATTTGTTGTTGTTCTCTTTACCTGAGGGTCCATCTACGTCCATTGTAACAAGCTAAGAAAAGAATTTATTTATTTTTTACCAAAAGTGAAATCATTATTTTTAAACATAAAAGTGACTCATGCAAGAATGACTCTTGAATCTCCGAGTATACTAATCATTTCTATAACTATAGAGTGAAGAGATACTTGAAGAGACTAGAAATTACTTCTTAAGGCTTACTATGAATGACTGTATGATATCGTTCTGTACAGTCACACTGTAGCCTCACGTGAACAAGAATTCGAATTAAATATCAGCTCCTTCTTTTCTTTTCTTTCTTTCTTTCTTTCTTCTTTATCATATATGTCTAGTTATAACTATATTATTAAAGTAAGTAGGATTATATCATACGTTTACTCTAATGATTTGACTAGTACATTATTGTTGGTGATTCTGGTAAGCTATAGGATGATGTTATCTATGCATTTCTTATTCATACTTCAATAGGTGTAGGAAAGGTAAAACTATTGAATATCCATAGCTGTATTTAAACCATCACATAGTCTTGTCTATTGCTTCAATTTACAGACAAACGATTTTATGCTGGACGCGAATTAACCATAGGGTAAAGAAAAGATAAAAGTATGTACAAGATAAATAACATATTCTCTCAGTGTCGAATTTGGTACTCGATTCCTTACATTGCATGATGGAAAGCAAATCAAATTACAGATATGGGACACAGTAAGCAAAAAAATAGAGTAGAATTGCACTATTTAACATGTAGGCTGGACAAGAAAGCTTTCGAAGTATCACACAGAGTTATTATCGAGGAGCAGCAGGTGCATTGTTGGTCTATGATATCTCTAGAAGAGAAACATTTGAACATGTATCGACATGGTTAGCAGGTACGTCTAGTCTAATTCAACCCCAACACATGAACTCATCCTTAGTTTAGATATTCGAACACACGCAAACCCACATACAACCATTGTCTTGGTAGGTAATAAATGTGATCTGGATGATCGCCAGAGACAAGTGACTTTTGAAGAAGGCGAGAAATTCGCTCAAGAGAACGGCATCCCACTCTTTATTGAGACCTCAGCTAAATCAGCTGAAAATGTTGAAAATGTCTTTGCTCAAACAGCCGAGAATGTGTATGAAAAGATTCAATCAGGCGTATTCTCACCTAATGAAGTATGTGTTTTGGAAGTTTATTGACATGATCTGATCTTTTGTATAGACATCAGGTATACGATTAGGCCATACACAGAGTGCATTGGCTGAAGAAACACAAGGAGGGTGTTGTTAAACTCTCTTTAAGCGTGCTAATGTTTCCATTGTAATGAGCCGAATACCATCATTAGCATTCAATTGTCCTGCCATTTTTACCAAATCATCGATACGCACAAAGGCATGTGTGATCTAAATGCGATGAGTAACAACTTAATAAAGTATATCCATACTTACTGAAGCATAAACTACTTTGTCCTTGGTTGTGTCTAATTCAATATGTAGTGTGTTATGGATAGGTGGTTGATAGACAATATCTAAAGAAGAACTAGAGGCAAACTCGATTTTTTGAATACCAAACAAATGATTACACATGTCAATATGCATTTGATATTCTTCGTATTCTTTATCAATTCTTGGGTCTCCTTGTCTGTTCTGTCGAAGTGCATAGGCTGCTTTAGATTCCAGTGCATCTGCTTTTGACTTGAGCTGTTTGACTTCTTCGACTAAATCATCTACTTTCCATTGCTCTTCTGTAATTATGTCTTGCTTTTGATCAATCTGTGCTTGTATGTCTGTGATTTGTTGTCTGTTCTTTTCTACAAGCAATGTTGCTTCTGCAATCGTCAGTCCACTTGAATGACCCAATAACTGGTTGAGTCTGTCTATTTGTTCTTGCATGACATTGATTTCGTCTAATACATGAATAGTATCATTGGCTACTTCAAATGCACTGGATCGAGCTAACCTTGGCTTTAGAGAAAACAACTTGATTCATACATACATATATACTTACATTCTTGTATGGATTCTGCTTTAAATCGAATATCTTGTAATAACTTTTTAACAAGTTGAATGCGACCATTTAATTCAACTTGAGCAAACTGTTCTTCTTGTTCTGTAGAGTGCAGGTCGGTAATCTCGAGTGGTGGTTCTTGTAAAAGATACTGTACGAATTTCTCTTTTGTCAAGAGTTGTTCATATGTTGTCTGTAATTGATCGAGATGACCCTATAGTAAACTAATGAGTATCCTATACGTGTTAAGTTTCATTACTTTAAGATCCTCGAGTTCTGCTTCAAGTGCTTTTGGATGAAATGGTAAATTACGACGTGTGTTACCAACCAATCCTACTTGATGTTTAAATGCATCTACTTGATGATCTATATTAAGTTTGGTTGCTTTGAATTCAGTGATGCGACTATAAAAACAAGTGTTATTACATGGTTTGATCCTTGTTTGTCTTACTCTGATAAGTCATTCAGACTTTCAGGTCTTGTAATGATGGATGCCATGAGAAAACAAAAAAAAAGAAAAAAGAAAAAAATAGAAAAAAAAAAGACGTGTTTTTTTTATTGTTGTTATTAGGATAAAGCTGCTTAGACAACAGTACCAGAAGCAGAGGCAATACGAGGCCACAAATCAGCACATTCCTTGGCAACAGGACCAGTGATAGCACTATACAATGTGAATAACTCCTCAAAAATCAATAGAATACGTTACCTGCCCTTCATTTCACCCTTGGGGTTAACAATGACACCGGCGTTATCTTCAAAGTAGAGGAAAACACCGTCTCTACGGCGCCAGGCCTTACGTTGACGAACGACAACAGCAGCCAAAACCTTCTTTCTCAATTCAGGCTTACCCTTCTTGACAGTAGCGACAATCATGTCACCACAACCAGCAGCAGGAAGTCTGTTCAAGCGACCCTTGATGTTACGGACAGCAATGACGTACAAGTTCTTGGCACCAGAGTTATCGGCACAGTTCATGACGGCACCAACAGGCAAACCGAGAGTCATACGGTACTTGGTTCCGGAAACGCTAACTAATAAAACAATGTCAGTCGATGATGATGACCCAAGGCACCAAAAGACAAGGAAAAGATAACGAATATAACCCCTCTTTAAGCATCATTCTTTTTACTCGTTCGTTTGGTTGTGGTTTGAAAGATATCAAAAAAATGAATCAAGAAAAAAAAAAGAGTGATGGCAAGCCCTTTCCTTTTTTTTTTTCTTTTCTCCCTTTTTTAAAAGATATTATCCATCCATCCATTGTCTATCTTGTTCGTTTGTCCTTTTTGTTTGTCTTTTGTATGCCTTTTGATGATGGATACTTTACCCTTAGGCATTATACAGAAATATAGAGAGAGAGGAAGATCTAATATTGAATCGAGTTGCTCTTTTCTTTTGATTCAAGATGCACACACACACACACACACATTAACGCACACACACTCTCACACACACTCACACACACACATATATATACACATACACGCACACACGAAATTGACCGGAACTATCGGACATTTGAAATTATCGTCGGACCGAATACACCTTTTTTAGTTTTAGCCGTCATGCATAAATAGGTTATAAGAGTCAAAGGTTGCTCCCTCCTTCTACTACACCTGCCTGCTAATGGTCCGCTCTTGCCCTTAAAGACCATGTCGATTCAGTCGAAAAGCAAATACTTTTGTGACTTCTCCATATTCATTAGACATTTTACCAACTGAATGTCTGAATAGCTAGAGTCCATAGGGATATGCCTATCACTGTTTGGAAACAGGATCTTTTTTTTTTTTTTTTTTTTGGCTCTGTAGTGCTCAGTATTGATATTACCACAACCAATAACAACATTTTTAAAACTTTTCCTAACTAGCTATCGCTGGTTTAACGAGATGCATGGATTATATTCTATTAAACACAAATAAATACTTTCTCTCTTCTATACTTGGCTCTTTCCTATAATTACCCTATTTGATTTCTAAAATTTTATTTTCAATAAAGCATACAAATAGAAGCCTAATTTTGAGACCAAGAGGCATGCTTGCTTAAAGATGTTATATTCACATTCAGACGATCTTGGTGTGTGATATGCTTGAATTGAGTTTGACTTCTATCATCTTCTGGCGCATGTACTCTTATCTGTGCATGTCTTGTACAATACAATAAACATTATGTATGCATAACAGACTTTGTATACCTTATAGGACTATAGCTCTTGATAAGTCTTGAAGCCAATACTCCCAATTCATCAGAGTTAGAATGAGGAATATCTTTGTAATGGTCCTTGAGTGAGAGCAATGTCTCAATAGAATAACATTTCAAAGCAGCCTTTTGAGGATCATTGTTTTGAAGCATAGATGTATTCATATCTTGTACAGTTGTATTCTCATGCAAATTATCCAAATCTTTTGTTTAAACAAACACATACCACTGTTCCTTTTTTTTTTTTTACCTTCAGGACGAAATGCTTGCCACCTTGAATTTGCTATTTCTTCCTTTTTCATACTTTAGTTTTTTTTTAAAGAAAAGAAAAGAATACAAAAAGAAAAAAAAAGATAAATATTTATTCACTAAAATCCAGCACCAGCCATGGAAGTATTGAAATGAACAACTTGACTAATCATCATGGCATCCACACCATAGCGTTCTTGAATATAACGGTATCGAGGATCAGAATTGACTTTACCAGATGTCACAAGAATAAGGCCACTTTCTTTAGCTGTCTTGATCAGAGAAGGAACTTGAACTAGTGTTTGTGCACCACAAATGACACCTAAAAGATTGTTCTGTTTGGCAAACTTGACAGCTTCTTTTAATGAAGAACATCTCACATCTTGATGTTTATTTATTGTTTGTATGGCTAAGTCTTCTTCTTGTTCTATACGCCGTTTAGCTCCTCTGTACATATTGATCCCGCAATATGTACTGAAAAAGACAGCATCTATAAATTATATAAGCAAAAAAAAAAAAAAAAAAAAAAAAAAAAAAAAAAAAAAAAACACTTGAATTGACTTACAATTAGGCTGTTTCCAATTGACGACCATACAAATAGCTGGATTATAAGACGAAAAGAATAAACTACGACTAGTGGTATCAGGAGGAAGTGAACGAACATGGTCATAAATGCATTGAAGAATAGTATCAACAAACGCATTTCGATCTGTAATGTTGGTGAATGAGTACAAGGTTTGATCACTTGGTGAGGGGTATTTTAATTCAAGATGAAGTCCCATCGTCAAAGGGAGTTTCTAGAGTCAGCATATAAATGACATGTCTCATTCCAGCTCACGTTTGACTTACTTCCAAGACTTGTTCCAGTGAAAGAAAAGATGTGTAGTTGTTCAGTTTTTGTAACATAAAGCTGTTACCTGTAATAGGACAAATATCGTCTATACTGGCGGATGGACTCGGTTGATTGTCTTTAAGTAATGCTTCTCCAATGCGAAGAAATTGCTGCAATGTCAGGTCAGACACAGCAAGGTCTAAGCCTTGGAAAGGTACCATCCAATTAGCAAAAACTACAGGCACTAAATCTTTTGTCAACTGAATCACAACACGAACATAGTCACCCGATAAAGAAGATGCAGTAATAAAAGAGGGTACATTGGACGAGAGTAAGTTTGTAGGAGCACCATTAGGTTGTGAGATGCCTTCATGGTTATCTTGAGCAGAAGGCGAGGACTGTGTGGGAGGCAAGACAGTGTTGGTTGATTTCCAATAGGTTTCAATGCGACCGCCAATTTCTAGTTGAACACCACAAAAAGGATTGATGACAGAGTAATCATAGGATAGCTCTCCAATGGCTTTTAGATGACTATCTAATAAAGGAATAGTACGGTGTCCTTCAGAAATCTTGAAATCGACCAAAGAAAACGATTGAGGCAAAGCGACACCACGGCCAAGCACCTTGGAACCGAAAGTAGCCAAAATATCAAACTCCAAAAGAAAATCATCCAACTTGTCTACTTGGAAGTTAAACACTTCGCGGTCATCGACCAAGGGCAGAATAACGCTATGGGGAATCATGCCTGTGTCTGGTTTAGAAGAAATAATGAGTCGTAATGAAGAGATTTGTGCATTGTCGTACAATCGAATTGGTGGTTGACGAAGACTGATTTGAATTTGATGCTTTTTATCAAGATAATTGTGACCATAAATCCTGAAGGGAATAATAGGAGGAGGTAAAGACAAGGAAGGAATGGCATCCAATTCACCCTCTATATCAGTCATGTCGCCGCTCTCTGTCGTGGTCACTGGCGCAGCTGAATGCGGGCTTTGAGAAGCTGATGCTGAAAGAATCTCAGTGACTGGCTCTACTTCACAACCAGCATCCAGCAGCAACTGCACACAATCCATATGACCTTCCCAGGCTGCATAATATAAGGCTGTTTTGCCCTTCTCGTCCTTTGCATTGATTTTGCAGCCTGCGTTGATCAAGATACGAACACATCCTACATGGCCATCATTAGCAGCCCAAAAGAGTGGAGTCCAGGTATTGTATTTATCTGGTGTGTCGATATCCTGGCTATTTTGTGAGAGTACGCGGCAAAGCTCTTCATGGCCTTGTCGAGCAGCAAGATGCAAAGGGTAAAGGGATTCGGCATTAGGTAGGTTTTTAGCACCTTGGTTATAGAGCATCAGTGCAATATCAGTATGGCCAAAATGACAGGCAAGGGATAATGGAATATGATCTCCTTGATGACGAGGTTCAATATTCGCATTGGCTTGAATCAAGATTTCAACACAGTTCGTATGTCCATTCATGATAGCATAAATCAAAGGACTGAATCCATCATGGTCTCTGCACTCAATATCAACATGACAAGTCAAGAGAAAAGAAACACAATCACTGAATCCATTCATAGTAGCATAATGGAGCGCTGTTCTGCCATAAGCATCTGTACATTCAACATTGGCTCCATGCTTTGTGCATATCTCCATCACATCGACTCTGCCGTTCATGGCAGCTACATGAAGACTAGAACGTTCAATAATGTCGTCCACATATTGATAGTTGACCAGCTGTGTCTCAATCAACATGTCAATCACTTCCCGAGGTGCTTCAGAACAAGCATGCCAAAAGACGCGTGTCAGTCGGCCATGATCTTCAGCTGAGGGATTCTGCATAATTCTATCCAAGATTTCCTTGACAAGGGATGCTTGTCCACTAGAGACAGCTTTGACAAGATCAATTTCGACATCGTCTATTTCGTCACCTGTGAAAGCATTTGTATCATTGTTGATGGATGAGACAGGACTGATAGGAATGCCTTCTTGAATATTGGAAAGTTCAATACGGTTTGCTGATGCCATGTCTGATAATTCACATAATATTTGCGTATTAAAACATGGCTGAATATCAATTTGGCGAGAAAGATAGAGTTCTTTGGTGGATGATTTGGATCGTTTGTCCCATTTCTTTAGGATTTTGCGGAACCCTTCATTGTTTAATTCGACATATTTCTAACAGGGTATAAGGAACAGCTTTTTAAAGAAGTCTATAGCTTACTTGAATCTTTGTCAATTCTTGTTCAAATTGAATAAATGCTTCTTGAATTGCTTTAAATAAAGTAGAAGCGTGTTTAAGTCGACGAATATCAGACTGGAGTACTTTTTTCTTGTCAATAAGGGTTCTTAGTCTAACTTTAAGTTCATTCTCCTTCTGAAGGTAAAATGAATTGATCTACAAAAAAAAATTAAAATGTCTTGATTTTTTGATGAATTTTACCTTTTCCAGCTCGCGTTCTAGTTTAAAGAAGAAAGCAGCTTTTTGAGACTGAAGTAGTTTGGCACGATCCTCTTCAAGTCCAATAGGTGGTAGTCCCAGCGCTTTCAAACTGTCTGCTGGTGTGTTGAGTAATGAGCTAATGAACTTTTTCAGGCCTTTGTAATCCAAGTAGTAAGGACTCCATTCTGTAAACTGTTGGCTTTGTATTTGTTTGCCAAACTTGTAGACTTGTCAGTAACTAGATAAATAAAATATTAGTTTACCTTCATGATAAGAATGTAGAGAAATAATAAAGGTCTCTTGCTTTGCCTTGTAAAGAAAAAGAAAAAAGAGAAAAGAAAAGAGAACAAGAAGGATAGGAACGAATTAGGTAACTACTGTTTGTGACTGAGAGTGTTGGCTGTTGCGTTATTTTTTAAAACTGACCACTGTCCATCTTCAATAGAACACGCGCACTAATTCGTTGGTTGAGAAGTCTTCGGAATGAATAACATCAAATTGAATACCCGCAGTATGCATGACAACTTAAAAGAGTAAATACACATTACTATTCTTTTTTTTTTTTTTTTGGTTATCATAATGAAATGCATTGAGTCATTCTATATCCTATCTCTGTTGTATAAAGCTAGTTTCAATAATGAAGAATACTTCTTTCATGTTATAAAAGCAAAAGAGACTGTATTTGCCTTAAATATACCATACCTGTATTATGAAATAGAGTCAGACGGGTGATCTTTTTTTACGGGATCAAGAGAAAAAGTCTTTCAGCAAATTACAGATCTTTAATTTAACGCCCTCTTATTACTTCTCAGCACATGTCTGTCCGTGCGTGGCTGATGCATATTTCTACTGAATCTCTTGAAATGCTTTTCAATGACTATTCATTGCATAAAAAAATCTCATTTGACAAGTGCATGATGAAAAAGGAAGTTTATTTATAACATACAATTTATTTTATTTAGAAAAGAGCAGCGGCGAAACCGGCGGCAACCAAACCAAGAGCGGGGACAACAGCGCTAGCACCACTGGTGGCAACTTGAATACGAGCAGCAGCAGGAGCAACAGCAGAAGCAGAGGCAGCAGGAGCAAGAGTGATAGCAGAGAGATCAACATCAGTGGTACCAGCAGCAGCTTCAGTAGTAGTAGAGGCGCTAGAGTTAGTAGTGGTGTTGGCAGAATCAGCAGCAGAATCAGCAGCAGGAGCAGCAGAAGAAGAAGAAGCGTTGAGGTAGTCAGCAAAAGTAGTGTGAACAACTTCGGTTTCGTGGTAAGGTTGAGTAATGTTCATACAGGTGGCGACATCAACAACGTGCTTGTAAGAAGATTGGATCTTGGGCAAGAACTTCAAGGCAAGAGACATGGTGGTGTTATCGATTTCGTGAGTCAAGACGATTTGACCACTGTTGGCAAAAGTACCGTTAGAACCCATTTCAATGTAGTCTTCATAAGTTTCTTCAACTTCTTCAACAGTCTTGGAGCTACCAGCGGCCCAATCATCAGTATCCAAGTCCCAGATAATGGCAGTCAAGTTGAGTTGAGTGGCAACCCAACGAACACGGTCATCGACATCACCCATAGCGGGACGCCAGTAGCGAGGAGTGACACCAGTAACCATCTTGATGGCCTTTTGGGTGTAGTAAAGTTCAGCCAAGACTTCTTCATTGGTCAAGGTAGTCATCAATTGGTGAGACCAAGTGTGATCGGAAATGTGATGACCAGCCTTAGCACCACGTTGAGCACCGTAGGGCCAGTCAATGACGTTGGAACCAATGTAGAACATGGAAGCCTTCAAATTTTTTTCTTCAAGGTAGTCATAGAAAGCATTGTGAGAACAGTTGGGTCCATCATCGTAAGTCAAACCCCAAGTTTCAGGTTCTTCACAAGTATAGATATCTTCGTTGATGTCCTTGAGCTTAGGCTTGGTACAGGTAGAGGCAGACCACCAACAATCGGGATCCTTGCTTTCGTCGTAACCGCTCATATCGATCGAACCGTCAGACTTGAGCTTACGGGGCTTGACATTGGGAGCCTTGGTCCAGTCAATGGAGCTGTAGAGAGCCTTGAATTCAGCAGTTTTGGTCATACCGTTGGAAGTAGCGGTTTCCCAGACATTGGGCCATTCCTTTTCGTTGTATTCAAAGTTGGTGGCAGTGTAGTAAGCACATTCATCAGTGGGGTTTTGGGAAGTGGTTTGAGGGACAGTGGGGATGGTGATGTTTAAGGGATCAACTTGTGACTTCCAAGACTTCCAGTAATCTTGGGGCTTGTCCAATTTGGAGCTGGAGCTGGTGCTGGTGCTGCTAGACTTGGAGCTTTTAGCAGCTTCAACGAAGCTTGCAACTTGAAGAGCAGCAATTGCGACAGTGGAGATCTTGACAAACATGGCTAAAGATGATCAAAAAAAATTAATGAATGGAATGGAATAAGTAGAAAAGAAAAGAGGAATCTAAGTTAAGGGGAATAAGGAAGAGGGAAAAAAACAAGAAGTAAAGTCGCAATTCTACCTTGCCTTTATATTGATCGTTTCAAGCGGGATTTTTTTTATTTTAACTTAATAATTTACTTTGTACAACAACTGATTTTTATAATAATACCTAATAAAGCCTTACCTTTTCCCGATAATCTCTCTAAACAGGGCAATAAGAACGAGGCATTTCAACTGGCTTCAATAGTCAGTTTGTCGTGTAAGTATTACTTTGATGGAAAACTATCTTGTTTATGTACAACAAATAAAATCAAAATATTACAGATAACTATTGTCTTTTTCTTATTCTTTCTATACAAACAAGAGTTTCATTTTTATAGAAAAAAAAGCAAATGGATGAAAAGAGTGAGCCAGGGAAGAAGACTTCAGGACCATGTCCTTCGTCTATCTATTATTTATTTTACTAGTGCACGAAGCTGATTTTTAAAAAACTAGAAACTATATATGATCTTCAAATAGGAGCAATGTGTTTAAAATAGACTTTAGGATGAAAGACATGCTTTGTTATCCGGCAACATCTTTACTTGTTTTAGACTCTCGCCTCAATTTGTTACTGTCATGCCATTGCGCTAAGGTCTGCCTTGAATTATGGTGTAACGAGCTAAGGCCTTTCTCTTACCTTTTCTCTTTTTCGTTTGCTCGTTTATTAATTTTAGCTCTACGGAATCCTCGGTACACAAGACAATAAGATTTGAGATTCTAGAGCAAGCTATCTTCAAGCTCTTTATATGAGACTATATACTTTGTCTTCATTCCGTCTATAAAAAAAATACGCTAACAGTAGCATTGCAATACATTGTGTAGTTTGTTTAACGCTTGTGGTCATACTGGGCGATGGATTGTAAATTGTCCATAAATGCATCATTTGCCTATAAATAAATAATATATACAATTTGGAATGATAATTAGAACTTGTAGCTCCAATGTTACACGGCCTGTTGTACCAGGATGTACTCAGATATTTTTATCCGTCTGCTCAGAAATCAATTCCTTTTTTAATGAATCAACAAAATGTCAACCTGTTGAATGGACAGGTAAGAAAAAAAAGAAGTTTAAGTAAGCCATTCGAAAAGAATCAAGTCCATTGTACTTCTTTCTAAACGATGTTGCTCTCTTGTTCTTGGTTTAGCTATCCTGTCTCTTTTCCCTGGTAAATGTCTTTGCAAATCTTGCTGCAAACCCAAATTCAACTCATGAACATTTTTAGAAACAACCAATGTTACACAGCTTTTACTTTTGTCTTAGCGCATACGCGTTATATCGTCCATATACAAGTAGAACGTGTTCAAATAATACAGTAGCGTATTTCAAGATGCAAACTAATCCCCTTTCTTAATACAGTAGTAAATCCTGTGTGTTACCTGTAGCAAATAGCAAGCCATGCTTATAGGCCACCAAAAATGAATTGTAAAAGTTCTGCTACCATTTAAAAAGAGGCAAGTTGTTTAAATTGAAATGTTTTCCTGTTTTTTTTTCTTTTTGTTTTATCATTTCATAGTTGAGTTAACAAGATTTGTTCGTTCAGCAATCATAGTGAAATCTATTACAAGAAATTCTGTACATTTCAAATAAATTGTAAGGATATTTGTATTTGGAACAATGCAAAAGATATTGTTCCTTAACTATTATACAAACAAAAATAACCTTGGATTTTAAAAAGAGAAAATTGTTTGTACATATTAAGAGTATTTAATAATACAGATAAACTCTTTAAATATTGTATTCGAATTTGTACCGTATAGTGATCCTTCAAATAAGGCACATTGGTATTCATACTATAATACTTTTTTCATTGAGATTGAGATGGGTCAAAATTAGTGTTGGTATGCATTGGAAGCTAAGAGCATCATAAAATACCTGAGTGGGAAAACGGGCTTTATTTTATGACCCTATAGAATGCAAAACATTTTTCGCCAACTCAATGTTATACATGAATTCTAAATAATGTCTATTATTTATTTCTTAAAAGACAAATATCTGTTCCAAAATGACTTAGTCCCGTCATCTTTTCCCAATTTTTTTATAGCTGAAACATGTAACTGGTTAATTGGAGGTCATGTTGACTTGATTGACCTTCTCATGCTTAACGCAATCCAATGATTTGAGTTGACATGATGGAGTATCAAAGGCAATGATTTCTCCCCAGGCTCATATATGCTTTTATTAGATCTAGATAAGGCGGGCAGAAAAGTAAAAGCATCATGAGCACTGTGGACTGCAATAGGCACGCCAAAGGTGCAAACAGCAACTTGTGAGCATTTAAGAGACAAGAACCAATGTTCTGTTCTGACGTTGGTATTTACGTCAATTGTAGCTTGTTGCTTTTCAGATTCTCAGAAATACGGAAGCAAAACCTCTTCTTGTAATCAAATGTGTCGTACATTTTGGAGAATATACAACAAGTGTCAAAGTTATGAATGAGTTGGTCTCTCGTTGCAGACTTGACATCAAGAAATCGATGCTCATTACCAGACTTGCAAAGCAAGGGTACGAAAGCCGCAAAATCCATCATCCTTTACATTTAAAATACCATTGAAGGCATTTCCAGGAATCTCCTTGCTGATATGAGGCAACAATCTATCGTCTTTATTATGTTAAACTAGTATTTGTGGAAGAATGTATTTTGGAAGACTACCCTTCTCTTATTTGAGCATAGCTTTCTTGTTGATTTTTTCTTCAAGAACCTTCTCAAAAGTGTCAAGTAGAACATCAGTCTTTCTTCGCAAAAATTCCCTTTTTCTTTTCTTCTTCAGCGCCTCATTTGGATGCACTACTCCTTAATTAGCAATTCGTTCATTTTCTTTTTGTTTCTGTATCGATTTACCTTTTTGATCTCCTTCATCATTGTTGTTCTTCTCAGATTGATTAACGTACTAAACATTCAACTTGTTTGAGAAGATATATACGTATATCAAGCAAAGAGTATTTAATCTTACCTTGCCACTTGTTACTTTTCCTTGTATTTGTTTAGCTCTAGGCTCACTAGTATCCTTAACCTTTTTCCAAATTGTGTAGTATGGATCTTTGGCTGGTATGCTTAACTTTTCAACATCTTTAGATGATGGCAAGTCAATTTTAGTTTCAGAATGATGACTTGCTTGTTGATCGGAGGTGTATTTTTGATTATGCTCTTAAATAACATCAGTTCCGAATACTTCTCGATGCAACTGTCAAAGGTCCCGATGTCCTTGGTGTTGACCATTTTTTCCCACTAATTTGATACGATTCTTTTTAATTGTTTTCTCAACGAAACGGCCATTTTTAGAAAGTTCTTTTCTAACATTTCCCATTATGTGCCATATATACATTTTATCAATAATCAGAATGCTCGTTTTTCTTTCATCAAGATGATTAAACCAGAATCATTAAGAGAGTTAAACAAAAAACTTGATAGGTGATGTACCATCCGTATACCAGGATGATTATTAGCAGAGAGGTGAATACAAAAATTTAGATACAAGTCAAATCATACTTTAGTTACTCAGGCTATTTTTTTTTTTTTTGCTGAGCAAAGCATGTTTATATTTTTCAGGTACTGGACAAAAGCCAGAGTTATTTTCAATTATTATAAAATACGCACAATTAAATAGACATCTATCTGTAGGGTCTCAAATAAAAATAATACATCAGTAATTGAAACTCTAAATAAAAAGATAAGAAGCTGTCAGCTGTACTCTTTCTTCTTTTTTCTTTATAGAACCTCCTCTAAAGATAGCTGCAGTTAAAAGTTCTATTACTGGCATTGAGTGGAAAACGAGATACATTCCAAGTCTCAAATCTCTTGTACTTAAAGTACATACTCTCGTAACACATACTTATGCACTTTTGAAATATATTTTTACGCAAGAACTTGAAGACAACATAGATTTTGCTTTACAGGACCTTGCAAATGTTGATTTCTTCAGAGAAGTCTTTATTTCACTACTTGATAGCTATAAACCGGATAAAGCAAAACGAAAAGAAAAAGCAAGAAGTTACAAGGAACTTACCAATAAGCATCGAGATACCTATTGCCAACTCGCCTCTTATGTTCCAATCAAACTGAAATATGCGCAACAAATAGGAAGCTATGAAGCTACGAAAATCCACACTGCATACATGAATGGTGTCGCTCTTCATTTCGGGAACAGATTGCATATGTTTTTGAACATATTGTTAAAGAAGCAGGAAAGAATTGGCGCTTTGAAAAGTAAAATGAAAAAGAAAAATTGCACAGAAAGCGAAATCTCTGCTGCGGTCAAAACCATAGCAAGCCAGTGCACCAAAGTAAAAATGAACATCTCTTTGAGGAACATCACTGAATTACCAGCGCATCTTTTTAACTCACAAGAAGTCGGCATCCTTCGACAGTTTTTTGATTGCTACCCTTCTGACACTCACTTCAAGAAGAATTCTATTTATTATGATTGTAAAGTGGACCCATCGAAGCATTTGAAGGCATTTTATTATCTAACGCGATGTTCTGAATCTCTCTACAATAAGTCGTTCAACTGCTTTCCTCTGAGAAGAACATTCATACCTAGTTATATGACTATAGACACATATATCGTAAACACTCAAATTTTAAGAAACTTTATCATTAGCCATTTAGACAAAGAAGTAATTTAGGGAGCAGTACTGAACATGAAATCCAAAGCTATGAAGCCTCAAGGAGGCAATAGACAAATGAAGTTTAGAGGTACTATTCACACAGATGGTGTTGTCGTATCCATTTTGAAGCAGACCTATGACAGTAAGAAGAAAGGTTCTGGAGGCGGCATGCGAAATGATAAGAAGATAGAAGAAGACATTGCTTACATAGAAAGTCTGTCGCAAGAAAAACTTCAAGAACTTACAAAAATAATTGTGTTTTGATTGACCCCGGACGGCGTGATATGTTGTTCTGTATGCACGAAAGCAGTACCGTTGAAAAGAAAAGAGCTTACCGCAATACGAGAAATCAAAGGAACATTGAAACAAAAACAAGAAAGTTCATGAAACTTTGTGAAAGACTGAAACCAGAGGCCGTAAGCAATGCAGAAGCAATTCTTTCACGTTTAAAGTCACCCACAGTCATAAAAGATCAATACGTAGAATATATAAGACAGAAAGCTACCGTGACTCAAGTTCTTCAGGAATACTACTCGAATGAAGACTTGCCTTTAGAAGAACCTAATACTAATATGTTACCATTTCGAAAGCTAAAACTATCAAGCTACATCAATCGACAGCAATCTGACAAACGTCTTTGCAAGAATATCAGAAAACATTTTGGCAACAATGCTGTTATTGTTATTGGTAACTGGTCTGCGGGAAATGTCAAGTTCCATGAACCGATTAGAGGAGTTGGTATGAGAAGGATGCTTCAAAAAGAAGGTTTTCTAGTACACCTGATTGATGAATTCAGAACATCCAGTATATGCCCGGTATGTAAAGGTGATTTAGAAACTTTCAAAGAAGTCGTGAATCCAAGACCCTTTAGAAGGGAAAAATATCCAACCGTAAAACGTCATGGTCTTAAAGGTATGGAACTTTTAATTATGCTTAGTTTATCGATGACATTTGTATGTCATCTAGGTGTAAAAATGTACAATGCTTGAAAGAAGGTCGTCGTCTTTGGAACAGGGACTTACTCGCCACCCTTAACTTTTGTGAGATTCTCTTTAGTTTACGTAACCACGGTGCAAACACCAAAAAAAAAAAACAACAAAAAAGACAAAGATCTTCTTCTATTGAAAACGACAGTAGAAAAAGACAATAACAAATCCGAAGTAGTTATCGCTGCTTTCAATCCATGATACAGGGTGAGTTCATTATTTTAATTTTATTTTTCACTTCATCTGAAGATTAATTTCCATTTTGTCTAATTTCCTTTTTCGTTTTGTCCAAAAAAGGTAAGCCAAAAGTTTAAATATTAATTTTGATTCGTCTAGAAGAAACTAACATCGTCTGAATTTGAAGTGAAAATACTGTACTAAAATAGAAGTCATAGTGCCATATTAATAACATTCTGACTCAGAACACAGTGATCAACCTCGGTTAATTGGGTCCATACTATAACATAAAGTACATCTCAACAGTTTATTTGAGAATTAGCTTATTATAGAGAGAATTGAGATTGTTATTCTTGTTAAAGAAGAGCATTGTAAAGCATACTAAAAAGAGAAAAGTAACATCTTGTTTACAAACAGCATCTGGTCTATAAATACGATGCTCTCGTATCACTAGAAAAAAAAGCATCATTTTCTTGTATTTCTTTTTTCTGTATAGTATGGCATTTTTCAGACACGATGGTGCAAGTAGTATTGAATATGTAGACGCCATTCCTGTTCATCATAAGACAAATAAGCAAAAGCGATTATGGCGATTTATAGGGATGGGTGTAGCAGCTGTTGTGATCATTGTGATTGTGATCGTAGTAGCAGTAGTAGTGACAAATAACAAAAAGAACTCTAGTACAAACTCATATTCTGTTTCTCCTTATTCTCAAATCAAAACAATTGTCACTCATAATGATACTGCACTTCAACAAAAAGAACGAATCTTTGTTGTAGGCGATATCCATGGTTGCGTCAATGAACTCAATACACTGGTCAATAAACTCAACTTTAACCAGACAACAGACCAATTGATTCTAGCAGGCGACTTGACTTCTAAAGGACCTGACAGTATTGGTGTCATTCGACGAGCTAAAGAATTGGGCGCCCTGTGTGTTCGTGGTAATCATGATGATAAAGTAGTACGTTTCAAGACATTTCAATTACAAAATGGTGAGAATGCCATGAAGCCACCTCAAGCAACAATGCCTGAGGGAGATGTGCCTGATCCACTTAAATTCAAAAATTATCATGTGCCCATTGCATTGTAAGTTACATACTACAAAATTAATCAATACTAACACTCCTTTTTAGAAACATGACTCAAGAAGACTATGACTATCTCTACAATTGTCCAGCTATACTTCATTTGCCTTTCCTAAACAACACGGTCATTGTCCATGGTGGAATTGATCCCACTATTCCATCACTAGAGAACCAAGTGCCTTATTGGGTGATGAATATGCGTGATATTGATAATAATAACCAACCTAATATTGAAAAGGGTACTGGTACTCAATGGGCTACTGTTTGGAATGCAGATCAAAAAAAGTTAACTGTCAACAATACCTTAATCTTTTATGGACATGACTCAAGTCGAGGATTGAATATTCAACAAAGTACATTTGGATTAGACAGTGGCTGTGTCTATGGGAATCAATTGACAGCCATGAATGCAAGAACAAAAGAATTAACTCAAATTGATTGTCCCACTTATGCAAAGAAAGGTGGAGACAGTGATGACTAGACTCTATATATAAACTATTATTTAATCATCTTGTACTTGAGGGGGTGGATACTTGTTTAATACTCTGTTCATTTCATTTGGGTATTGTAAAGCAAGCTGATTTTTTATCTTTCTTAATTTTCCAAAAACGCCATTTAAGTCACTCTTAGTCTGTTCAAGTAGTTTTGTATGTGCTTCAAAATGTTTATGAATGTTCTGGTATCGTGCCTGACTAAATTTATTAAAGGCTTCTAGTTTCTGTTGTGTTTCTTTGTAGATAGTTAAGCTATAAAGCATGAATTCAATAGTCTATTTTATTGTTTCTTTACCATTCATCTTGGTCTTGCAAGATGACTTTTACTTCTTGATCACTTTTAAGTTCAATAAAGTGTTGAGCAAGATGGTTTGGAAGTGACATTTAAGAAAGAAAAAATAAAATAAGACAGAAATGCACGTCATCAGAACTTAAAGAACTTTGGCTGAGTAAACTAAAAAAAAAAAAGGCATTGTTCCCTATACTGTTTTAGCATACGAAATGTGTTTCAGGAACATTCCATTTAAAACCTTTAGACCCTCAATACAAAGAATGTATACATAATGTGTGTTACATTATTGTAACAAACTCGGAAGACTTGCTTCCGTAACAATAGCAATGTCAAAAAAATAAACAGAGGGAAAAATTCGAATTTTTGGGGTAAAAAATATTCGTGAAACTTGTATTATTTGTATAAAACCATTCTTTGCCTCTTTTCTTTCTTTTTTCTTATTTTATCCCCTCTTTTTTTTTCCTCATACAAAAACATGAAAGGAATTATTTCAATTCTGTTTCGTTGGATTGATTTTTGTATCTATCTTTACATTCATATAAAAGCAACAGTGAATGCTGTTGCATTTGTGGCTAAAAAGAATCAACAGCCGACATCTGCACACGAACTTATTTTAAAGCACAAGAGACAACATCGTCCTTCCAAGCGCATCCTTGTTGACTCTGCTTTTAAAAAACTCCCTAATGAAATTCTGATCATGATATTCCAACACTTGAAACCAAATGACCTATACCACTGCTCTAGTGTCTCAAAGCATTGGAATACACTATCAACACCTATTCTATGGAAATCACCTATACCCAATCACCCTATCCTCAGTTGTCTAGCCTCGTTTAGAACCATTGACCAGAAACACCGCATGTCACATATACATCAACAATCACACTTGTATCCAGGATTTCCTATTCATCTCTCACACTATGGCCACGCTGTAAAATCCCTTGATCTTTCTCTCATTGCAACGCATGTCACTGACTGCACCATTCGGCATATTGTTCGTTCATGCCCTCACTTGACCAGTCTTAATCTCTCTAATTGCCGTTTGATTACCAACGAAAGTCTCAGATACCTCAGTCAGAATCACCAACTTCAGGCACTCGTATTGCAAAATTGCCGACAAATTACCGACACTGGACTGAACTATTTGAAATGCCATCCTTTCACCACACTTCATCTAGGCGGTTGTCACCGTATGACAGACGATGGCATTATCAGCCTTGTGACAGCATCCGGAACTACTCTCCGACGACTCTGCTTGAGTGATTGTAGCCATGTGACAGGTAAGTCGCTTCGTGCGGTAAGCCGTGCGTGTGGTCCCAGGCTTGAGTGGTTGGATATCGCAAGAACAAAGGCCATTCGACACGCTGACCTACTTGACCTTGTGGCCCATTGCTCCAATATCACTCGACTCAACATCGCCATGAAGAAACCCAGACTGCTACATGAACTAAGACGACATGATGCATTGCACCAAAGGGCCTCATTGAATGAATTAATTGAACTGCTGGATCAATTCAATATTCAGCCCAACTTGACTGCCGAGTCTGCTCAACATCGCCTCCTTCTCTCTCAACATATCCATCGAGATCCAGTTCAGCCCCATACCATTGAAAGCCTTGTGGGTCTAAAGCAGCTTGAGAACCTGAATTTATCGTATTGGACTTGTTTGACAGACAAGGCTGTACAGACACTCGCCATGCAGAGTCATTGTCTAACGTATTTAAACTTGATTGGATGTAAAGGTGTGACAAAACAAGGACTCAAGTACCTCTCGGATCTTTGTGAACGAAAATCAACTTGCATTACCTTGAGTAGTGGCCTGATGATAACCCCAAATAATGTTGTCTGTTCATATGAAAGCAATCCATTTTTTATATCATCCCCATTATCGTCCTCGTCATCATCATCTTCTGAGGAATGTCACACAATAACAAAGCGCTCCAAACGACGATTACAAAAGTTAGATAAAACAACAATCGTCAAAGCTTAGTTAAAGCCACATTCATTTGTATTATTATAGTCTCTTTCTTTTGTATATATTTATTATTCGTCGATGAATACAATCCATATATATATATATATATATATATTCTGCTCAATAAACATACACATTGTTCTGGACAACTTCATGGGATGACAAGCTTGAAATAAACAAGTTTTTTTGTTGTTGTCAAATAAAAGAACGATAAACAATACTACATGAAATCATCTGATGCAAGAAAACATCTTGTATAAACAGAGTTGTGTATGGTTAAACGAGAATATAAAAAAAACTTGTTTATATGTTTGTAACGCATCCATTGTTGATATGACGATGATTGTTTGTTATTTTAAACAATAAGATGTTTATATGCTAAGAATATACGGCAATAGTGATGACAAGATGTACTTTGATTCCGAGCAAAGTGACAGATATATTCGAATAAACAAAGTACAAGAATGACCTCGGCTCGGTAAAGAAAAAGAGAGAGACCTTTTAGATTAAAGTTCTGCAGATGACCCAAGCGTTTACAACTTTACAGCCGACGAAACTAGGTTGGGCCAATCATTTTTTTTTTTGGTCATTTCCAAAAACAATAATCGTAAATAATTATTTTAATTAACAGTATATTTATTATATTCCAAAAGATTTACTCTTATCGCAATAATTGTGAATCCAGTAACTAGTTTATAACATGTATTATCCAAAACAAGTACATAATATACTAACGAGCGTTAATTTAGCATTCGAAAGAGCTCGATAGAAATAAATAAGGATGGGTAATATTTTTAGTGAAAGCAAAGTCCAATGAATAACTTGTTTAGAACTCGTCTTTTCTCTTCATCCATTATAATTCTTTGTATATTCATACCGCCAAAGGTATGTATTAAGTCTATCTTCTGTGTCGGATGCACGTTTGAACTGTGAGCGTCATTTTTTCTTCGTTTCAAAAAAAACATTTTCTGATACTTTTCTTTTTTAGTCTGATCAAGAGCTTCCGGTTGCCCTGACCTTATCAATTGTATTATAAAGTTTCCGTTATATTGAAACTCACTCATAACATTAGAATATACGTTGTTTATTATTGCATTGCAATATGCCTTTTTGTTCCTTTTTTTCTAAATAAAAACCAAAATTTGCAAAAAAGCATTCTATTCAGTCCATTTTAATTTTGGCTGTGACCAATATCTTTTTTTTTTTTTTTTTTTTTTTTTTTTTTTTTTTTTTTTTTGGTTTTAAGCGGATGTCTTATTCCATGAGCCAGTGGTAAAGGAGTGTACATGGATCAGGTTCAGGCGCAAATTCCGCATGCGGTTTGAGGCACATCTGATCGAGAAGAAGTAAAACGTTAAGGAGGTTAGTTCATCGTGGCTTCCAATATTGGAGTAAGAGTTGCTTGCCAATTTTCCAAGTAATAATAGCAGACAAATTGTATACAATTATGATCTCATTATTATTTTAGCAAACATATAAATAGTCAATACAGGTTTTCTTCGCTATATAAACCGTCAAGTTAAAAAATCTAGAGTTTCAATCCATCGACAAAGATAATATATGTCGTAAAATTGTTGAATAAATTAACTCTTTAGCTTATTCATACAATACTAAAGCCTGCGAGCGTTATAATAAACTTGTCATATTCACTATTTCTACATCCGAATCTATTGGTGTGGTTGTGGCTAATCGTGGAAGTCTCTTGCATTTATTTATTATGATGTACTGTTATATTTGGGAGATATTCAAGATTATTAAATATGCAGGGTTTTTGTTCATTGAGTATCAATTGAACAACAAAAACTGCTATATTATTGTTGGAAGAAAATCATAGCTAGAATTCTTCATGTGCTTTTTAATGATCACACTTAAAAAAAACGCACACTTTTTACAGTATAAGTATTTTGTTTTAGTAATTGAAGGTTATACTTCGCCATTTACTACACAACTTGCTTAAAACTCAACGTCCACAATAGGTAAGTGAAGGAGTTGATTTTGGTTCTTTCCATAAAAAGAGCTAACATTAGTGTCATTTTGTCCCATGTTTGTACCTGTGTCCCAATTTTGCAACTTTGTCCCAATCTAATTTGGAAATGACCAATTTTTTTTATTGGCCCAACCTAGTTTTGTTAGCTGTAATCGGCTGTGACTATTTTGTTATTTTAAAGTAGATACGCCAAGCCCAAACATTACTTAGCGCATAAGTCAATTGTCTTGACAAAAGTGTTAAACTATATGGGTTGTACAAAGGGATTTTCTTGGAATTGACTCTGTTTATTTTATATACATCTAGCCTTTTTGATATCAATGTGTATTGGTTAATATAAAATTTCAATGCACGTACTATGTAATTACTTCTCGAGTGTACGTTTTTTTTTTTTTTTTTTTTTTTTTTTTTTTTAATAAGTGTACGTTGTTATGACAACCAGGTACCGAAACAGGATTCAAAGTCCGTCCCAAGAAAAAAAAAAGAGAGGGTGTACGCGTAAAACAACCGTAATCCTTTTAGAAGTGTGCATAATACTCCACATCTGAATGACTACTGAAGCTCCAGAACTACCACCTCGCAATATGGAATCTGACAAGACACAATCCGAGACAACGTCTTCTGTCTACTCGCCCTTGGCATTGCTTGTTCATTGGGAAACATTTCAAAGCGATCATCAACACATATTCAAGTCTTTTATCAAACAGCAACCTGAAAAAGGTACTAATGATACCGAAACGATATCCTGTGTATGTCAGATATGTCATTATTGGCTTAGGATTGAGCGTTCAGCACTCAATAGCCAATGCACAGGTAATGGATTTCCTTGTCATCATTTTCATTCTCAAGGTTTACACAACTATCGATGCTGTGGTTGTGGATATACATGCGTGACCCAAATTATGCCTCCAGCGCTGTCCATAACTACCTTGAAAAACTTGGAAGCAACACTGCCCAAGACAAGATCCTTTGCAGATTCTGCTCAACAAAAAGAACCAACACCTACATTGGCAAGCACTTGTTCCACTGTCTTGATATATGTACATGATTTATTGAATGGCTCTAAAAGAAGTATCAACACAGAAAACCGAGCATTTTTACAACGCATTGGCATGAATAGTACAAGGTAATACTTGATTTTTATTCTTCTGGTATGCTCAATATGTATGTTTAGTCAAGCATTGTTGGAGGAAATTGGGTTTCAATTGAACGATGGCATGTTTGTTCCACCCGAATTTGAACCTGGATCAAGTACTCAAGAGAGACTTGAACAAATACATCAAGAACTTTTGTTAACCCTGGACTTACTTAGACAGCAATTTGGACCTACAAGCGTACCTCCTTCTATGCACGATGCAGACATGAAGATCATCACCACAGATATGCAAACTCTGCTCGGTATTGTTCCTACGCTCGAAACTCGATCCGATTCTAATGATGACTATATCAACAATGCCTATGCCAGCTTGGGATTAAGTCCGAATGCTTCTGATCAACTGGTTTCTTGGACATATCAGAAACTATTGGAGGAATCCACTGTCTTGATAGACCCCTATGATGCCATGGACAATTTAATGGTCATTGCGAATCATAAGAATTCAGTTACACTTCAGACACTGATTGCAATTGAACGCAGCAAAGGAAAAATCGGACGAAATGATATAGGCGATGCTTATGCTTACTTTAGTGCTCAACCAGACACACCAGATGATTTGTTGATCAGTATATATCAAGTCAAAATAGCAGATGAACCCGCTGAGAAAAACACACATCAAGACAAATTAAAGATCATTGCCATTGTAAGACATAGTGTAGAACTCATTGAATTTCTAAAGCAAGAAAAAGGAATTTCGTTCAACAGTACTGAGAATACAATGGGATGTAAGTTGACAAGCCATGTGTATCATGTCATACTCATAGTACTAGTACCTGCACATATGATAAATAGTCAGCGAAATGTGTAAGTAATCTTTTTTTTTATATTCTTTCTTCTTCTGTATTTCAACTATGGAAAGGACAACTGGATGGACGGGCAAGTTCTACCGTTCATCTATTATAAAATCAAATATCAAACAAGATAAACAGATTTCTTATGCAACACTACATAGACCTGTAGGCTTGAATAACATTGGCAACACATGTTATTTCAATAGTTTACTTCAGGTAAACAGAATATTGACATACATATGCCGAGACTTATTTTAATATCTTTGTAGTATTATTATACAATCTTGCCTTTTAGAGAAGCAATGATTAACAATGAAGACTATATTGAAGATGAAAACAGCGAAAGAAAGACAATTGGTGGTATTGAAGTAGATCAGTCTGAAATACGTCGTGCTAAAAAGTGTAAGTGTATGTTCAGATAGATAATGGACTGATTTATCTCTCTCTTTTTTTTTAGTCGTTAGTCTCTTGAGAGAGCTGTTTATCAGTCTTCAACGTTGTCAAGAAAGAGCCATTTCGCCTCAATATGACTTAGCCTACATGGCTTTATTGAATGAAAAGGAAGAACAGCCTCAAGACCAAGACATGACTGAAACAAAAGAAAATCAGATGAAGACGGAACCTGATTCAAACCAGACTGAAGGAACATTGTCGCTGATAGGTGATGAAGATATGAAAGAACCAGTAGATACTGAAATGACGGATGTTAATGAAAAAATTCCATTAAGTGAAGACCAAGACATAACTATTCCTCTTGATGCACCACCACCCTATGAAAAAGTAGTATCTGAACAGGATCAACTTAAACACAAACCAATGGATCAAAAAGAACCTATGGAGCAAAAAGAAAGACCTAGTGTGGATATTATGATGTTTGGTAAACAACAAGACGTGACTGAGTGCATGGGCAATATGATGTATCTCGTTGAAGCTGCTCTCAAGCCTTTAAAGAAAACAGAAGATGGGGAACAAGTGGATGATATGATACGCCAAACATTTTATGGAAAAGCCCGTCAAATCCTTTCTTATTGTGACAATACAACTCTGGAGATAGTTAAAAAAGAACAAGAAGAAGACTTTTCGCACATCATTGTGGATGCTAAAGAAGGAAAGAATTTGTATGATATTATGGATGAATACTTCTTTGCCAATCAAGTCGATTTTCAAGGTGGGCATGAAGCTACTCGGGAAGTCACTGTCAAGTCATTTCCCCCTATTCTTCAAATCCTTGTTCAGCGTGTACAATTTGATCGTGCGACAGCCAATGTATATAAATCAAATGCTTATATCCAATTTGACAAGACAATCTATCTCGATAGGTATGTTGAAGAAAACTTTGAAAGCTCAAAAGAGAAGAGAACACAAGTGGCTGTCTGGAGAACTGAACTTGATTCATACACAAGACAAGTCAAGAAATACACACATTCAGATGTAAGTCATTATCTATCTATTGTATCTCACCGCTTAAATAGATTTGCAATATGCCAATTCCCGATCTATTAGAAGCAGCACGCCAAGTGCTTGAAGAATTTAAGATGGAGGCTAGTCAAGAACTGTCGGAAAAGGAAGAACAAGTCAACAATGCATTGGAAATATTGAGTCAAGAAGCTAAGCAAAAGAGACAACTTATTGTTGAAGGAAACCAAAAGATTCAAGAACTCAAATCCAAGATTGCGTCTCAGTACAAGGATTATACCAAAGTAGCCTATAATCTGCATGCTGTGTTTATTCATCAGGGCCAAGCCAATTATGGTCACTATTGGATTTATATCTTGGATCATGCCAAGAATCAATGGTGGAAATACAATGATTCTCTAGTCACCAAAGTCAATGAGAGTGAAATATTTCATGACACAACAGGGTCTACTGCCAACCCTTACTTTTTAGTGTATGTAGATGCAGATAAAATGAAAGAATCTGTTGAGACTATTGTTACAAAACAGGCAGAGGATGCATAAATAAAACTACGTATGCCAAGTATAATTTCGATTGGCGCTGTTATGATTTAAAATAGACTAAAGATGTCTTTTCTTTTTCTTTTTCTTTTTTTACTTTATTAATATGAATAGACCGCAACCTCCTTCACTTCCCCTTGGATGGTAAACTAACCATATATTTTGAATGCTCTTTACTCAATAGATATAGGATCGCATTATGGGATGAAGCATCACAACGATATTATTATGTAGAACAAGCAACAGGCACAACGCAATGGGAAATTCCTACGAGTGAATCAAAAGCAACACCTGACTATCACAACGGATTTCCTCAGCAAATGCCAACAGGAGAAAATAGTACATATCATGGTGCCACTAACCCTGTAGCAACCACATACCCTACACAACCATCAAGTCAAGAAGGAGTTGATGGAGAAAGAGGTCTAGGAAAAGTATTTCATGGTATGGACAGGATAGTCAAGTTTTTTTTTAGTGTAAATTAATTGAGTTTCTTAGGATTCTCAGGTGGTGCTATTGCTGGGAGTCTATTTGGGTAAGTAGAATATTGCAGTCCACATATATGTATGCTGACTGGCTATAGTTTTGCAGCTGGAAAGTTTCTTGGCAACCATAATCATCATGGTGGAGTAAGTTGGTCTGAATTAGACCTTATTTTGTGTAAAACTAACTGAATTCTCTGCTTAGCATTATCATCAACAACAAGGCTATGCCAATTACTATCCACCTCCACCTCCACCACCTGTGCAAAATGGTTTTGGTAGTATGATGGGTGGAGGTAGTGTTGGATTTCCCTTTAGCGGTAATCATGGTAAAGAAAAAAAAACATCAAGAAAATATGTAGACTGAATCATTGTATAGGTCATCATCATCACCATGGACATCATGGTCATCACGGGCATCACCATGGCTTCTTTTAATAAAAATTGTACATTTAATTCAATAACAAAATCTGAATGTTTGTTTGACAGATGTGCTTTGTATTCTTTATGCATATGTATTGTGTAACCATCACATATCAAATTTTACCAAGAATTTAGTTGATTCAAACAAGCGCAAAATACTAGTTTTAAGAATTGTTGTATTTCACAAAAAACAAGATTTTTAAAGTATCAGAAAAAACATGTCGAGCTATCAATAAATGGATTGCAAGTCAAGCTTAAACTGATAAAAAGCTTCATAGAGGGAGTATTCCCTAAAGTATCTGAGTTTAAATCAGTCTTGTCAAAACCAAAATCAAAAAAATAGAGATATTTAAAAACTCACCTTTCTTTCGTCTAAAGAATTTTTTAGTACGTTGGTCTGGTCACTCTTGGTGGTGTTCCGGATTTTACTATAAACTCTTGTGAAAGACTGTATCTCTTAGGTTTCAACAATTGTGTCAAGCGCCAAGTAATTGAAGACATTTTGAAATGGTGTCCTTTACTTGTGGTACTGGTATTGCCATCTGCAGCATTGAACAAGAAAAGATATAAAGAATACTGACTCTCAGGAGCAACGAACGAAAAACTTAATATATCTTTTTTTAGGACATATTAAAGGGTAGCCCAGATGACGGCTATTTTCTTTGGGATTATATAAGACTCATATAATCGTGCTGAATGCTTCCACAAAAGCATTGTTTTAAAGATATTTCATATGGCTAGTCACTTTGCTTTACATACACTAATTTCCATTTATACGAATTTTTTAATAAAACTTTCATCCAATACATAAAAAAAAATCTAGAAATTCAAAACAAACGATGGACAAAAAGTGTCTAAAAACAAAGAGATGTCAAAAAAGTATATTAACAACATTGGTAGATATAAACAATTCTTATCGAATGGCGTAAAGAACGAAAACTGCTAAATATAAAGATAGCGAACTATCCTTCAAAACGTGATTTCTGTTTTTGAGCTGTAGCGTACATTTTTTATTGTACTTTTGCAAATCTAACACTTGGAGTGTGTTTTATAGACTTAGAGAAGCAATCCTTACTAAAATGTCTCTATTGATCACTAGTCGCAAAATAGTGAAAAATGAAGATTTCGTAGAGGTATCATAAGGCCAAAATGGTAATTTCTTGACTTTTTCAAAACTTGCCATATTTCTACAAATATGTTCTTTGATGTATGCTCAAACGAAGAAAACTCAAAAAAAAAAGGAAGTTAGAAGGCAGAAATGATGGTTTATTTCAATCAAAACTCGCATCTACAGCAGGCTACCAATACATGTTTGGTGTTATTATGCATATCAATTCTTTCAGAATGAGTTGTAAGGAAAGTTAGTTCACAATCCAAGATCGTATAATAAGTCTGGTACTTAATGGATATAAAGCATGCCTGCATGAAATCATTGGATGTGACTTTGGCCGCGTAAAAGATTCAAAGTCCTTGCATTTCCCTTAAATGCAAATTTCCCAAACTTTTTTATTTTTTTTTCTTAAAAAAAAAAATACTATGGAGCCTTCGACCTTTGATAAAATGAAAATGGGTGCTGCTATGGGTGGCACCGTTGGCTTATGTATTGGTTTTGTATTTGGCACTGTTAGTTTGATCCGATTTGGTCCTGGTAACAAGAGTGCCGTTAGTTTATTGAGTCAGTATATGCTTGGTTCTGCTGCTTCGTTTGGTTTCTTTATGTGTAGGTCATAGTATCCTCTAAAACATAGTATCTTATTTTTTTCTATTAGCCATAGGGTCTGTTGTTCGTGCAGAAAATCGCTTACCTGTTTCCAATTTGCCTGTCATGATTCAACAACGCGAAAATCAACACAGATATATTTATAGTAACTTAAAGCATTAGTGATGTATATAAAGAGACATGTATAGTTGTTTATTTATAAAAAAAGGAATTTTATATATATATATATATATGTATAGACGTACTTTTTTTTTGGTTATGTATATTTTGTAAAATCAAGTAAAGCTTCATAGGGATAACCATCTTTGCCAATTTTACCAGGTGTACCTATATCACTTGTATTGGGTGTAGCAGTATTTGATTTACCTGCCAATCGTTCCTTGACACGTTGGATTTGCTTGAGTCTTTCTCGCCAATGAGACACATATTCACGTTTACCACCAGCACCTGCACTCTGCCAAAACACCTGAGCAAAAATATTGGCATGTAAAGCAGCACCACGCACAAACCCCGGCAAGGACTGAGCACTGACCAATTTGGGTTCACCCATAGGCCCAATATCCGGCATATCAGGTCGTTTTTGCATCTCGACCTTAAAGAACGTGTTTTCAGCACCTACCATCGCATGAGAAGGACTCACAGCTTCTGTCGAGATGGAGTGAGGCGAGACAACAATGTTGATAAAGTTAAATTGAGAAGGAAGGGTATCAAAAGCATAGTCCATGCCTGAATCATTGTAGACAATCGACACATAATCGTTACCAATATGCCGTTTTTTAGCACTGCATTGAGGATCGCGTGTCAAATCGGTCGGCATCAAGGTGGCCACATGGAACACGGCTTCTGTCACATCGTCTTTCCAAAAGTAAGCGTAGGGTCCGTCAATATCCATGTCTCGATCTAAGCCGCCCGAGTTGCCTGTGCGCCCGCGCAATCGTTGAATTGTACCCAAAGCATTCAAGAAACGGACATAGTCAGGGGAACCGTATGTGTTGGCCAGGATCTCTCGTTCATGGGTCTGTCCTTTACCGACATAGAGTACACCGATCTTGTGGAAATCGACAACAGGGATACGGTCAAAGGTGGCCAAGGTACGTGCTGTGGATTCGTCGTCAGGTAAAGGAGGAGACATGTCCATCGAGCGTGCCATATCGGGGTAATTGTTGAATTGAAGGTATAGAAAGCCAGGATCCATCGATGGCTCTGTTTTGCGAAGTTGCGAGATGGGGTTATGAAGTGTGTTGGCTTCGCCACTGGGTAATGTGGGGTCTGACATGATCACATGGACAGCCTTTTCTGCTTTTTTCAGGTCTATATCTTCAGCTGGTTTGGGTGTCTCTGTGGTCTCTGAATCTTTTTGAAGAATGCCCAAAAGACCCTTTTGTGAAAGTGAAGGACGACGTGTGAGTACAGGTGATATACTGGCGGAAGAGGTGGCTGCTGGCGAGACAGGCACTTGCTCTGAAGAAACAGAAGGTGCCATCACAAGTCCCTCAGAGCGTGTCGCAATCGTAGCACTGACCACCGCCTGATCTGAAGGTCTACGTGTGGCTGCCCCAGTAGGAAATCGTTTGCCTTCTTCTTCATTAAACGTGATGCCCAAAGCAGATCCTTCTTGTTCTGGCTCTGGCTTAATAGATGTCTCTTGCGCTTCCATTTTGTCTACTTGCTCACGATCCTTGAGGATCTTGTAAGCCATCAAGTCCGGTTGATATTGCATCATCAATAAGGCAGGTAAAGTTCGATAATCAATATCTTCTGACTTGATTTTATTTTCAACATGACACATCATGGAAACAGTGCCTGAAGGTCTTCGAATGGTCACCTCAACCCAGCCTAAAGATTTCGCTGTGCGCAATGTCAAGAGTGTATGACCATAGACCCAAGTACGTTGACTTTGTTTTGAAGAAGACACATTGTGGTCCCCATCGCCCATCAAAATCTTGGAAACAATTGACTTTTCAGGTGCTAAACCTACATCGGCAAACGTAAACCGAGACAGCATATCAATGCATGTGTATGTCTGTTCGTCAATCGGTTTGCCCATCGAAATACCACTCAAGAGTCTCTGAATGATGAACGGTACATGCTTACGACGTTCGCGTAGAGGAATAGCCGTGAACCAGACAGTGATCACAAGATAAGCCATAATGAGTACGTATTGCTTTAGAGCACCTTGGCTTGCTTCTCTTTGAGCGGCGGCGATAGACAAGGTAGGTGAAGCAGCCACATTGGTGCTCACTCCTGAACTCATCAAGGGAGAAGCAGAGGGAGTATTGAGTGGGGATGGCTGTTGTTGTTGTGAATGAGAGTGTTGAAGGTAATTTAAGGCGATAGCAAACACAGGCTTGTACATATCACCCGTAAAATTAGCATACAAATTGGGCAATCGAGCCAGACCATTCAAGAACTCTAAAATGTGAACAGAGACACTACTGACAGAAATGATCTGTGACATGCGCTGCAAGATCTCGTTCAGCATCTTTGCCACAGATAAAGGTAGCTCATGACAACAGACGGCCAATGCGTTAATGCACAGACGAGTGGCTGGTGTGACTTGCATGATGCCTACATAAAAGGCATACACAATTTCATCTTGATCTTGTTTAGGTTCAGTAAATACACGGCGATACGAGATCAAGACAGTAAGTAAACTGTAGGCATAAACATTGAGATCATTGCGCTTGATGTGAGGCGGAAGGTTGACGATGTTTTCCAGAAACTTGCGTGTACTTGTCCATCGCACCAAAAGACGACGCAGTTTGTTGATAGAAGGTGATGCGCCACAAAACAAGTGTTTGTTGCTCAGCTGTTGAGGTAAGCGCTTCAACAGAAACAAAATGACAACCCAGTTGGGCGAATCAGATAAGACTTTGATGAACGATTGAAGCATCTCGTTTATATTCAACACAATGTCGTCTTTTGATTCACTGTATGAAAACAAATGAGGACTTGGGTAAAAAACAGGCTTTGTGTTTGTCGTAGGCTGTACTGCCGTTGCTTTCATGGCAGGACCAGGCATGAAACTGTCTTGGGATTTCTTTCGTTCTGTTTCTTGACGCTTGTGTTGTTGTTGTGAGCGAATGTATGCAATCACACTGTTTTCTTCTTGTAGATCTAAAGAGTCTGTTTTAAAGTCATGATCACCAACCGCACGAATGAACTTACTATCTTCAATGAGATAAATATGATGATTTGTAGGACAACGAAGACGCAGGAGTAAGTCAAGCGCCACGATTTTAGGGCCGCCATAAGGACAGGACAGATCAGCAGCATCATTAGCAATGTCAGCAATGACATCAAACGTCTTGCAGCATAATTTACCATTCGAGGCTAACAAGAGATTCTCAAATAGTTCCGAAATACCCATCATGGCTGGAAATCCCATACAATGATGGTCCATATCAAAAAAGGAATCTGTTGCTGTGTCTGTCACAAACAAAGGCTTTTGCGGTGTACGTTGTCGAGTTGATTTCTGCTGCTGCTGTTGTAAGTCTTCTGTCGTGCATTGACAAGTAGCACATTTCCTCAAGACCACCATCAATCGATCAAAAATAGACTCATTTTGACAATCAGATAAGGAAGACACAATCAGATCAATCGCTGTTTGTCGAATCTTGACGTCTTGTTCTAAATGTAATTTCTGCATCATTGGAATCACAATATTTTCATACATCAGCTCAGAATAAAAGTCCTTGACAGACACACACACATTCGTGACAATGGTCAGCATTTTTAATCGTATAGCGGGTGTACAAGTGTTTGGGTTAGTGTGGATAAAGAACGTATGCGTGACGTGTTGTAACAAGGGCAGCCAATGCTCAGTTGAAGGTAAGAATGCGTGTTCAGTCACATAATAATCCAATAACAAGTGTGCTGTATCATCATCACAATAACCTCTGAGTTGATAAAGTACCTGAATGAACCGAACCATAGGTCCCTTGTATCGCTTGTCTTTATGCAACTGAATCACTACTTGACTGAACCGAGAAAATGGGCGAATACATTGACAATCAGAAGGACTGCTATGATTGAACAATTGAACATCGTAATTACTGTTATTGTCTGTCATTTTGAGTATATAGCGAGTAATCACATCCACAATATCCCATACAGCTTCCCATTCCATCAATCCGAGATCGTTATTTTCGGGTGATTCAACCAGCGTCATTAGACAGTCGAGAAGGGTGCTGTTGATCGTATCTGAGTCCTTATTGGCAGCTCGTTTCAAGTACATCAAGATGACTGAATCAGATACCATGTATGTCTCTGCGCCTGTTTTGCTGTTCTTACCCCATGCTGTTTCACTCAACAAGGCAATGGCGCCTTTTATCAATAAGTTGTCTGACTTTGAAGGTTCTTTATCCAGAAATCGACAGAGCGTTAAAATAGCCGAATGAGCACAATGCGATCGAAGCAAGTTGAGAAAGATAGGCCAACAAGACACAAGGGCACCTGCTGTAGACGATGTCTTGTGTGTGGTGGGCAATAACATCACAGAGGCAGCCAGCATCTCCAAGAAGGGTGTCAATGCATCAAAAGGCACAAATCGATAGCGAACCACAATATCCGCAAACTCAAGACAGGCCTGCATATCGTCTGCATGTTGGGATGAGAAAAACGCTTGGTGTATCGCCAGAATCATCTGTGTCACTTCTTCTTCTTCAAACAAGGCAAAGTTGAACTTAGCAATCACAGTCAGTAAATGGAGCACATCACCAAGATAAGGTTGTTTTTTTAATGCAGGCTGTTGTAGCCAATGAATCAAAAGTTTACAGACGTTCTTTTCAAATCCTGAAATGTCTCGACCCCCTTTGCATAAAGCAAACAAAACTCGATACATGTCACCGAAATCATCCCAAAGAGCGTAATTGCGCAACAAGGCATAAAATGTGACCCGAGCCATACCCAAGTCTGCATATTGACCCACAATACAGGCCAACATGAATTCAAAGACTGTATGTCTAGCTTCTTGAGGCATGGCGGGCTCCAGAATATCTTGAACAGTAAAGAACACATTTTCCAAGTGAGTAAAGCGATAATTCTTGCAAATATCAGAAAATGCCAACAAGTGTTTGCATCGAGAAGCCAAGGGTTGAGTGGGTTCCAGCAAAGGAAGAATGGGTCTTGCGTCGAGTGGCTGTGAAGGGTCTCTTGAAGAAAGGTTAAGACAGGCTTCGACAGAGATGGAAGAAGCGCGTGGTCGAAGAATATTGCTTAACCAAGTGGCAGATTGCTTTGTAGGAGGAGGATTGCCTGACATAGTATAAAAAAGACAACACTCGCTTTTCTAAAAGCTTTTATTTCTTTAATATGTTAAAATGGTTCTTTTTTTTTTGTATATATATATATATATGTATTATGATCTGTTCTTTCTTGTTTTAAAGAAAAAAAAAAAGAAATATGCAAGTCGTTGAAGCCAAATTGTATGACAAGAGTAATGTGACTTTCTTTTTCTTAAAATGCAATTTTTATTAGGATGAGGATGATTTCTAAAACTTAAAGACTTGATCAGAGAGTTGACTGACAGCGCGAGGTTTATCATAACCCAATTCAATCAAATGCTACAAGATGATTTAGGTAAATAAAGATGATAGCATGAAACTTACCTCAGTCATGGCCTTCACCATAGGCAGAGGACCACAGAGTAACATCTTGATATCACTGGCAGGAGCAGGACATTGTTCACGAATCATATCAGCAGTAACAAATCCAACACCTTGAGTCCAGTTAGCAGGAGGTGTGTTTAAGACATGATAGACAGTCAAATTCTCATTGTTCTTTGCCAATTCATTTAATTCTTCACGAAGCAAGATGTCTTCTTCAGAGACATTACCGAAAATAAGGTTGACCTTAGTCTTGTCATTTGGATTCTTACAAATAGCACGAATGATCTACACAACACATTAAGCCACCTTTCTTTTCTCCATTTTATCACTTACCTGAAGCATAGGGGTAATACCAGTACCACCAGCGATCATACCAATGGCTCTGCACATATTGGGAGTATAGTTGAAGTTACCTTTAGGTCCTCTAACAGACATTTCATCACCGACCTTGAGTTCACTGAATAACCGAGAAATATTGCCCATAGGATAAGACTATCATTTGGATTAAGTATATATATATGTATATGTATATACACATAGATTACCTTGACAAGTAAATCAAAATAACCACGATCATCATCTGAACTAGTAGGTGTATAACTACGAGAGATTTGCTTGCCATTGATTTCAGCCATCACAGATACATGTTGGCCAATAGGAAGACCCAACACAGCATCCTTGCGAGGTAAAGCAAAACGATAACTAAAATAGACTAGTTAAGACATTATCATATCTACATATGACTTACATGGCTGTGTTGTGAGAAATAACAATCTTTTCAGCCAACTTGAACTTTTTAAACACCTTGGCATCCAATACTTCACCTAGTTTATCACTGTCAACATCTCAACCAATGTCACTCGACTTACTCTTTTTGTTCATAAAAAAGTAAGCACTACCAGCAGCAATAACTGCTGGAATCAAGTATGGCAAAACGCTTTGAACAGAATCCATAGTGTAAAAAAAAGATAAAAAAAAGAAAAAAAGGGGGGAAACAGGACCCAACACTAGCCATTTATTGGGGGTAAATAAAAGTAAAAAAAAAATTATTTAACGAATCAGAGATTAGATATGCCATCTGCCTGCTCTTAACATTGGCCTTACTCTTGTAAACCAATAAGCAGCTCCATAAGCAGCTCCACCTAAATGAGCTGCACTATCCACTAAACTACCTCGCTAGAGAAAGGGAAGAAGAAAAGAATATGGAATTCAATACACTGCAAACAAAGACATAGACTTACTTTAATGGCATAAGATTGATATACATCATAAGCAGCAAATAAACCAACAACGGCAATAGCTGGCATTGGGACTATAAAAAAGACTAGGAATGTTGCTTTTGGAACTAAAATAGGCTTTAGTCTAGAGTCAAATTAGACGATATCATCCTTACAAGCACAAGCAAAGAAAGTAGTAATGCCCATAACAGCACCTAGATATATACGTGAATGACATGTGATTGCTTTCTTTTTGTCTTACCTGATGCACCCATGGAACCATGCAAGGCTCTTGAATAGGATCCTCTCTTGTTCTCCAATCTAGGTCGAATATACTTTCGATATCCTATACCTACCATAGAAGCAACTAAACCAGCACCTGTATATAGCCCCAAGAAGCGAGATACACCAATGGCCTGCATGACACCTTGTCCCATACTATGCAACACAAGCATATTCACACCCAAATGAGTCAGGTCTTGGTGGGAGAAAACAGAAGTAAGTAAAGTATGGTATCTTCCATGATTGACTGCATCTTCTGAACTAACAAAATGCCTACTCATCCATTCTAACCAAGCAGGATCACCAAATTGTTTATAGGACTGTATAGCATATTGCCATCCCAGAAAGACAGTGGCATTGGTACCAATCAGTGTCCATAATACCTTGTTTGGATCAAGGTCATTCAATGGAAGACGCTTTCTCTGTATTGCTTTAGAAAGGGGCTCTTGTGAATAGTAATGAGGTCGAATATAGGTTCTACGAGTAATACTGTTTCCTAATCGAGTGGTTATTTTAAGCATGAATACAATGAATCAAGACGCGTTTCATCGTGTATATGCTTTAATGCAATTGAAGCACAGTCACAATGCTCTCTTGATTCAATCCACGTTTCCCCTCCCCCCCCCCCCATACAACTGGGTTTTTCTTCTTTTTCTCTATCAATATGGATCTGCGACAGCCTCAGGAAGATCCTATGTATATCAAAGCCTGTGAAATGGCATGTAAATTATTAGATGCCTCAGAACGATTTATAAATGCTGTCAATCACTTGCAACAGTCGATAGATCAAAAGACAGTCGACCAAGACACTATCTACAGTCCATTAAGACAGGCCATTGATCAATATGAACAACTTCAAATGATCAACAACGTATTAAAAGCGATTTATCCTTCTATTCAAAATATACAACGACAACAGTCTTTAGAGTCTGCCACAGTGTCTGCTACCAACACATCGACTCATCATCTGTTACGCATCCATCAGTTAATCACGACTCATTCACCTAATGCGTCCGACATGGTAAAGCAAGAACTTGTATATGTCAGTCGTCAGTTACAACAGACAGTGGAAGTGACTAAATCAGAACAAATGGATCAAGTCCATTGGCAAGATCCAATCCAACGCGCTTCTCCATTGTCAAGAAACGTGTCTCCTATGCAACAAGGTTCTCCGATACAAAAATTGCAGCATGTATCTATACCACTGCGCTATGAGCAACCACAGGTGCCTGCTGTACAGATGAATTCATTGACAACACAAGCATCTCCCACACAGCCATTACCAATACAATTGACAACACATGGACAACCCAGTGTGATTGTTGTCACTCAACCTGCTCCTGTGTCTATTCCGGATGCTTTTATGCCTGTTCAGTCGGATCCTGTACCTATTCCAAATGTGCCTGCTACTGTAGAGCCAAAGGCTAGCGTAACGTCTCCTCCTCCACCTGTTAGTACTACTTCTTCGCCTCCTTCACAAGCCTCGGAAGTCTTTTTAACATCTCAATTCCTTGAGCAATTTGAAGCAACAGCGACTCAATTTGCCAGTCTGAATTCCATTCATATCAATGCTGTCTGGGAATCCATGCTGGTCCATGCTTTACCTTCTGACCAGATCGAATGGGCTAAACAACACTTACTTAACAAAGACTATACATGGGAAAAGGCTAAACAAATCTTTAAGCGACAATTCCCCGATGCATCGCGTAGTATTTCACCTGTAGCACGAGTGAAGCAAAAACCACAAGAAGAAACAATGCCTTTAAGCATGGACCATGAATTTACTTTACCCAAAAGCGACAACACAAGACGCATGGCAGTCTATGCTGAGCATTTACTTGGTCTGGAAATGAAGTTGTATGATAATATTGATGAATACAACAATCGATACTCACGGTATTGTCGTATTGCCCAAATGGATCTTCATGATCCTTCTCTTATGCAGCGTTATGTAAGATCTCTTTTACCCGAATATACTGAATTAGTCAAGGCAAATGCATCTGACAAAACTATACGTACTTTACCTGAAATCATGCAAATTGCTTCCCTTAGTATCAAGGCACATGAACTCAAAACAAATCCTAAAAAGACACTAGTACCTTACAGTCAAAACTGTCCACATCAAAGATCTACCATGTTGTCCTTTTTAAGTCAAAACAAGAGCAAGAGTAGTGAACCTTTTCAAGGCCAAAAACGATCTATGCCTTTCTCTGATAGTAAATCTACCAAGCGACCAACCATCTTTTAAATACCCCTCCCTTCCCCCTTTATGAAAAAATTAATAATAATAGTATGTTTAAAAAGGCGCATTTAAAAAAAGCCACATTTTCATTTTTTTCTTTTCTTTTACTTTTCTTAATCTAATGTCTAAATCAATAAAGGTGAATTGCTCATTTCTTTTTTTTTTGGTTCATCATTAACTCATGACAGCACAAAAAACAAACCAAGATACCTGTACAACAAACTCACATTCAAAAGACAAAACATAAAAAGCGCGTGAAAGGATCTTCAGAATTAGACAATCCTAAATTTGCAAGCAAGGTAAAGATGATGACATTCAATCAATACCTTGTTGATATCCTTCTAGAATTTCATGCTAGATTTAGTTGAAAAAGCAGCCAAAAAAGAAGATGAAAAAGTGAACAAGAAATTAGAAAAAAAGGCACAAATTGCAAAAATCATTGAAGAAAAAGCAGCTAAAAAAGACTTGAAGGCAGAAAAGAAAAAGGAAAAATTAGAACAAATCAAGCAAGCTTATCTTGAAGCACAAAAGAAAAAGAAAGCAGAAGCCAGAAAACAAAAAATCAAGGCAAAGATAGACGCCACCAAAAAGGAAGAGGTAAAAAGAAAAAATGACATGTTTGACCTGTGTTATTTACCGTTTTTAAGGAACCTGAAAAGAAAAAGAAACGTGTTCGATTTGCATAAAAGACAGATCCAGAAGCGAAGAAATGATTTCATACAAGGTGCCTATTGTTTGTACTACCTACTATGCTGCAAAATTGCATAATGCCACTGTGACTTGTTCTAGAAAAGACTAAAATAAATAAAAACGTCTTTATAGTGTCATGACAGATGACGTTGCCATGGAAATTATAAGCTATTTGTTGTGTTTCTATTCAACACGCACTGACGCAAAAAAACGTTCATGGATACAGAACAAAAAAGAAACAGACACATATATATATATATTTACAAACAAAACAAATTAACATTTACATATTATGGACACTTTTTAGCTCTTCTTTTTCTAAGTGTACCATTAGCAACTTTTTCTTGACGTGTAACGCGTCTGGAACGCATATCGGCATGGCGATTGCGATAAGAATCAACAGCACGTTGAATTAAGCCACGGCGACCAACAAGTTGATCTTGATTAAGCCAGCAAAGTTCCCAGCCTAGCTTGTTGCAGCTAGTTTCATATTCCCAGCGATTACCATCGTATTCTTCCTTTGGCACATTGGCTCGTGGATAAATCTAGAAATAAATATATGAGAACACAGATGGAATGTATTGAGTTACTTACTGCATTTTGCATGCGGAAACTGAGTGGAATGTCATCAAGACAGACACTGTCAACATCAGTACGGACTGTGTATTCTTTGACCAGACGATCATGCGAGTAAAGAAATGTAATGTGCTCAATACCATCAATGAGGCGGGCTACAGGTTCATGAGCAGAAAGAGATACAACAGAAGCAACAGAAGGATAAGAAGAAGCTCGTTTACGATAAGTGCGAGCAGTATGGCCTTCTGATGATTTTCTTCGAATACCACGATTCTTTGTTGAAGAAGTAGGTACTTGAGGTGAATTGGATAGAGATGTAGGTGTTGTTGTTGTTGTTGTTGTTTCTTGTTGCATTGGCTCAGTCATACTTGGTTTTCTGTTTTGATGGGTAGAAGAGACAGAAGAAGATGATGAAGAAGAGGAAGAAGAGACAGAAGAAGACAAATTCGTGTTGACTTGTTGATCAGGAGAACCCACAGGAGGTGTGGGAGGCATCATAAATGGCATTGGCTGCATAAACATAGGATTAAATGACCATTCTTGTTTGATTGCATGTTGGCTTGTTTGCCAAAATAAGGGATCTAGAGGCACATTGTCATTCAATGGTATACTAGGCCATATGGCTTGACCAACACTAGTAAGGTTGGACATAAAATCATTGGATGTGGGCCATGATAAGGTAGGGTGTTTCTCTTCTTTGAATTTCTCGCCTGCATTATACATCAAATGCTCATTCGAGTTTTCCGTGCCAAAATAAGTTGTATTCATGCTAATTGAAGAAGAAAGAAGAAAAGAGTAGATTTAAAATGAAAAGATTGTCTTTTTTTATATTTTATATGTGTGTGGAAAAATGGTGAGACTGCAAATATAAGCCTGAAACGAAGTGCCGCTTGAATTTTTTTTTCTTTTTTTTGCTAGAAAACTTGGTCTTTTTTCTAAACAAGAACTTTCCTTATTGTAAACGAGTACCTCTTTTCTTTCAGGTTTTTTTTTAAAAACAAGAATTGCTTTGTATATGATAAAGTAAACGAAATGCAAAAAGAAAAGTGACTATTTTTCTACTGAAAACAAAAAAAAATAACCTTCGTAATGCTTGTGTAGTGATGTCGGATGATGAGAGATAGAAACATCGACAAAACTCCGAATACTTTTTTTCCTCTCTTTTTTTTTTTTTTTGTCATCTAACAGGTCTCCACACATCAACAAAAAAGCAAAAACAATCTTGCTCCTTTCCTCTTTTTGTATGTGTGTGACATAGACTATTGTATCAAGATGCATTCACAAATGCGTAAAAGCGACGTATTGATTGGCTAATGGAATAAAAGACAGACGTTGAAAATCGTGATCCGAATCCGTTTAGATAGTTTATCCGACCCTGAAGTTTTTCGTTATCTAAGACAATGGCATCATTATTCGGACGTCTCGCACTTTTTTTTCTATATACATATTTAGTAGGACATTACTTTTATGTATTTCTAAAGAATACTAGTTATCAGATCTTGCGATTTTACGGAACAAATGAGACACGACATTGGTTTTGATTATGAATGCAGAATACAGAAAACATTTTTTTATTATTAAAAAGCGTTAGTTTGGTCTTGACTGCAAAAACGGAGAAACATAGCAAAGAAAGTAGCGTCTCAAAAAGTTTTTTTTGAAGTAAGGTTTCTTCTTTTTGTCTTCTACAGTCCAATCCATATGTTGAAAAACGAATTCTCACAATTTTCGCACTGATCATGCTTGGAACTAAAACAACATACTTTTAACTTAAAAAAGTAGCTGTTTTAATTGTTTAATCGCTAAACAATGGCTCATCAAAGAATAGCGTATGATCGATATTATGTGGTCATTTCTGAGACCTTCAATCGTTATCCATATAGTGGACGCACCAATATTTTTCGTATGGTTTAATTGAGCTGCATTTTTTCTATATCTTTTTCTACAAAAGCAATTGTCCATAACTTCATTGAGCTTGTACGCTTTAAGTAGCATCGTGCACATAAAATGTTTGACATTAAGAAATTAAAAATAAATAAAGAAATGAGACCGATTTGATTGCCTTGAGGAGCATAAAAAACTAAGCCTTTGCTTGAAACTGCAAGAAGACGTAAGTGTATGGCTTATGTGCAATAGCAAAAGGTATAAATCTCTACGTTCTAAGCCTATTAATGTAAGAAAAACAGTAAGCTTTCTGGCAAAATCTTTGGAAAATTGGTAAAAATATCTGTAAGGTTTACTGCTCCTACCATACGATTTTTGTTGTGCAGTTGGTAAGCAAACACTTTGACCAGCAAATATAGACTTTGGTGCCTATTTTAAGTATTTAAGCTCGTCGACAGCTCTATTTCTCGTCTAGTAGTGTCAAAAAGGAAACCAGAAGTTGCCAAACTGAGGACTTTCACGAACAGCACCCTTTGGCCGAAAGTGGTTTTTGGTCATTTTTTACAAATCTCTCTTTTTTGGTTCAAATCATTATAAATGTAAATGAATATAGTTTGTAGGCATTTGGAATCTTCTTTTGCACATAAAAGTACTTTATGGCACCTTTGTGTGGATTTGTAATTGTATGTATTTCAAAAGAATTCAAACGGATGTATCTCTTTTAGGAGATGCTGGTGAGTATATAAAGCAGGCAAAATCCGCAATCAATGTTAAGCTGAGTTCTAAAAGTGGTATGATGCTCTTAGCTTCCAATGCATGTCAACACTAATTTTGACCCATCTCAATCTCAATGAAAAAAGTATTATAGTATGAATACCAATGTGCCTTATTTGAAGGATCACTATACGGTACAAGTTCGAATACAATATTTAAAGAGTTTATCTGTACTATTAAATACTCTCAATCTACTGAATAGGGCGCATTTGAGTACGATGTTAGTGCTGCTTTACTTACTTTGACCTGTTGACTTCTTGTTTTTCTTCTTCAGCTTCCTAGATCAGGTCACAAGGGACGCTTTGACTAGCTAGAGCTAAGACACGTCTTTTGATAATTTACCACTATTCAAGGCAGCTTTGCAATGAGTTTAAAAAGGCTTGTCAAAATCGTAGCTTCATACCATTTCAAAGAAATAAATATCGTCTATAATACATAAAAATGGATACTGACTCGGGAGTTTGTGGATCTGTTCTTGCTAATTTTCTTTCATTACAAAAGAAACGCACACACACACACACACACACACACACACACAGACAGGCAGCATATTAATCTCATAAGTTTGACCAAAGCTTACAAGGCTATTACATATAAAGACAACAAAATGAATGTCGTAATTTAGGCATTTATTTTTGAAGTAATTATCAAATACAATGAAACGCTCTGCTAAGAGAGGAGAGAAAGCGTTAAACGTGATATAAACTATCATGGTGGGCGATTTAAGAGATTTTGAAATCAGATATAATGCATGTCATACAAAGAAGATAGTACACAATGTTATGAGATCTTTCATCAAACACTACAGCGGAATCCAATACCACATAGTAAGTAGAGACAGTCTAACCTAGCATCAACAAAAAGCTTTTAAGCAAGTAATCACAGTGCACCAATGTCGAAAGTAGCGAGCATGAGCAGCGTCTATACCTAAAGTAAAAATAAGTACAAATAAATTTAATGCTTACTTGGTATGTTCAAACGGAATAGTCATAGTTTGATTGAGCTCCTACGAAGTGAAGGACAAGGTTATGCTTTCCTAAAGCTTCGTCACTTCGGGGTGTCTAAAGTCCAAGCTTCAAAAGCAACCATCTTTTGGATGTCTACTTTCAGCGTTGTCGATAGAGCAAGCCCAAAGCTTAGTAGGATGTTCAACACTCCATCCATATACTGTGTTGAAAGGATATCGAGCGGGAGTGCTGATGCCTTTCCCAGACTCCTACGAAGTGAAGGACAAGGTTATGCTTTCCTAAAGCTTCGTCACTTCGGGGTGTCTAAAGTCCAAGCTTCAAAAGCAACCATCTTTTGGATGTCTACTTTCAGCGTTGTCGATAGAGCAAGCCCAAAGCTTAGTAGGATGTTCAACACTCCATCCATATACTGTGTTGAAAGGATATCGAGCGGGAGTGCTGATGTTTGAGGGCAATCTACCTAAACAACCCAGGAGGGTTTGTTTAACTGTATAAAAAAAGACTAAAGTACTGCGCATCATCCTTACATACTACAATAAGAGTTAGTGACGTAAGCATATGAACGGCCAATAATGTTTGAGTGTCTCGGTTGCCTCATTAAAAAAAAGGAAAGGGGTTCTTTCTACATGAACTTTAGAAGAGACAGCATAACGAAGGTTCCATGAAGCCATTTGATTGGAAAGATTCTAGTCATGCAGAATTTACTTGATATGCTCTTATTTAAGCAAATGTGTCTTTTCACTTTCTCAGTTAAATTTTAGCAACATGTACAATCAACTTTATTCATTTCATTGAGCAAAGGATAGCTTCACGATATCTGTACAGCAAAGGGGTAGACTGTAGAAACTTTTTTAGAGTGGCAGGGTTGGTGGGACAGACAGCTTCAAGATGTGTGCGTTTCACAAAACAATCATCAAAGAATGTCAGAGATTCGAAGTATAGCTTCAAGTCTAGCAAGAAGGTGATTAGCAATTATGTTATCCTAAACAATTACAGTAATCTCACCATGATATCTGACATAATATTGTGTGGGACTTTCATCCCCTTCTGCCTTTCTTATCTTCAGCAAATCAATGAATTGCTTGAGCATCTTTTTTTCATCACCTTTGGCCTTTCCTGGCCCATTATTGAAGTCAATACCACCTGAGAGCTCTACGAAAAGAGGAGTGATTGACTTTTTGTTGACTTGGAAAGCAATACCGTCCCATTTAGTTTCTCCTGTAGAAGGTGCCTGCTTTTCTACCCTATATAAATTGTACATATTGGAATTTAGATATGTAGTTTCATATTAAGTAACAGACCTACCATTGCATATCAATGATATCGCTGCAATCTACAAACAGATTATGCAGAATGGGAATTGTGGTTAAGAAGGCAGTATTTCTTTCCAATTGCTGTTGTTGTAAAGGGTTTCTTGGGCTGTCAATCAAATTTAAGCTATGGCGATTAAAGCCAAAAAAGCAAAGGTTATTTTTTTTTTTTGGGCACATAGTATTGCTTACAAATGGACTGCCATGACTTCAATAAAATTAGTTGCATAGTGCACGGAAAGGTCAAATTGCTCGTTGGGGCTGCATGCATGCTTTCTTATTATCTTTCTAAGAACAATTGCACTTGGAGCACAGCTATCCAGACTTGCTAGTAGTGTTTGGCAATCTTGATCTAATTCTTTGTTTGGCAGGCCTGTCAATTCTCTTAATTTGATAAGTGTCTTATCTTCAATAGCATCGCTTTGGTCAGGGAAGATAAACTTTTCGTTCATTCTGGATCCAAAAGAAAAACTCAGTCAAACAACATGAACACTATTGACAAAATATTGTTAAACTTACGCATCATAAGTAATATCTTCTAGGCAACTTATGATTCCATCAGTTTCGTCTGCTACTGCTGCTGTAGTTACTGCTGTAGTTGCGGATGTTGTTGATTCTGTTGCTGTTGATCCTGTCGCCACTGCTGCTATCTATTTTTCATTGATCCGTGTTCTAGTTATCGTTGTTTTATTCTTCAAAACTCACCTTTTTAGTTATCGATTCATAAGCATAACAGATAACTTCATTACTGTTCTCTGCAGCCAATCTTCTTCTTTTTTCCATTCTTTCTTCAGAAGTCGTCTTTTCCTTCGCTTGCCAGAACTCTTTGTACTTCTTTGCAAACTCTGACTGTGTTTGATTATCCCTTGCCTAATATTAACAAATAAATAAAAGGTTAGAGGATATTGTAGATAGTTGTAGCAGAGCGTCTGATTACATTGAAGTCATTGATCACTTTGGCGATCAAGAGCTTCTTGTCTCCTTTTTTAGAAGACAGAGCTGCCTTCATGGTATTCAAGTAAGCAGTATTAGCGCGTCTTTTGTCGAGCTCAAAGGTGTTAACAAAGTCAAAATAATCATAAGGCTGAGATAGTAGGGAAGCCGTTAATATCCAAGAAAAATATGTTGAGAATCGACTTGAAAAATCTTGAAACATGGTAATTGTGATGTCTTGATAATAGAGAGTTATATGATAAAATAATGTAGAGACAAAGGTAGATACTTTGAGACTGTTTATCTAATTTTATTGTTATCATTTTTTGAAGAGATGTCGGAGTAAGTAGTAGTAGAGTTCATGCAAATGACTGAGTCTCTATTATCATAGACTACTTTAAATTGATTAAATAATGTAAACTATGGATTTCAGTCATAAGTCTTAGTCTGTTAAAAGATACATTGTCTTATTCAGTACAAGAGGTTCTTTTATGTCTATTTCTGATGTAAATTGATTATGATATATTTTAGTATGTAAATGAAGACTTATTTAATGTCAGATCACAGTAATAGAATAATTGAAAAAGCAGCTGCTTTGAAACCTCCTTTATGAAAAAGCGAACTTGTTGGTTTTGGTGTTCAAAGCCACATTTTTTATGAAATGAATATCAAGGTACACAAGCATTGTACAGTTTCAGGTGTTGTCATAATGCTCGAGACTATAGAAATCAATTTACTGAATAGGGCGGCATTTGGATAAGATGTCAGTGCTGCTTTTCAATTTTCTTCTCCAGTCCCCTAGATCAGGTCATACAGTATGCTACTGTTTATGTGTGTAATGACTGTATGATTCATTTCTAGCACGAACACAGTTGTTATAGTTAAGCATGATGTATATCTGTAAAGAAGAAAAAGAGAGATATATTCTTTTGACGACTGTGCAGTCCTTTAATACTCTAAAGTCCAAATAATCAGAAACCGAGTGACTGCCTTGATCAAAGCAAGCAGACATGCTGAATTTGCTCCCTAAGCTCTTCGCAGCAATTAATCATTTCACATGAAAAGAAGAGAAATTTGCACAATATAAGATATCTGAATCAATTGTTTAAACCAGTCCTGCATCGTTATTTAAAGGAGGAAGTAACTTTTAATTTCCTTTTCCATTTTGGCATATCAGTAACTTTTAGAAAAGGTTAGTCCAGGTTAGTCCAGGTTAGTCCAGGTTAGTTCAGGTTAGTCGAGGTTAGTCGAGGTTAGTCCAGGTTGGTCCAGGTTGGTCCAGGTTGGTCCAGGTTGGTCAAAGTTGGTCCACATACAAATCTCTGATTGATTGTAATTTGTCTAATTTTTTTTGATTCGTCTAGAAAAAACTAACATCGTCTGAATTTAAAGTGTAAAAACTGTATAAAACAACGTTATAACAGACACACTGCATTGCATAAATACACTTCAGTTGAGTAACGAGCAATCCTTAGCATTAGCTCTGAGTGAGTAGATCACCGATATAAATACTATAAAAACAGTAAGAATTGCATTCATTGTTTGTATGAACAAAAGAAGGCACCGTAGGACTCAATGGATCCATTTATTCTGTACAGTAACTGCTCGATTTGAGGGCATGTCTTCGTTTAAACACTCTTTTCTTTTCCCTAGTATAGAATGATCTGCACAATGACTATGGAATTATGCGCTGAGAAGGATTTAATTGTATTAACCCAATTTGAAAGAATCGATTAGAGTATCATCTTGTCATGGCATTTTGTTCACAAAATCTCTTTATTTTCTCGGTAAAATGAATTAGATGTAAGCAGCTACTTTTGATAAACGTGGCTGGTTAAAGAGGTAAGCCATTATGTGATTTTTAATTTAAGGGTAGATCAAGCATAGCTAGTTTTTGTCAATATACCTTTTCTTTATGGCAAAAACGAATTCTTCAGCACCAATCTATGTCTCTTGAACACTAGGTCTTGCCTTAAGACCCTTAAAAAAATTCAGCAAGTCTGGGACTGGATTCAACAGCTTCTAATTTAAGACCACCTAAAAGAAGTTGATTGATGGCATCAATGCCATGGTAATATCAGCTAAAGAGAATTCTTGGCCAAGAAAATAAGGGCCATCTGGAGACTGTTTCTTCAAAAGCTCATCAAACTTATATAAAAAAGTGAGTCTACAAGTAACATTATATTTGATACTTTACACGAATCAAAGTGGCATTTATGTTCTTTTCATAGTCTGTCTTTGCTCCTTCAGAGTAAAAATGAAATATGAGCTTGTAAAACTTGGGAATAACCTAGGACGAAAAGTACTCGATAGCAAATCGAATCTTGGCACGCTTTAAAGGATCTTGAGTTAATAAGCTTTGTGATTTGTTAGCCAATATCACTTTTGAAGGACTGCTTACTTTTTCTCGGGGAATCGATCATTGATGTATTTGATAATACCTAAAGATTCGGCAATACTTTGATCTTCTGTAGTCAAAGCAGGAACCTTAAGTTCAGGATTAATGTCCTTGTACCAATCAGGCTTGTTGGACAGGTCAATATCGACACGCTCAGACTCCACATCCACTTCCTTTAGAGCAATATAAGCACGTTGGGCATATGGATACATACGGGCATTGTAAAGCACAATTTTGTCTAATTCATTGAATATCACATTAAAGAGCAGTCTTTTATCTTACCAGACATGTTTTAAAATAGTGTATACTGTAGGTTATGGAGAGAGAGAGAGAGAGAGAGAGAGAGAGAGGTCTTTTATACTCTTCTTGTCAAGTTGATTAATTAGCAATATGCAAAACAGGACATGACAGCCAATCAAAAATGAACTACGCATTGCCTTTCAAAATGGCTGACTAATATCGCCCATAGTAAGTAATCCTCATTTAGATAGAAGAATCAGGATGTACACAAACAAAATATGGCTTACCTGATCTATTTTGGGTAGAGAAACTATAGTCACTCTCGGAAAAAGATGCTGTTATTGAGTTGGATATACGATATGCTACCATAAGCGTCAGAAAAGGTCAGCAAACAGCTTGTCTTTATGAGACACCCTACTACTGCGGTGACTGCTACTGCACTGATTTATTGACTTACTACCCTTTGATTATTTTTCTTTTTACTTTTTAAGCTATGGACGTTATTGTTAGTGTTACTGAAAAGAGTACTGAACAGTTTATTCAATTCTTTTACCCAAGCTACGATACACAACGACAAGTAAAACTCCTTTTTTTCTATTATTATTCACATAACTTGATCTAACTTGCAATAGAATCTTGGAAGCTTATATCGAGATAATTCTGCCATTTTATGGAATGGTAAAAACAGACTTCTGTTTTTCATGATAATTAAACTATCCATGTTATAGGCAATGCTTTCTCTGGTGCTCAACAGTATTCTGAATTCCTTGGCCGTCTACCAATGTCACATCATGAGATCGATGTTTATGATTGCCACCCTTTACCTAATACAATGAATGCTCAAGGTGCTTGTGGCATCATTATCAACACAACAGGCACTGTCAAATACGGTGATCATCCATCAAAACGTAATTTCTCTCAGACATTTATCTTGATGCCTGATGAGAAACAGGCTGGAAATTACTATGTTCAAAGTGACAGCTTTAGGTAAACAAAGAAAAAAACAAATAGACAATCAAATCCGTACTAAGACCTATTTATTAGATTTGTTTAAATCAATTATGTAAATATTCAATAAAGGGAAGACATTGCGTCTAAGTATATGTTGCTCAGTACCGATGTGTATCCAAGGAAACAAAAAAAACTTTTAGACGCGTTTAAAAGACGCGTTTGAAAATTAGAAAAGGTGTCACAAAAGAAAAGCTTTTCTCTCTTTTTTTTCTTTTGAATAACCAACACATGACAATCCCCATTGAGGCAGAAGCTACTTGTGAGAATCACACAGTGCATATTCATAAGCGCATAAAAACAGGTACAAATTTTATTTTTTAATATATATCTGATAATGTTAGTAGAACAAGACAACGATGATGATGATGATGATATGTTTGACGATGATATTGATATTGAAGAAATTGATCTATCAGCCATTATGGCTTCACGAAAGCCACTCAATAGAAGTCTTAGTGATAGTTTTGACCGCATCCCTGTGGATCCAAATGACATTCTGAATACAACCGAAAACAGTCCAAAACCACCCGCTAATTCGGTATGTCCATGTAGTTACAACCGTCTAAACCAACTCTATTAGCAAGAGAAACGCAAAAAGTTCACTCGGTATTTAGTGATAAATATGACTAGTGGTTCATATTCTGTTAAAGACGAGCATTATTCAGAAAAGGTCTTGACTTTAATGCAAGAAGAAATGAACCATGCTATTACAGCAAGGCTTCGACAAGAATGGGAACAAACGATTGTTGTCATTGGAGACGTTGTTCATATACCACACACAGACACACTGCATGATATTGTCATTGACAACCAAAAGAACTTTATTGTAGTTCACCCAGACAAATTGATTTCATGTACTGCTGTTGCTGATAGTTTTGCATGTCTTCGTAAATCAGTGCTACAGATGAAGATCAAAGGTGCAAGTGAATATTCAGAAGCACTGATTTATGGTAATATCATTCATGCTGTCCTTCAAGGTGCTTTGCAGACAGGTGATTTCTCTATCAAGGCAATTCAACAGGGCATTGAAAACACCATCATGAACTCATTAGAAGCCTTGTATGCTATTGATCAAGATCAGGAAACAGCCTTGAGTACCTTGAGCGGCTATGCTGATAGCATACATCAATTTGGAACTTTATATGTCAATGAACATCCAAAGCCAAATGCACAAGTTAGTAGAGATATGGGCGCTGATGTTGCAAGAGAAATGGGATGCACCTCCGTTGCTATATGTAAAGTACTTGATATTGAAGAACACTTGTGGAGTCCAACATACGGTTTAAAGGGAATGGTTGATGCTTCTGTTCAACTTAAGCTGAGTCCATCAAACAAAGTTTTGACAGTACCTTTTGAATTAAAGACAGGAAAGGCATCTCGTTTCTTAACCAATCGTGCTCAAACGCTATTGTATACCTTACTGATGAGTGATCGTTATGGTACGTTGCGTGGATTGTCTACAGCGTACTTACTGTTATTGTAGATGTTGAAATTAGAGCTGGTGTGCTTTATTATTCCAAAACAAATAGCTTGTATCTAGTACCTGCCTTACAGAACGATTTAAGATCACTCATTATGGCTAGAAACTATTTAGCCGTGGCAGACCGTAAAGAATCCATTCCGCCTATGATTAAGAATATGCATACTTGTCAATACTGCTACTTAAATCATGCATGTACTATCTACCACAAATCAATTGAAATGGGAACAGGCAACACAAGTGAACTGTATAAGCTATTTGACGACATGACAGACCATATGGGTAATTCTACTACTGAATTTGTACGACATTGGTGGAAGTTATTAGATCAAGAAGAAGTTGACATTGATTATGTCCGAAAAGATATCTGGAGTCAACCTGCTGAAATTCGTGAAATGCTCGGCAGATGTCTATCCAACATGAGACTGAATTTGGCTGCAAGTGACATTGACCCTCAATTCTCTCGCTGGAAGTATTGTTTTACTCGAGATCAAGCGCTTGTTTGCAATATTTCAGTAGGTGATCCAGTCGTTGTGTCTAGCATGGATGGTCATATCAATTTGGCTATGGGATTTGTGACAAGAATCAATTTGAACGAAATCCTCTTGAGTCTAAATGAACCTTTACGCAATCCTCCACAAACAGGGTTAGACTTTGACCCGGACAATCATCAAAACTTCAATACATTTATTGGTGTTCGAGACAATGTGGCTCGGTTTTATGCTCGTTCCAGTACACGCTATCGCATTGATAAAGACGAAATGTCAACAGGCATGGCTCTACTTAGAAACAACTTGATCATGCTTGTCGCTAAAGCAGCTGAAAATGAAGCTAAATGTCAACGACTCCGTGAGCTAATCATTGATTTGAAAAAACCAGAATTCAAGACAGCAGCACCTTCTATGCCTCCCTTGCCAAACATGAACCCTGATCAACGTAACGCTTTAAAACGTGTCTTACAAGCCAAAGATTACACTTTGATTTTAGGTATGCCTGGTACAGGTAAAACGACAACAACAGCTGAAATCATCTATCAACTTGTCAAGCAAAACAAGAGTGTCTTGGTTTCTGCTTATACACATACAGCGCTTGATAACGTCTTGATCAAAGTGCGTGAACATGGTGTGGACATCTTGAGATTGGGCAGTTTGGATAAAGTCATGCCGGCTATGCGAGATTGTGTGCCTTCATCAAACAGTACGGTTACTTCAGTAAGTGCTATGCATAAATATTATGAATCAAAGAAAGTGGTGGGTGTGACATGTCTTGGTATTGGCGAGTAAGTTCAGATACGTTGCACTTGGAGTGAGTTGTTTATATTGGTATAGTGTTATGCTTCAAAAGCGAAAGTTTGATTATTGTATTATCGATGAAGCGTCTCAAATTACTCTACCTACATGTATTGGACCTCTTCGTTATGCAAACACATTTGTACTTGTAGGAGACCTGTATCAACTGCCACCTATTATTCGTAACCGAGAAGCTCATGAAGGAGGGTTAAACAAGTCCTTGTTTGCTACTTTAGCTGAAGCAAGGCCTGAATCGATTTGCTATTTAGAATATCAATATCGTATGTGCAAAGAGATCATGGATGTATCCAACCTTTTGATTTATGATGGTAAACTGAGATGTGGTAACAACGCAGTAGCCTCTCGAAAGCTAGTGATTCCTCAATTCAGACAAGGACTTGATGCAATGCACGATGGTATCGTTTGTAAAGGTTTATCTGATTGTTGGCTAGAGCATGTTTTGGATCCAAGGTAAATCGTCATGCATGATTAAGGTGGTCTAAACATCATTATTATAGTCGAAAAGTGGTGTTTGTCGATATGGATGCATTGGATGCTCAAGAAAACAGACCGTTTGGCAGTTTTGTTCAGAATGATACAGAGGCTTTGTTGGTCCAACAAGCAGCTGAGACTCTTTTGAATTGTGGTATTGATCAAGAACAATTGGCCATCATTTCAGTCTATCGATCTCAGTTACGTCTCATATCACACATGTTAAAGACAAGGACAAAGATTGAGATTTCTACCATTGATAAATACCAAGGACGTGATAAAGAATGCGTTATCTTATCACTTGTTCGAAATAATACACAGGGCAATGTAGGTTCACTTTTGTGTTGTATGTCGGCTTATTTTTTTATGGTAGGCTGGCGATCTATTGAGAGATTGGCGCCGACTAAATGTAGCCATCACTCGAGCCAAAAGCAAATTGATCTTGTTTGGCTCTTCTTCTACTTTAAAAGCTTCTGCTCTGTATAGCAGCCTGATAGGATCATTTGAGAAGAAAGGCTGGGTATGTTCTAGAGTACACCATCACTGTACTTACATATGTCAATAGGTTTATACTATACCCCATGGATCTGAATCAATGCACACAATAGTAAAAGAAGAAGAAACCCAGTCGTCCCTAAATAAAAAAACGCACAAGACATTTTCATCTGCAGCTAGAGTACTGAAAGAAAACCGGGTTCTCAGGGAGATTTATCAAGATGCATCCTAAAAGGGACGCTTTACAGTCACAATTTAATATCAATTAACTTTTCGTAATTAGCATTTATTGCCTCCTTGTACACACTCTGCATTATTTTCTTTTTTCTTTTTTTCATTTCTTTCTTTATATGACCACAATAAACCATTACCAATGGCTTTTCCAACAATGCCGTCAAAAAACAAAAGAAGATGTAGTGAAGTCAATTCATGCACTAGATATCATGGAAGCAGAAAAATTAGATCTTTTAGATCTCTTGGATCATATGCTTAAATCATGGGTAAATATCTTTATGTATGTGTATATATTATCTGCAAAGAAAAAGAAATATGCGTCTGTGGATGTTTATACTAACAGAAAATCTATAAAGCATCTTACTATCGAAACAGCTGATTTTCTTCGAGAAAAACCTACATTGTCAACCATGACTGACTATCATTCCATTTGGCCAGATCAAATTGATAAAACATCATATTGGTTTAGGCACTACTTTGTTGGAAAACCCTACATCACTTTGATTGGGCCTGTGATGAACGACACACATGCTATTGTATCTGTTATTAAAGGAGCTACCTACTATCGGATTATTATTCGCACAAAACAAGTAATACGTGCATGTTTATACCTTCTTGCATGTATAATTAAAAAAAACTACTTTCTATAGGATACAAATATGAACCGCATTGCAGAAGACAAAAATGTCAATGATTTCATATTGCAACTTGAATCGTCGGGTCAGTTACATAAACTAGATATGGAACATGAAGCAAAGAGAAGCAGGCCATTGCGTAGCCTTTCGTCAGTCATTATCACTGGTATCATTACACAGCCCATGTCAGATCAATACAATATGACTAGATCTATGCGGGCAGCACTCATGTCACTTTATTCAGACATTGACTTTAAACTTTTTAAAGAATTTTCTGCCGAGGTTACTATTTTATCAGGTCTAGAGAAAGAGCTGTTAAAGTATGATGAAATGGGGGTAAATTCAATACACTCAAGAAGCATTCTTTTGCTTACCTGACATAGATTCCTAAATCATACAAATTTGGTGTCATGACAATTCGCGATGGCCAAGATACAGAAGAACAATGGCTTTCTAATTCAGAAATACCAGAAGGATTGAACAAGCTATTAAATATAATTGGAAAGCCAGTTGAATTGAAAGACTATCAAGGATTTGCTGCTGGGCTAGACACAAAGAGTAAGAAAAAATAAATGCTTCTATAGCTTACTAAATTTCTGTGAAGCTGGAGAATCAGGAGAAATGTCATTTGCTTCTTTATGGCAGGACCATGAAATCATGTATCATGTAGCACCACTTATGCCTTCAAAAACAAGTGATCCTCAGCAAATACATAGGAAAAGATATATAGGAAATGGTAACTACTTTATTCTTTCTGATCATAATGTAAATTATATTTAGATATCGTGTGCATTGTCTTTTTGGAAGGAGAACATCAGAAATTTGATCCAACTTCAATTCGTTCTCAGTTCTTACATGTCTTTATTGTCGTTCAATTAGAACATGTAAATGAAAAAGAATTATGGAGGTAATGGTGTCTTCTTGAATCAAATTTACTGATGGTTTCTTTTCAACAGAGTTGAAGTGCTGTATCACAAAAATGTTTTGAAGTTCTCACCACCTTTGCCTTCTCCTCCTGTGTTTTATGACTGCAAAGACCTTGGCGCTTTCTTGCTGTTAAAACGTAATACAAGTATACTTGACACTGCATGTGCATATCTAATCTCATTACACAGTTATCAATGCTGAAAATGCTGCATTAAAATCGAACAAATTTGCAATACCAAGCAATAAGGCTCGTATTGCGATATTAGACAGTCTGATTGAAACAGGCATTGAAGCAAATCAAGTAGCGAAATCCTTTGGGCGCTTAGGAGAACGAAAACATCATGCAAATGGAGAACGACCAAAATCTGCAGGCATGCCACAACATCATCTTCGTAATCATCATAATTTTAATTCAAACAATATGACGACAATGAATGAATCTTCAGATACTCCTGAACTCCCTCCTTCTCCTGTTCCTTTGCCATCCATTTCAAGATCAAGCGTATTACGAGACTTAAAAAGCTTGACAAGGAGAAAAAGTAGTAATCATGGTCATGAAGAAGGTAAAGTCCCGCTGTGATTAAAAAAAATATTGACTATTTTTTTTATCAAGGCATCAAGAACAAAGCACAAAACTTTGTGAATTGCATGATTGGAAAAAGAAATTCTCGGACGGGTATGCCATTTTGAATCGTTTCACAATTGTGTTACTCAACTCTCGATAGTGTTAATTAACAATCATAATTTTAAGGAGGAGGGTAAACAAAAATAATTGTACAACATATTCTATCATAAAGGCTTGTTTTATTAAAGTGTATAAGAAAAAAAAAAGAGGAAGTTTTACAAATAAATATTTTACAAAAGGCCTACATTGCGTAAATTATCATGTACGACAATATCATTCACAGCGTTCATTACGAATTTGATTTGCTTTGTCTCTGTAGCACATGTCAAGTGAGTGTAGATCTGCTTTGTATCTGCTCTTGTATTTAGAGAGACAAACTTTTGTAAAAGATATTGGCATGCAGCATCGTAGTTGTCACCGCCTTTGTAGTCTGGAAAGAATTGACCAAGTGGGCTTCGAGGAAGCTTCTCTGCAAACAAGTCAATCTTATTTAGAAACAAAATAATGGATGTCTTAATAAACCATCTCGAATTACAGATAGAGTCAAATAGTGTTAGTGATTCTTGTAAACGGTTGACGCTTTCATCTTCAAATAGGACTTGGTCATATTCTGAAATAGCCACTAAAAATACAAGCGCTGTCACGTTTTCGAAGCAGTGAATCCATTTCTTTCGTTCAGATCGTTGACCACCCACATCAAACATACGGTATGTGAGTTGGTCGATAACAAAAGTAGTTTCGGTGATGCCTGTTGATTTGACTCTGGATCGCAGTACATCTTGGTCGCTTGGCATATAGTTGGGTTGTCCAATACGGAGAATAGAGTCAAAGTAGCTAAGTAATGTCAATATGCTATTCATTAATATAACAAAGAAATACTTACTATCTTGCAGAATCATTCAACTGGAACTCATTTGATCTTTGCACACACTCTTGTACACCTGGGTCATCCCAAAGCGAAGCGATTGCTTCGACTAGCTCATGTCCCAAGTAGTCAATCTGAGGAGGTGCTTCTAAAACCAGTCTCTTGTGTCCTTCATTTTCGGGATGATGGAACTGAATGCCCAAATTATCCATGGCTTCCATTGTGACTCGCATTGACTGCATTGTATTGCTAAAGATGACTTCTTTGAAACTTTCTCTTTCTTCTGGAGTATATCCTCCATCGTGAATCAGTTTCATTTGCTTTAAAATGGTAGACTTTCCAGATTCACCAGCACCCAGAAGCAGCATTTTAATTTCTTTTCGCAAATTAACTCTATCTCGCTTGATTTGGGCATCAATTTCTTGATTTCTTTGTTTTTCTTCGACTTGAGAGGTTGATTGACAGCAGCCCATACTTTAAGACGTTGTTTCAAGGATTTTAATATAGAAAAGACAGGTTAAAAAAAAACAAAAAAAAACGGAAAGAAAGGGAAAAGAAAAAAAAAGTTTGACGAACTTGTTCTATATAAAAAGTTAACCCCCTTGATTTATTTTTAAGGAGAACAAACAATGATTAAACAGGTCTCAAGCATGTCATTTAAATGATAGAAACAAGTTTTTTCTCTATAAGGAAAACAAGCATATAACTCTGAAGAGGTAAACCCTAAGAACAAGGATGGTTCTCTTGCTGGTTACACTCGTATGTTTTTTTTCACACAAGATACAGGGCGTTTTCCTTCAGGCACTGACCTTTGTTTTTTGAAAATAGATAAAAGAGAAGGGTTTAGTGTTTGTCTATAGTTGATAAAGTGTCAATAAGAGAATTAAGCTTTTCTTTTAATGTGTGTCAAATAATACTGTAATAATTAGAATAATTGTTAATAACTGCTCGGCACCATACAAATGTTCTTTTTTTTTGTGGCTCGGAGATGATACTTTTTTGAACTTCTCGCATGATAAGAAGCAACACCTTGTGCGACCATCAATCATAATAAAGTTTGTGCGCTTTGTTCTCCTTAAATTGTCTAAAAAGGTCTTTAATGTTCTTGACTGTCGCTCCAGGTATTTGATAATTCTTTTATTTTTTATCTATTTTTTTTCTGTTGTATTAGCTTGCTTCAAAAGACATCTTGGTATTAATTTAAGCTATTACGATTGGTTTCTTCCATTACTTTTTTCCCCTATCATTTGATGATATTTCTTTCTTTCAGGGCATATAGACCATTTCTGTGTCATACACCAACATTATATGCTGTTTCTCCTTAAATTATATAACTAGCTGCTTTCCTAAATACGAGCTCTTTTTCCGTTCGTCTTTCTTTTTTGTAGTTTGCTTAAAGTATATGGGATCGCTATGTTGTAAAGAAGAACCTGTTGACTTGTTGAGCGAAGGTTGAAAATGACCCATTATGCTGATCACTAATTGAAATACAGTTGAGCTTTCGCATTTTATATTGCTAAGATCAGTAGGAAAAGGCGCTTTTGGTAAGGTTCGCGTTGTTCAACACAAAGGCACAAAAAAGTTATATGCACTCAAGTACATCAACAAAGAAAAATGCATTGATATGAATGCTGTAGCCAATATTATTTCAGAACGAAATTTGCTAGAATCGATTGATTACAGCCTCATTGTAAATCTACGTTATGCGTTTCAAGATGATGAAAATCTATTCATGGTATTGGATCTCATGCTAGGTGGTGACTTGCGCTTTCAATTAGATCAAATGGGGACTTTACCAGAGAAATATGTCCAGTTTTATGCTGCTCAGTTAGCATTGTGCTTAAATCATTTGCACAGTCAGCATATTATTCATAGGTGGAGTGATATATGCAATATCTAGTTTTGTTTATTTCTTCGTAGGGATATAAAACCAGACAACATTCTTTTAGATGAGAGAGGGCATGCTCACCTGACAGATTTTAATATAGCAGTTCGATTGACAGAGAAAAGAAAGTTTCTTACTTCTATTGCCGGTAGCTTAGCCTATATATCACCTGAGATACTGAAGAAGCAAGGCTATTCTTACTCTGTCGATTGGTGGTCTTTAGGCATTGTTATTTATGAGCTTTTATACGGCGAGGTAAAACTATATACTATAAGTAGACTCATTTAGACTTATATTTTTTCAACAGAGACCGTTTCGTGCTAAATCAAACGAAGAACTTCAGAAACGGATTATTTCCAGTCCAATCGACTTTCCTAAAGAACCAAAAGTTTCCCCTGAAGCAATCAATTTTGTACAAGGATTGTTAACAAGGGATGTTGAGAAAAGGTTAGGGGTAGGAGATATAGGCTTTAAGCAGTTGAAAACACATCCTTGGCTAAAATACATGTGCTGGGATATTTTGTCATCGAAGGCAATTGGTGCACCATTTGTTCCAGATGTAAGGTCTAAAAACCATAAATGTTCATGATCTTTATGCATTCAATAGGGGAAAAAGTCCAACTTTGATCCAACACACGAATTAGAAGAGGTCTTTTTAGAAGAAAATCCGCTTAAAGTTAGACAAAGACAAACAAAGAAAAAGGCCTCGAGTGACGACATGACAACACTAGTATCTATGGATGAGAGACAGTTGCTCGAGCAAAACTTTCTTTCATACGATTACACAAAATCTGAAGAGAATGAAAAGAGATGCAGAAGAAAGGCAAGTGGTGCCACATCAAGCAACTTACTAAGAGAAAAAATAGAAAGACAATGCAGATGGGAATGGTTCTGGATTAGTGGAAACGTATGCAGATCATGATAATTTGAGAAAATCGCCTAATACGGCTTTTGTTGTATGATGCACAACGAAGCACCTTCTCCCTTTTTTCAATAGACAGTGTGCTTCTATCTCATTGTCGAGTTCAAATAATACTGTTTTACATGTCCGTTTTTGTGCATGTGTGACCTGTTATTATTCATTGCTAAATTCATTTTCACTAAAGCACAGAGGTTTAGAAATAGTTGATTTTACACTTCAAATTCAGACGATGATAGTTTTTTCTGGACGAATCAAAATTAATTTCCAGATGTTTAACTTGCCTATTTTGGACGAAGTAAAAATGGAAATTAGACAGAAAAAGAATTAGCTTTTTGGATGAATGAGAGTTTACATTTAGACATTTATCTGTAAAGGGAAACCAATTGTTAGAAAAAAATATCAAAATGACTGGTTATTGTGGCGTTTTGGGACTTTTAAAATAAAAAGATTGAATTTAGAAATTATAAACAAGAGAAACAAACAGTAAGCTTGATGAATACCTGGAGATCAAACCAACATTGAGCATGACGGTAAGACAAAAAGAAAAGAACCTAAAGCTTTGGCTAATCAACACCACAATGCTTGTAGAGTATACACAAGAGAGGGCTTTTTATAGCTTCTTTGGGAACGATAAATCATGAATTAAACGAACAGCATAAACGGATAAAAGCACCTAATCTATCTGTAGATACAACACAAAGACAACAAAAAAGAAAAGTACAAGTTAGAAGGAGAGGGGAGACACTAGTAAAAAAAAAACACAGCACAAACATATTGTGGATTTGATTAGGATGATCAAGCCTAACCAAACCCTCTTCTTGCCTGCACAAGAGCTGATCAGACTCTCAAACAGACAAGGCTGAAGAAAGCAGACGGCATTGCGAAGATCTGTTGAGTCCTTCAATGGATATCTTGAAACGCTTGAAAGAACCAGAATCAAAGGGAGACAGTCTTGCACCAGTAACACACCATGATGACCAACCTTGGAGACACCTTAGACACCACCATAAGTAGAGTATACCTAGGGATCTTGAGCTTGCTAACCATAACAGGGTAGAACCAGGGAGAGAGTCAGTCTTGGACCAGTAACAGACCTTGATGACCAGCCTTGCAAACACCTAAACAAAAGGACTTTAGTGTATTATACTTTTAACACCATTGGAAGATACTTACTAGATATCCACTGAGCCATGAGAGCCATTCTTGATTGACCTTGAGACTTGCTGAGTAACCTTGGAGACACCTGAGAGAAAGCCTTGTCGATAGAGAAACACCAGTTTCAGCCTAGAAAGTGATACCATGCCTTCTTTTTTCTCTTTGTGTATACAAGTACCCCAAAGTACAAGTATTTGCAGTAGTTTGAACAAGCTTACCAGACTTGAACAAATGCATCTCTTTTCTGAACAAGAGCTAATCACTCTCTTGAACAGAATATCAGGCAACGCTAAACCCAATCTTGAGACAAAAGATGGCTAGTCTTCTGTCTTTGTATGCATGAATGCTACTATAGAAGGCGGACACTACGCATTCTTTTTTCCCTTTGTGTATACAAGTATCCCGGAGTACAAGTATCTATGTATTGAGAATCAGTAAACCCAAAAACCTGATCTCTGCAGCCAATTAGTACGTACGTGTATAAACAATCGCTATTGTCCCCAGCTTTTGGTTACACAGGTCTTAGTACAACGTCATATCTAAACAGCGCCAAAAAAGCAAAACACTGAACAGATACAGCTACACGGCTGGAAGGTAGCACTCTTTTAGCTCCATAGGTTAGCTAGACAAGAGTTTGGTTACCCTGAGCAATATGGTCTTTATTTTGACAACAATGTAAAAATAAAAGACAAGGGTTTGAAAAAGAAAAAATTTTTTCTGGAAATAAAAAAATACCATATTCGAAGTCCGGTGGTTTAGCCAATCAATCTGTTGCCTTGGACACTTTAAGAGATTGGCCACTTTAAGAGATGCATGAACAAATGGCCTTTGTGTTATTTTCTTATTAGATGCATTATAAAGTTGCTTGTTGTACACCAAATGATAGCAAGAAACTTAGGTTTATGCATGCATAGGTAAGCAGATTGAGCCTTCTAACAGGTATAAAGTTGCATATATGGATAGATAGAATCTATAAGAAAAATATAAAGGTGTTAAAAGTGATGAAAAAAAAGACTTGTCTTGTGAAACTCTTCACCAAAGCTCAATCAATAAGGCCAATAGTTGCTTGCTTCTAAACAGCAGTTTTGTTTTGGCTGTAGATAAAAGAGGACAAGGGTTGCTTTGGAATTGATAGAGCGATTATTGATTCGTAGACAATGTTTTCTCACATCAGTGACGACCAAAAGACATGTTTACATGACTAGAAGAGAAAACCAATTCTAACCCATCATGTCTTATAAAAGACTTGTAGTCTTAGCAGCAAAAGCCAAGATTTGCCTGTAGTTCCTCACACAAGCAATATATATATATATATATATATATATTCTAACAGCCCATAATAAGGAAATGCTTTTCTAGCATCAATAAATATACTACAAGAGAAAGTATAGTTTTGTTTATTTTATTTTATTTTACTTTTATCTATAGATTCTCTCAGCTCTTTAACAATCTTCACTTTCAAAGGAAACATGCTTGATAGTAAACAATCGAATCAAAGCAAAGAAGTATGCATCTAACAGCTTTATGACAGGGCTATTTTATGATCCTGCTTATCTTTGATATCGCACTATAGGACATATAGACTTAAGGCTAAACACGCACATACACACACACACACACACGCTTCAGCTACTAGCAAGTATTTGGATAAAGGTTGCAACAGCCTCCACTCGAACACAAGACACACTTACCTATCCCCATACTAGCACTTGTGCACTCGGAGACCAAAGCTTAGAAACTCTCTGTAAATAATCAACAATCCTCACTCTACTGATATTCTGATTTCTGCTCGATAACCTCATCAGCTTGCTCAGATTCACTATATGGCTGTGTTGTGAATATCAAAGCTTCTTCTTCTTCTTCTTCTTTTTGGGTAGTGGCTCCTGATTTGCACCAATACAACCCTCTCCTTTTAGCCTCTGTATCTCTTGTTGTAAGCAGTAGTGGGCTTTCTTGCTTTACCATCAGGACTCATCTTTGATTAGATCTTGTCACGCTGTCTTTAACACACTATAACACCACGCTTCGAGTTTGTGTAGTTGAAGTCTAGTGGCTAGAGTTTCCGCCTTCTTGTTCTTATTCTTATTCTTTCTACCAACTTGATCAGACAGTCATTACAAGTACTAATAAAGAGAAAAAAAAAAAGCAATCTGCAGAGCAGAGAGCAACAATTTGTACGTAAGAAAAAGTAAAGAAGAGCGGGATTTAAAATACCTGATCTCCTTTTTACATGCCATTCATTGTTCATCGTGTCGTAAGCTGCCTTTTCGATCTCAAGACTACCAATTATCGTAGCATACCTTTCTCTTCTATGTCATGCGTAACAAATGGCGCAAAAAAAAAGAGCTCATTTGATATTTGATATATACTAAAATGAATCTCTTTTCAACCAATTACAGTGTGCAACAAACTTTGAATGCAGATCTGAAGACAGTGCTCAAATTAAGTCGACTTTCTTAGCTTAGTAAACTGGCTTTCTTTTCATCAAAAGTATCTAGAGATGGACTTATATGATTCCGGTTGTATCAGACCTACATTGGGGTCATTCTAAGAAATTCTTGATCGAGTTTGTTTTTTCATCTTCACGAACTTCCGTGGATCCCACATCGGTCAAAAAATGAAATTCACCCAAAAGCCAAACCAATGGTAACATTTGATTTCTGGGTTGTTTTGATGATCTGGTTGTCGAGCAATGATCCATCAAAGATTGACATGGTTAAGCTGTGTTTTGAGCGTTTTTGCTCTAAATATCATATAGAATGTGTTGGAGATGAACTTTCAAAAGACATCTTGAGCTATCTGAGTGCTATCTGAGTGCTATCAAAGCATACAAAAGTAAAAGTATAGGTACTTTATAATATGAATGAGGGAGCAAGTGGACATAGGACATACAGGATGGTTATATGTGGAGATTGAAATAGAATGATTCCAGTTCTTCCTCCCACCGCATAAAGACGCAGCTTTATGGCTTTGGTGTAGTGACAAAAGCTGCAGAACTTTGTTTTTTGAGCCTTTCTGTATAAAGAACACGATAAACTTGCTGCTAAAGTAATGAGTAAACAGGCAAAAATGTTCATCTATATCTCCTCAACTCTATGGTATAGTTAGCAAACAAGTACATTCATTGCAAACTAGAGCCTTTGGCACACATTTTGAGTGTCTATGCTTGTTGGCAGCTTCATTTTTTGTCTTGTAGCGTCAATAAGAAGCTCCAAGTAGCTGTCAGCTCGATAATCTTCGTGAGTAGTACCCTTCGGATCAGAGTGATTTTCGGCCATTTAAAGCATTTATATTGAGCATAAACAGGCTCTATGCTACCTTTATATGTCTATGAAAAAAAAACAGGATTTGTATGGATTGTTATCATTTATGTTGTTGAAGCATTTCTCGTCCTGGAGACTTTGTTAAGCAAGTAATCAAAGTGATATTGAATTATTTCTTTGAATAGAATATACTATGGAGAGCACACTTGATCCGCCTAGATCAAAGAAAGAGCATGTTTGCTTATAGAAAAATGTTAAAGTGCTAACGAATGAATGTGGCTCATAATTTTACGGCTCGTTTTTTTCTCTCTTGTACATCGGCGTACATTTACTGCAGCCTTTATTGCTTATTATTATTATTTTTTTTTTTGTATTCCGTTTCGTGTATAAGCAACAGCTGTTAGCTCCTAAGTAGATTGGCCTTGTTTTTATTTCATATTCTCAAAGAAGAAAAAAAACCTCTTTGACATTTCTTTATGCTCCAAAAAAAGACGTAATGATATTTCTGGATCCTAACAGTTTGATCAGTTTACAACAACCAAGAAGCACATTTATAAAAACAGCAGTTGGTCATTATTTCTTATGAATGATTGTGATTCTTGATCTACAAATAAGCAAGCACTGTCTATCTCGTCTTCTTTGCGAATGTATTTATGCCTTTTTGTAGTCAATTGATCATTTGCATAAAAAGTCTGTTTTTATATAAGGCTCTGTCTACTTGATTTACAGTGTCTATTGGTTTACACAAAATAATCTTATAGCAAGAGCATGAGTCTCTAGTCTAAGAATGTACTCAATCCAAATGAAAAAAAGTAGCTCATGAAATACGATTGATGCCCAAAAAAAAAATACTCTTTGTCTCATGTATTGTAGCATTTGGATGTATTCGCGACTGTTTTTCACTGTTTCTGACTGTATGTTATTATTATTCTTGCTATTATTATCGGAAAAAGTGATCACAAAAAAATAAGAAAGGCAACACTTGTTATGATACAATATATATATATATATATTTTATTTTATACATGTATTTATTTCAAAAAATGAATGGCGTCAGTCTTTAGTTTCACTTCATAGAGAAGTTACTCACAGGAGTAGCCACGAGAAGGCAACTGACTGTACTCCTCACTTCCTTTCTTGATACCTTTTCAGGCTTGCGATACACTAGGAAATGCCAGATAGTTATAAGAAACCGTCAATAACTCCCAGCGACTACCCTTCATCCCGCTGCAGACCAACGCCTATATACCCCGTACCTTACTCTCGAGGTAGTAAGATAAGAAAGTAAATCATTGGCTAATAACAGGCCAACAACGATTAGGATCGAACACTGAAAGCCATGGAGAGAGCAACACCAGTAGACAAAACCAAACAAATAGAGAGAAAAACCTAGAGAAAGCAGAAACATCAGCAAACGCGTTTTTGAAATAGATAAGGTACTTGCCAGAAAACGAACCAGAGACAGAGACAACAGAAACAACTACACCAGCTTTCGCCAGTGTAGTGTCTACCGCAACCACACCTACCCCATACCATTGTTAGACTACAGATAACTAGTATATCCTTAATACGTAGCTGCTTAAAACCAAATAGAAAGAACCAAGCAAAGAAAACGGATCAAGTAAAGAGAAAACTTCAGAGAAACAGAGATGTCAGTAGACGCGTTCTTGAAGTAGATAAGGCACAAACCAAAAAGAGAGAGAGACCATAAGAGACCATAAGAGACCAGAGTAGAGAAAGTAAAGAAACAGAAAGAAAAGATAAAGAAATAAAAAAGAGTGCTGCGTGCTTTTTATAAGTAATTTTTTTTCTTTTCCTTTCCTTGACCTTCCTTTCCTTGGTTTTTTGTTTTTTTTTGATAGAAATCATCTCATAGAGAGGACGCCCAATCTTGTGTTACATATAAACTTATTTAGTTGCATAAAACATGCGATGAACACCCTACTTGTCAGTTCTATAAACAGAAAACATTCCCTTTTGCTTATTTTCTTTCTCTTTTGCTATGTGCTCATCCTCTGTGTTTCTATTGAGTAATTCATTATTCTTTGCCCTTGAAGATAAGGGAAGTTTACTTATCATATAAATCAATGCGGAATGTATTTCGTAATAGAGGACTTTGAATTGTAATCATTCCCAGTTTCCTTTTTTTCTTTCCATGAGAAGATCATCCTGAAACAATAACAAACTTTCTTATTCATATGAAAATGTCAATAACCAAAAGAGCAAAGAAAAGTTTAGCTGTTTAAAAAAAAAGAAAGAAAGAAAAAGAAAGAAAGAAAGCTATTTTACACACAAACTGAAAGTATTGATTACTGGTGCCTAAAGATGAACTAACTATCGTCTTTTTTTTATTATTATTATTTTATTTTATTTTATTTTTTCTATCTTGAGCACAAAAAGTATTTCCGTTGATCCGTGCATTATGCATACGCTTACCACATTTTAAATCCGTAGGACAGTGGCTTACTTTTCCCTGAAAATAGACCCTGAAAAATTCATCGATTTTTTTTTTTTTTTTTTGCTCACTATAAAACTCATACTGATTGCTTTTTCTCTTTCTAAGTGAATAGACTATAAATTAGTTCTATACGTTATCTTTAGCTATCAGTTTAGTGATGAAGAAAAGATGACATGATGTAAACATATGTTTTATTTCGGTGACACAAACAAGCACAAAGCAGACACTACACTTCTTTCGAGTCTAAAAACCAAAATAAACGATACAAGTAAAAAAGAGTAATTGCCTTTAATACATGTATATATATACCATGATACATTGCAAAAAGCATATAAAAGCATATAAAACAGTATGTTTTTGCATACATGTGAGTAAATCGATCCTTCAAAGTTACATAAGCCAACAAAGTTGTTAATAACATCGAAAGTTATTCAAAATACAAAAGAAAAAACGTGGAAGCACTTGCTTTGTCTTTATAGAAATCAAATGTCCTCGTCCTAGTTCCTGGAAACAAATACTCACAGTATTTGGCTAAAGTATCAGTTTCTTTTTTATCTTTTTATTCAATAAAGTATATATACTAGTATTTAAAATAATTGATAACGCGTCTTTTCTTTTTCTTTTTTCTCTGTCCTTCACTTGTTGCATGTTACAAAAAAAACAGGCTTATTGACTATCATTAAATCAGCAGCCCTAATTTCTGTAGGCAATCATTGCTGCAACACTTTTTATTGATCATAAGCAAGTATTTGCCACAAAAAGAGACAATAATCCTCATTTTTTTTTTTGGCTTAGAGGCTGTCTGTGTATAACTCTTTTTAATCGTGTACTAACAGTTCTGTTGAGAGATTGTATGCAGAAGCAGGATCAAAAGAGAAAAGCTGTTAGATCTCGGCTCCTGAATGAAGACACTTATAACAGACGTTCTCTAAGCAATCTGGGTGGTTTTTCTATGCGTGGAATTTTCTCTCAATCTGCTTTCGTAAAATTCGATTTTTTTTTCTTATACATCAACCAAAGAAATAGCCCAAAAGACATGTATCAACATAAATAAATGCTTAGAATCAGGTGTATAAGTGCAAGTGAATGATATAGGCTTCTCTCAAGACAACTTGCCATTGATTTCATAAAATCATGCTAATGGTATTGTGTTTTTTAGGCTGGAGGTATCTTTCACTATAAAGTGGGTAATTGAACTTAGAGTTGTGAACATGTAATTATATGTGAAAATATGTACCATATTTTACTTTTGCACTAAAGATCGCCCTTCATACATCACACGTCATAAAGTTGAAGTGCATTTCCTCAAAATTTTGACATCTTTCACAAGCAAGCATTCTCTTTTTTTTGCCTTTTTTTTTATCCCTCTAGATCGAGTGTCTTTTTAATAAGACATTTTATGTGAATAAGCATTTTGGTAACGCATTGCTTAATTATGTATCAGAAACAACTAGACAGAAAATTGCTTCAACAGTGTAAAAAAGAACAACTGTTTGTGCAAATCTTCTTCTTTTTCCTCGGCATATAAAGGTAGTATAAAGCCTGTTTAGGCACAAATAAACACTCTAAATATTTCAAATCTATGTTTACTAACATCCATGGTACCTTTGGAGTTGATTTGGACAAAAAAAGGCAACTTGTAAAATTTGACCAAAATGTTTTTTTTTTGTAAGGGAGACTTGCTCCAATTTTATTTAAAGTCCTTTGGACGTCAAAAGAGTGGAAGAAAAGACTGTGGTATTATAAGTACTAGACTAAGGAAAGGGAAATGAGCCTGTGGTAGAAGAAATTGAGAAAAGAATAAGAGTTTAAGAGAGCTTGATAGATACTTGAAATGAAGAGAACATCATGAGTAGTGAGAGAGGAACTGGAAAGGAAAGGGGAGGAGAGAATTTATGGTTCATAATCAAGGCGGGATTGATCATGCAGCTTATTTGCTAAGCAGGAAACCGTCTTGGTTATAGTTTTGGAAAGGAATGGGTTTTCAGAAAAAAACAGATTGCCAGTGAGTTTGCCAGAGGGCTAGAGCAGTGCATGCAAAGATTTGGAAGGTACTTAAGAAAGGAAAATGGAGGAGAGAAACACGAGGGATAACAACCCGAAGGAGGAGGACTTGACGTAGGAGATTGACCATTTTGACTAAAATGACCGTTCAACCAAAGGGTATATACTCATGAAAAAAAGCTAGTTTGGCGACCTTCAATCTTCTTTTAGACGTTACAGGGCGAAAAATATAGATATTGTCAGTTTTAAAGACTCAAAATGTGTGTCAGAGGCTCTAGTTTTGGGCGAACGTTTTTGTTTAACAGTTGTACTATGAAAATGATATGATAGAAATGAAAAACCTTGTAGACATTTTTGCCTATTTACTTAATACTTCAGAGGTAGAACTACTGCGCTTCTTGTACTAGCAAGCTCAGAAAGCAAAGATCTATAACTTTCATCGCTATACCTAAGCCCAATAACTGCGCTTTTATACAGTTCTCAGCAAATCTTCAATTCTGGACACTCATGAAGGATCCGAGTTGCTCGCATTTTCAGTCGCCGATAGCCAATCATTTTGGATGTGGTTTAATGCTATTCAAAATTGCTTGAAAAGTGCCACGAAACCATTTAGTATAAGAAATTTAGTATATATACTAAGAAAAAACAAGTTTAGAAGGTTAGAAGAAAGCTATTTAAGCTCATAAAGCCATGCGAAATACACTGTGTGTATCGGGTTAATCCATTATTTCTGGTCCAGTAAGATGTCGCTGTATAATATAATATGGTATGCGTAGTACTAATGTACAGAAAAATAAATAGCAGAAAATCCTATCAGACAAGGTTTTTGTTTAGTAGACTATTGCATATCTAGACTTCTGATAAATTATCAAAATTACTGAGAAAGAAATGCATGCATTTAAAAGTGATTTTTTCTTGCAGATACATATATCAAAAGTAAATTGGAAATATTTGATCTCAATGTGACACTGTACACTTACCATCAAAGAGTAGCATTTCGCAATCCCATTAATCATAGCCTATATAAACTTGGCCAATGCTCCTTTTAGAGATTATAAAAGTTGTCAAGATGAAAGCCAAACGTAAGTTAGAGCAAAATTACCACAGACAGGACTCTAGAGCATGGTAACACGAACTACTTATTACAACGGATCTCCAATTGGTTGCCAAACAGGAGGGAAAAAAAAAGAAAGTTTGATATTCTTTTTCAGGTTCATTTTCTTTTCTTTTTTAGTGCATGTACTATTTCACTCAAGCAGAAATATATAAATAAATTTTTATTGTATAGTGCTAAACAAAGAAAGAGATGACCAGTTTAAGAGATTCACGTTCTCCAGCTGTTCCTTCCCGTTCTCCATTTCGAATAAGAGATTCACAGCTGTCAAGGACACAACGAGATACTATGGGTAAGGCACAACATAGTAATGTAAAATGTTCTCTAATTCTCGGATTTAGGCCGTTGGAGTTTTTCTTCAGAGCTAGGTAGCTTGTGGAATATGATGAAACCTATAGAGACATATCATCAAGATACATTTGCAACTCAAAACGAAAGCATGTTTTCTTCTAGCAGTCTCTTGACTCAATTACTGGTTTCTCAAGCTATTCTTGACTCAAACGATTATCAAATACTCTCTTTCGACAAGCTGGAGATGCTAAAAAAGGTAAATAGTACTTTTTTTCTGTAATTGATTTTAATTAGTCAATAGGAACTAAATGAAATAAATGATTCTATCCTGCATAACACGAAAAGCCTAGAACTCGAAAACCGGATTAGAAACATTTCCAAGTCACTCGAAAACGTTAACTTGAAGAACAGCCGGCATTCTGTCTTGTATCTGCAAAACCAGCGTCAAAATAATGAGAACAAAATCAAACAGATGTCAACGTTACTCGAGAATTTAAAAGAAAGACAAGTCGAAATAAAGAAGGCGCTACTACAACACACTGCAGCTACTTTAAACAAAGGCATTCAGAGTATTGAACTCACAACAATTCAACAGCGATTGAATCAGCCGCAGGATAATAGGCTGACTTTACTTCAAAGTGAACTAGATTTGATTGCAAAAAAAGTCGACCATATTTGTGTACACAAATTTAATATGAACATATCCTCAAGTACAGTTGAAAAATTGTTACAACTGGAGAAGCAATTACAGATAAACCAAGGAGATCAAAACCAGCTCACACATGTCAATCATCTCGGTAGTTCAAAAAAGTAAGCCAAGAGTATAACCCACTTTATACTAACACAGATCTTCATAGCCATCTAAACCAACAAGAACTATACAAGATACAACAATTGTTAGCGATCGAACAACAAAAAGATTCTTATTATTCCAAAATGGTTGATATAGAGTTACTGACAACAAAACTACTGTCCCAAACTACCTTTTTTTCTCAACGCCAAAAAGCACTTCAAATGGAAACACTGGTCTTTAAAACAGAATCTATTGAACTGCAAATATGGCACAAAAAGCGAGAGAGAGATCAAGCATACCAAAACAAGCCAGCTCAAACTCATCCTGGCTCATTGCAGTCTCAATACCAAGGCCAACTAGAGCAACAAGCAAAGAAATACGAAACTGAATTGAATCAACAAGCCATTCTGATACAAAGACAGACACGCATGTGCGATCAGCTTCAAACTGATTGTCATCGATTAGAGAGCCAAAAGGCCAATCTTGATAAACTTATTCAAGACAAGTCGAAAATTCTGGATGAGAAGGACAATAAAATCACTCGGTTAAACTACGAGATACGAGCACAAAAACAAATAGCTCAAGGTGCTGATCGTTATGATCCACGGTTTTATGAACAAGAAAAAAGGCGATTAAATCAGAATTTCCAAGAAAGAGAATCGCGATGGACAGCGCATACGCACCAAATGGAAGATAAATTTGATGAATTGTTAGAAGGCTTTGATAGAATGACAAATGCTGCTATGGAATTCGATACAGATCGTATGCGATATGATCGTAAAATAGACGAGTTGAACAAGCATGTTTCTCATCTCGAAATAGAACTGATTGAAGAGAAAATAAAAAGGATAGGGTTTAGTCACGGTGAGCCTCCAACAACTCAATTACTTCGTAAAGAATTTCGACAGTTAGTAGCAGATATCAAGAAAGCACATCAGATTCGCATGGAGCAAGAAGCAGAAGAAATTAGAAGACTACAGATTCAGCTTGAAGAAATGCATAATACCAACCATACGAATGCTGCCTACAAATACCAACAGAGCATGGCTACTCAAACTGACTAAAAAAAACAATACCCCATCTAATTTATTTAATGCATACACTTTATTGGAAAAAAAATTATTTGCTTTTTCATACTCCATTCTTCTTACTCTTTTTTATACCATAAGGAGTCCATACAAACAAATGAAGACTTTTAAAAAGATGTTTGATACGAAACAGAAAAAGGAAAAACACTATAAATGTATAAATATGACAGCAGTAAAAAAAAAGGGGAAAGTTTTCTTATTTGTAAGGATAAACATTAGACTTTTTTGTGTGACTATAAAGCAAAAAAAAAAAAAAAAAAAAAAAAAAGATTGCTTGTTCTTATGTAGAATTCAACTCAAGAAGCATCATGCAACCATTTATTGTTCTATACAAGGCACTAAAAGATACATTTTAAAGTTCAAACTACAAAGGAGAACGGAATAAATCCTTTTTTTGATTGTATTTCATTATAGCAATATAAGGAGAAAACAAAAAAACAAAAAACTACAAAGAAATACACTTTTTTTATTATCTAGCTCAGACTATATAAAGCGATAAAGTTTCTCTAGATGTTATTGCCTTTTAATTCGCCTCTCCTTCAAAATGTATCATAAATGGATTGCTCTTTATGCAATCACTCAACTTGTTGGTGTCAACAGTTTTCCTATAGATACTAAACCAAGTACATCTCTTGAAGCTCGTACTGTTACCTTTACTTCAAGTATTATTTTAGCTGTTTCATCACCTGCATTTTTCCCCAAGTTTGCTCATCATGGCTCAAAACCATTGAACCCAGTTCCTACAGGTCCTATTAAAATCATTTCTACGTTAAAGAAAGAGAATTATCCTCAAGCTTGGACAGCTCCTGATGTAAATCATCCAGAAGTACAAGCAGCCATCAAAGCCATTGACTGGACTTATGTACCTAACCTAGACCCTCAAGTGGAAGGCGGACCTAATTATGATAATTCTAAAGATGTAGCTTGTTGGTGGACAAACACACAATGTACAAAGCCAAAAGTGAATTACTTGCCCGAAGATGTGAGAGCCTGTGCTAGTGTAGGCGATTTTGGTCTGGTAAGAAAAAAAAATACTGTTTTGATTTACTCAATCAATAGACATATGATGATGGACCATTACCTCCTCAATCTGTCAATGATCCTTGGGCTGAACCTCGCTTGTATAACTTCCTTGCCGGTATAAAACAAAGAGCTACTTTGTTTTGTAAGTGAATTTGTGCTGTATATTATCATAGACTAACGTTTTCTATTAGACGTAGGATCTAACGTTGTGGCCTATCCAGATGCAGCTGTACGTGCATTACAGTCAGGACATACGCTCTGTGCACATACGTGGTCTCATCCTCATATGACAACCCTTCATAATCATGATATTGTGGCTCAATTGTACTGGAGTATGCGAGCCATCAAAGAAGCAGCTGGTGTCACTACACGTTGCTGGAGAGCGCCTTATGGTGATGTAGATGATCGCGTACGTGCTATTGCTCATCAAATGGGTCTCTATACAATTGTTTGGAACAGTGATTCGTTTGATTGGGGATTACCATCAGCAGCCAATGGATTTTCAGGCACACTCACACAAGAGACTATAGATGGTTACTTTCAAAACTGGATAGCTATGCGCGAAAACAAGACTGATACTGAAGGCCGTATTGTATTGGAGCATGAGAACAGTAACATGACCATCTTAACAAGTGAGAAATGGCTAGTAAATCTAAGAGAAGCTTTTCATGTAAAGACTGTACATGAATGTGAGCCTAGTCTTCCTGGTCCTTATTGGGAGTCTTGATTCTGTGTATAGTTTAAGTAAATGTTGTATTGATAACCTGAAACCCATTTTGGAATAGTTTGTAAATGAAAAAATTTATTTGACGTGTCTCTACAATAGAAAATGGCTCATACAACATGGAGTGTAGCGAAATATGTGTCTAAAGACTTCTCCCCTTCCGCTAAGGGGGATAAACTTTGTCAATGATTGTAAATACACATATTTAATAGCAAACACTTTAAAAATTGCATATTTTTACATATATCAAAAAGAAAGGGATAGTTTTGTGTCTTGTTCCTTCAAGGAGAAGGAAATCCATATAAAATCAAAAGCAACAGACAAAGGGCCTCATTGACACCATTCTTTTCTCTCTCTTTTTTTTTTACAAGATGCTTAAGAACTTCGTCTTGATTTGTGCCGTGATTCTTCATACAACACATGGTTTTCCTACGAAAACAAAATATCATAAGAGCCCAACTGTACAAGGTATCCTTCCTGTCTCTTCGCCTGCTTTTCTCCCTCCATTTCCTCTGCATGGTGTTGCCCCAGCTAGTTTCAATACAGCCAACTATCCTGAACCATGGCGAGTTCCCGATACACAACATCCTGAAGTCCAAGCTGCTATTCGAGCCATTGACTGGGACTATGTACCTCGCTTTGAACCACAACATGTTGATAGTGCTCAATATGACTCTATGACAGACGAAGCTTGTTGGTGGTCATTTACTCAATGTACTAGACCTAAAGTAAGTTACTTGCCAGACGATGTAAAGACATGTCCACAACCTGGTGATTTTGGCTTGGTAAGAACGAATAGAGGAAACGAATTGCATGACTCAAGTAAGCTTAGAGTTTTGATGATGGGCCTTTATTGCCCACACATTCTCAAGAGACTCGTTTATACGACTTCCTTGCGAGTGAAAGACAAACAGCCACTTTATTCTGTAAGTCATAGTATTGACATGTCATGTGTGTTCATTGTATGGAGTAGATATTGGCTCTAATATCATATCGTTTCCTGGTGCTGTGCTTCCTGCTTTGCAGTCGGGCCATACTCTATGTGCGCATACTTGGTCTCATCCACACATGACGTCGCTGAGTAATGAAGAAGTTGTAGCTGAATTGTATTGGACTATGCGTGCAATCAAAGAAGCGGCTGGAGTCACTACGCGTTGTTGGCGTCCAAGTTATGGTGATGTGGATGATCGTGTTCGTGCCATTGCTCATCAACTTGGATTACATACAATCGTTTGGGATAGCGACTCATTCGATTGGGGAGTGCCGTCTGCTAGCAACAACTTTGGAGGTACAACTACTCAAGAGGATGTGGATGGCTATTTCGAGAGTTGGATTGAAGCAAGAAAACAAGGTGGAGAAGCACATGGTCGTATTGCGTTGCAACATGAAAATAGTGACCAAACCATTGCTATAGCCATGAAATGGTTAAATAGGTTAAAAGGAGTCTTTCGAGTTCAAAAGATTCATGATTGTGAGCCTCGATTACCTAGTCCTTACTGGGAGGCATAAAAATAAAGCATGCATGTTGAACCAAAGACGTGTGACTGTCCTCGCTTTCTTCACTCTCTTTTTTTCGTGTTTACTTTTTTCTTTCCTTTGAGTATATATACATATAAAGATGGACTTGGTCAACAACTATGGTTCCAGTGATGAAGAAGACAGTACACAGATCTCTACTGTGGCCAGAGTGAATCCTGCCCCAGATGCAGGATTTGATGTAAGCACATCATTACACAATACTCATTATTGACTCTATACAGGAGCATATGTCAGGCGCGTTATATACAGCACCTACAGCAACAGAATTGACGGTTAATGTCACCTATGATGATATGAACAGGCCTGTTCTAGGTCCTGAGAACCCCTTTACCGAACGTCACCTTGCAACTCAAAACGTCATTAATGGCCATGTGGAGCAACAAGCTATTTCTGAAATGGACTTTAGAACACAACGTCGTACTTTTGAGACATATGGATATGCACGCGATCCTTCTCTTAGTACTAACCTTGCTGGTCAAACAGGCGAAGGTTTGATGGGTACAGGTTATGTCGGTAATCTAGCAGTAGCTGCCAAAATGGGAGGTGCTTCCATCCACGACCGTGTTCATAAAGACCTGAGACCCAACAAAGATGTTCGTAAAAAAAGACTCAATAAGGGTAAATTGGATCAAGTAGAAGGACCTGATGCATACAAAGGCCCTTGGGCTGGTTACGAGAATGATAATGTGGGTGTTATTACTGGCTTAGAACAAGAGGAAGAGGAAGTAGAGGAAGAACCTACACCTACAGTAGCCAAGATAGAGCCTCCTAAGCCTGAATTCTCTGTCAAGAATATTGCTAAAGAGACAAGGACAGAAACGACTGAATTTCATGGTGCTCAAGAACGCGATTATCTTGGACGTACTTATATGGCTGCACCTCAAGATATTGATGTCAATTTGTTTGGTGAAGCTGGCTCACAAGAATGCTTTGTTCCCAAGAAGCTCATTCACACTTGGGCAGGCCATGACAAAGGCGTCTCGAGTATCAAGTTCTTTCCTAAAACTGCACATCTTTTGTTAAGTGGTGGTATGGATAATGATATTAAGGTAATAATCTTTATAGAACCAATCATTGTTTAATTATGTTATAGATTTGGGATGTATATCATGACAAAAGTCTTTTACGTTCATACCATGGCCATGATAAAGCAGTCAGAGACATTGCATTTAACAATGATGGTACAAAATTCTTGAGTGTAAGTTACGATAGATACATCAAATTATGGGATACGGAAACAGGTCAATGTATTCGTACTTTCTGTACAGGCAGATTACCTTACTGTGCTACATTCAATCCAGATCCAAGAAGACAAAATATCTTTTTGGCTGGTTATTCTGATAAGCGTATTATTCAATTTGATATCAGAACGGGTGACATTAAACAAGAATACGACCAGCATTTGGGTGCTGTAAACACAATTACCTTTGTTGATGAAAATCGTCGTTTTGTGACTACTTCAGATGACAAAACAATGCGTGCATGGGAATATGATATTCCTGTTGTTATCAAATACATTGCTGAACCTGATATGTATGCTATTCCAGCAGTGACATTGTCTCCCAACAGTAAGTGACATGATCTATTTTTCCTTTACTTTATTGACACAGAATAGAAAAATGGCTGGCTTGTCAATCATTGGATAACCAGATATTGATCTATGGTGCTGGCGATAGATTTAGACTGAATAGAAAGAAGCGCTTCTCTGGTCATTTGATTGCAGGTTATGCTTGTAAACCTAGTTTCTCTCCTGATGGTCGATTTGTGACCAGTGGTGACTCAAATGGTAGTGTCTGGTTCTGGGACTGGAAGACATGTAAAGTCCTCAAGAAGATTAAGGCACACGATAAAGTGGTTATGGCAGCTGAATGGCATCCTCATGAAACATCCAAAATGGCTACTTGTAGTTGGGATGGCAAGATTAAATACTGGGATTAAATCATACTCAATAAAAATGATGCGATTACACAAATGTATATAAACCTAAAAAAAAAAGCTTCTTTATTTCTTCTTCTTTCATGACTCAAACACCCGTTTTGTTTATTTCGCATGGAGGTATAGCTATACATAAATAAGCCAAAGATCATTGATCCTTGCTAAGGCCCCAATTTATTGGAGAACCAAGATAAACCAGGACAATTCTATGCTTGGCTTGGAAACTATATTCAGGACACATTGAAGCCTAAAGCCATTGTCATTATGAGTGCACATTGGCAAGCAGAAGGAGAGAACACTATTTATGGTAAGAAGCGGTATGAACACACAGGGTTTACATTGATTGTAGTGGATGCAAGCAAGTCGCCCAAATTAATCTATGATTTTTATAATTTTCCTCAACGCTTTTATGAGCAGACATGGGATCAACAGGGTTCACCTGCATTAGCAGATAAAGTGATTCATCTCTTAAAAGAAGCAAGTCATAAAAGAAAAAAAAATAACCGTTAACTTACATGGAATATGTAGGCTGGTATTCATGCTGAACAAAAAGAATATGGCAATGATCATGGTAACACATAAGCATAAAAGATGTAACAATAATAGAATATGTAAAGGTGTTTGGGTTCCACTTAAACGGGCCATGTCTTCAAACAAGTATATTCCTATTATCGAAATATCTACTTTTTATCATGAAGATTTATCTTTACATGTGAAAGTAGGAGAAGCCTTGTCGTCTCTTCGGTAAACAGAAGTATAGAAACGACTCATGGCTTACCTGTTTTATAGTGAAGAAGATGTATTGATCATTGGTAGCGGAAGTGCAGTACATAATCTTCAAGGTTGGAGAGATTATGGTGACAAATTATCGCCTGATTATGTGGTTGATTTTGATAAACGGATGGAATCCATAGCGACTCACTCAAAGGTAGACATGATACCAAAACAACAATTGACTCATTCTATATAGGGTAAAGAACGTATAGAGGCTGCCGTCAAATTAGATCAACATCCTCACTATCGAGACTGTCATCCTACAGCAGAACATTTAGTTCCTTTTCATACTGCTCTAGGTGCTGCTGGAGATGATCAAGGCACCAAACTATTAGAACACTATACAGCCAGATTAAGTTGGGGTAGTTACATATTTGGTTCTTTTAAACACATCAATCAGAGGGAATAAACGTTGTCTATGTTTTTATTATTATTATATGACTTATTGACTGGCTTTGGCTTGCTCAGCTGCTTCTTGAGCAAGACCCATAGTAGTAAGGAAAACAGCAGCCTCAGCATATTCCTTCTTTTGACGTTCCTTGTCCCACTTGAGTTCTTCAGACATAATTTCAATCACCTTAGGAAGAGATTGTAAGGCAGCTTCAGCATTCAAGAAAGCAAGACGAGTACGACGAGCTAAGACATCGACAGCTGTACAGGCAAGTTCTTGACGGACAGTGTATCTCACTTCGGCTTCAATGTAAGGATAGTTGGGTGAGATACGCTTACCAAACTTGGGCCAGCTCATGTTAGTAGGGTCATCAATAGCACCGACAGCCCAGGCACGGTTACCATAACTACGGGCAAGATGTTGAGCGACTTCTGTATCCATGCCGAATTCTTGGACGAGACGAATGAACATGGTGTTGCTATAGCCTTCACTACCGATCAATGGGGTATGTTCAGTGTTACATTTGGACTTGGGTTCAAGCTTGAAGACTTCGATAGCACGGTCCACAGTTTCTTCAGCCATGGCACGGTAAGTGGTCCATTTACCACCAGCAATAGTGATGAGCTTGTTGTCACTGACATTGATCATATGGTTACGGACAAGAGATTCAGTGTTCTTTGCGTGAGGGTCACGGACTAAAGGACGGATACCAGACCATGCAGCAAGGACATCACTACGACGCACCTTGACGTCTTTAAAGAAATAGTAAATACCACATACACATACACATACGCATATATATTACTTACCAGGACTCAAGTAACGAGAGACTTCATCCAAAATCCAGTTAATTTCATCTTCCTTGGGTAAGGGGTTTTGAGTAACTTCAGTAGGAGAATCTGGAGAATAATTTCATTCGTTAAACCTCACTGGGAAAAAAATAAAAAGAAAAATAGTTACCTGTAGTACCAGCAATAGTGTTACCTTGCCATGGAAGGAAGAAGATGACACGGCCATCACTTGTAGCAGGATCCAATAAGCCCATGTTTCTAGGACTGTAGTAGTTGGGAAGAATGATATGAACACCAGCAGAAGGTGCAACAATTTCCATAGTTTGAGCATCGTCCATCTTTCGGAGACCATCGGTGAAGGGACCAGTTGCATTAATGACACCCTATCATTGTTTGTTATTGAGTCACATCTTGATAAGACTGTTTTTTACCTTTGCCTTAACAGTCCATTCTTCACCAGTCAAGGTATCTTTAACGTGTGCACCGTTAATAATGCCTTGTTCATCCTTTGTTAATTGAGTCACTTCACAGTGATTAGCAACAGTAGCACCATAACAAGCAGCTGTCATGGCCAATGCAACGTTCATTCTTGCATCATTATGCTGACCTATAATTGTATTATAAATAAACAAATTTGTATCTCCGTACCCCAACTTACCATCATAATACACTAAGGCACCTACTAATTCATCATTCTTCAACATAGGGAAAGCTTCAAGAGCTTTGGAGCGAGTCAAGAAGTAACTGCTTTCAAGTGCTTCACGACCAGCAAACAAATCATACATCTTACAACCAACCCAATAATAAGGAATTTGCCACCATCTTCAAAATGGGTTAACCTTACTGATAAGAACGTGTTTTTTAACTTACTTGTAAACAGGAAGCATGATGGGCAATTGATCTGAAAGATGAGGAGCAATGTCCAAGAAGATCTTTCTCTCATGCAATGCTTCTACCACTAATTTGTATTGTTCATAATCAAGTTCCATAATTGCCTTTTGTAAATAACGAACACCACCATGAACTAATTTTGTCGATCTCGATGAAGTACCTAAAAAAATTAATTTAAAAAAAAACTTTTTTTTATATACGACTTACCAGAAGCAAAATCATCTCTTTCTACCAAAGCTACCTTTAATCCACGAGTAGCAGCATCCACAGATACACCAGCACCTGTAGCACCACCACCAACAACAAGTAAATCATAAGGGTCTTGTTCACTGTTTTTTAATTTAGCAATCATTTCTTCACGTGAAGGTGGACACCAGAAATCACGGTCTTGATTTTGTTGATGTTCCTGAAGTGCTTCAGCGAATGCCTTGTTTCGAGTAAACAAAGGTGGTAGATCTTTGGTTTGTTCTTGAAGTTTTATTGTTCTCTTATAGACATTGTCAAGTTTGGCCTTTTCATTCATGTAATATCCAAAGCTGGCAGTAGCAGTTGTGGCCGCAGCAATTGAAATCACTCTTTGTGTCTTGGAAAGTTGTCTCCACATAATGTAGTTGTATTAGATAAAGATAAGAAAAAAAGAAAAGTAGCGAAAAATCTCCAAAGATTCAAGGTTTTTATAAATAAAATGCTGTGACACTTCTACATCATCGTGTTTACATTGAGTGGCTGGGGTTAAGCAAAAACTCCGGGAAATTTCATAATAAATTCAAGTCCTTTTTCCCGTAGAATAAAAAAAAGCCTTTGCATGATACAAAAAAAATTATCCGTATTTTAAACAGACCAGATAATAAAGACCTTTTGTCTTCTTTCTCTCGACTATAAATAAGCACTTTTCTTTCATCAAATTCAGTTTATGATAATTATACTCATGAGATAGAGGAAACGTCATGGTCCAGTTCGTTAATAACTATATTTAAATCTCCATTTTAAAGGCGATCCTTCTCATTCACCCAGAAAACTGGCTGCATTTTTTTTTAGCAAGATGATTGTTTTCTGTAATAGTATTCATACTGTTCGAGATATTCTCTTTTTTGGTATCATAACATGTTTATAATATAGAGAGGGCTAAGTTTAAGAATTTTGATTATTTGGTCTTCTAAAGATGTTTATTTTCTGATTGGAAAACTAATTGATATATTTCATTTCTAGAAAGCAGAATTTGAGGTCCATCATTTGAAGTGAAAGAGATAATGTTGTATGAAAGGTTCTCGAAAGAATGTAAATGTATTATTTCCTTGATAAAAGATTTCTTTAGCTTGTTCTTGATATTTTTAAAAATTGTTTTGGCTCAGTTGGCATTCATGTTGACATACTTTAAGCTTACAAGAAAAAAAGTAATTTCAACCTGATCGTATTAAGCTAATAAAAATTTGCAGAAAATGACATCACTTCTTCAGGAACAATAAAACCCAATGATTCAATCGAGTTCTCATATTTACGTATTAGTCTACTACAGTCGCATGGATTTTGATTTCAATTAGATTTTGTGACGAATGGAGATTTACATTTAGACATTTACCTGTAATACAATCCAAATCCGTACTAGGGAAACCTTGTTTATCACGGCGACTGGAACATATGAAGTTTATGAGTTGCTCCTTCTGAACGTTACCGGAATTCCGTACTCACTCCAGACAGAAAGAAAAATAAACATTATGTTTTTTGCTGCGCTAATGTCTCTTTGCCAAAGTGTATGGCAAGTTGTACTATGACCTTTGATATCAGAGTGATTTACCATCGTCCTAGCTTTACAAGTGTTGCATATCTTAGAAGTGAGGTATTCATCGATAGGAACAACCAGAAGATCTCCAGCAGCTTCTCTTTTTTTAAGGCAGCTCCACAGGATTCTGACAGCACTGCAACGTACGCCTTTCAGCTTTACCACATCCTTGTTAAACATACTGTTTCCAGATACAACAAGGAGAACTTTTGATTTGTTTTTATTGACAAATATAAATGTCCTCATTCGTCGTAAAAAAAACTGTCTGATTTCCATTAAGAATGATGTCTGGAAATTAGTTTCAATTCGTCCAGAAAAAAAAACAACATTGTCTAATGTTAAGGTGAAATACTGAATTAATCATGATGGAAGGTATTTTGGGTGGAATTGCATTTGTCGACTGTCAAAGGCACAATCGAAAGAATCAATTAGACTGACATTCCTCTTCCTGACAAACCAACCGTGAAGCCCTATAAGGTTAACGAGAGGGCCGAGAGACAACTTGGTCGGAAGCATGAAAAGCTAATGCTAAGCGGTGATTGATGCAAAAGGTGACCACACCAAGTATTAGTTATTCTTTTTTATTTTATTTTATTTCAATGACCTAAACTTTTATTCTACATGATTTGTAGTGCTCATCGTTTATGCTTTAAGAGATGAAAATCATGCAATTTTTCTGTCTTCAGAAATTTATTTATTAATTTCATGCAGAAAATTTAAGGTGCGGGATAATTGTCAATCATGTAATTGCCTGGCACAAGGCCTCTTTGTCCGGTATTTACATTGCCAATGCGTTCAGCTTCCCACCAACCGTCTGCTTGTTTACGAAGCACACCTACCACTTCTTCCTGATGAAACGACATTTCTCCTTCAATCTAATAAAAAGTGTCAGTTTCGCATGATGTATGCTCCTGAACTTACAGTTGCTTCAAATGGCCATTGGGCTTTAGCATAACAGATAAATCGGCTTTCTGTGATGGGTTGAGATGTTCCGTTGGGCTGATTGCCACTGTAATGGCTTTTATTTTCGTTTGATTCATAAGAAGGTGCATACACGTTTTGGCTGATAGGTCTAGACTGCTGTTGTTGTTGATAATTAGCAATGATGGTGGCATTGGAATTAGCTTCTTTTTCCTTCTTCTTTTCCTTCTTATTACCACCAAAGAATCCTAATGAGAATCGGCCTTTTTCTTTTTCTTTTGCACTAGCTGATTTTAAGGTAGATTCACTCTGTTGTTTCGTGTTTGAGACAGGCGTATGACTTTTAATACCAAAGCGCTTCTTGGGCTCTTCTTCAAATGCATAAGGGTCCTGCTTAAATACAGATCCACGTTGTTGCTGTTGCTGTTGCTGTTGATAACTGTAATAGGCAGTGGCAGGTACGGCTGCGTTGGCTGCAGTAGTCATCATGGGTGTACCTCGATAACCTGCATTCTTAATGACATGATCGTCTGTTTGGAAGTTTTCTTGCCATGGAGCAGGTCGAATACCCATTCCATTCTCTTCTGAAATTCCATTCTGTTGTTGTAATGGTGGCTGTTGGTTAAAATGATCGTGTTGAACAGGCGATATGTGAGATTGCTTACGGCCTTCTTGAATCACTTGTTGAGCAGCTTGCTGAGGTGGCTCAGAAGCAATAACAGGTTTCACAGAATTAGGAATATCAATAGTTAATGGAATGACAGGCTTGTGGAGTTTAGGCTGATGTTTCAATTCGAGTTCTTCAGGCGCAGGAGAAGAAACAGCAGAAGTAGAGGGCATGGGCACACTATTTCTAATTGATCCGTCAAACATGGTAGCATTGAGTGTCTTGACAGGTAATTGCTGAGGACGACGAATAGATGAGATCACCCATTTTTCATCTTTGGGAGGTAAACGTGGCATACGATTTTGGTATTCTCTTTCTTCAACATCGTCCTCATCCTCATCGTTTTGTATCTTTTTTCATGATGGGATAAAGAAGAAGTACGAACACCTATAACTGGTATTATCTCGTGTTGTTCAGAAGGTTGATAAGTAGGATTGGGCATCGGTTTGTACTTGTTGGGTTTGATACCGTCCGGACTTCCCGTCATGCTGTGATGTTCGTTTGTAGGATCGGAAGAAATAGGAGCAAGATCACTTTGATGTTGCTCCAAGACCTGATCCTCCTTCATGCCTAGTGCATTATAGACTTTACTGCTAAAATCATCTGATTTGGGCTGCGGTTCATCGAGACGATTGACCATCATGATGGGAGGCACTGTTTGTTGTGCCTTTTCAGGTTCATGGTTGTTGTTTAGGATATGTTCTATTTCTCTAAATTCCTTGTCGTTGCTTTGAGCAGATGTTGGCTGATCTGGGATTGTCTCGCTTATGCTTTGTACTTCTAATTTTTGTAATTGTCGATCCACAGATTTAAGCTCCTCATCATGGTTTGGCAAGATAGTAGTGACATTGGGCATTGGTACTTCATGATCGACTTCTTGTTTCTCGATAAACGAAGTGGACGTGGAAGGAAGAATAGAAGGTGCAGGCAAAAGCGATGCTGGATCACAAATAGATGTATACACCAAAGGAGGTGGTAGCTGAGTCCCTGTTCCATAGTGCTGCACAAAACTAGTAATGTCCTTGTCAACATCTGTGATCTCTAATGCTGTACGAATACGATCGCAACACTAGCAAAAAAAAAAAAAAAAAAAAAAAAAAAAAAAAAAAAGAGGTAAGTATCATCATGTATTTGTTTAGTAGAGTACCTCTTCATCAATACTGAATGTGCTTGTCATCATATTCGCAAATCTAGAAATACATGAGTGGGTCTAGTTGTCATACACAACAATGTCACCTACGACCAAAGTGTACTTCTTAGATAAGAGATTCTCTTTGTCTCCATTTCTTGAAATTTGTCTGCACTTGCTGTCCAATCACGAATGAATTTTTCATTGACAGTATTATAATGATCCACAGATCGCTTATACACTTGATCTATATTCAAGATGATAAATATCACTTGAGCTAAAATTGAATTCTTTACCAGCGACTATAACAGTTCTTTTTTGTTCTTCAATTTCCTTTTCAATCTATGAAAAGCATGGTAAGACAAAATCAAATATTATTTTTAAATAATTGCCTTTGCCATGTCGTCAACAGAGCCTTTCATAGTGTCATGAAGGCGTTGTTCTAATGATTTTAATTTTTGACATTCATTGACATAGTCTTCTTTAGCCTAAAGTAAATTAGAACACATATATAATCAGACACGGTAGACATACTCGCGCTACATCAGATTCATGAATAGTCTTGCGTTGTTTTGCATTCTCGATTTGTTGTTGTTGCTATGGTAACTAAGTATCGAAATGAATTGATGTATACTTACTACTCGACGTATTTCTTTTTGATCTTTAAGAAACCCGTCCAGCGGTGCTTCAAGATGATCCTTCAATTGTTGAGCTAAATCGATATGAGCACGAGCTGTGGTCTCCAGTGTTGAAGGAATACGAAGTAGTGTTTCTGCAAAGCTATTCTCTTCAAATTCGCCAATTCTTGAACTCTGTGCCAGTTTTAAAAGACGTTCACCATAGTCTTGCTCTATCGTGGCTCTAGGGGCATGTCAATATTGTTCTGCTCAAAAGATAGAACATACCGAAGTTCGTATAGCTTTTTGATTTCTTCACAAGTGTCTCTTGATTTTCTTAATCGACTTGTAACAATCTCGATACCTTTGTACTGATTGTCCTATGGCCAAACTTGGTCAGTTCTATTTTATTATTATTATTACTATTATTGCTCTCATACCCAAAAGGCGTCAGAGAATTTTGTGCCTTGTTGTAGAGTAGAAGTCATAGCTAGTGTAAATACAATAAAAGGGAAAAAAAAAGAAAGGCCAAGAAAATATGTAAAAATAGAAAGTTTCGAAAAAAGAAAGACTTTGAGCGATTTCGAGTGAGTTGGTTGACACGAGCCACACTATGAAAATAGTTCTGGGCCTTTTGAATGCGGACTTTATAAATCCCAAAAATAAAAGTTTCTAAAGAATGAGAAAGTTACTTTGATCTACAGTTAAGTTAGTTTGTCTCGTAGAGTAAAGGTGTTATTTTTCCCAAGTAAACAATAAAAAACAAAACAGCATAAATCGTCCTATTTCTGCTACGCTTTATTGTGAAAAAAATAAAATACTAAAAATTAAATTCTATATTGTTATTTACATTAAGTCGTAAGAAAGAGCAGAAAATAAAATGGAGATCAATTCAACATTTAATGAATATAACTCGCGGCCAAGCCATCTGCAGATTTTTCCGTGTTCTCTTTGTTGTATTCTTCGCAGATGGCTTGGTTGCGAGTTATATTCATTAAATGTTGAATCGAGAAAGCAGATCAATTGTTTAATTCCGAAGCTAGAGCTTGGTACATTTTGTATTTTCAAACGCGAAACACTGTTTAGCTTGTGGGGGTTATAGTAACTAGTACATAGCGCAACAATTGACTGCGAGTGTTTATCAAGAACTATTCGTTAATACTGGTGACTCAACATCAATTTTCTATACCTTGTACATGGTAATCATTTTAGAATTTAGGTGTAAAAATAGTCTTTCTTGCAAAACATGGCCTTTGTCCTTCATTTGCAAATTATTTGATGGTAAGCAACACTAAAAAGAAAAAAAAAAAACTTATTCATAAATATAATCAACTGATAAAATATAGTCGACAAAATAATTATTAGTTTGTTTCTTTCTTCTTGTTCGTTTCTGCTTTATGTAACTCTTAAAGCAGCAATTTTCTCTAAACCAACTCCATTCCCGCAAAAGTGGAGTGCACCCCGTACTATTTTACTATCTCTGATCACTGTGTACAAAACAAATCCAATTTGGTAAACAAAGAAGGTGGTGTAGCCGAGGAATTCGATTGAGTTTGTCACCCAAATTCTCCTTTTCCGCGGAAACAACCTGGGATGATACACATTTAGGTTGTTTATTGACTGATTGGCCAGAACGCGGGAATTTGGTTATTTTATAAAAAAAAAAAAAAAATCAAAAATATGCCAATCAACTTGGCTTAGAGTCGTCAGCTTTGATACAATTTTTTTTTTTTTTTTTGCCATGAGAAGTTGACATGAAAGCAGCTTAAGATATACCTGCGTCAAACAAACCGACAAGTTAGAAAAAGGATATTCAATGAGGGAAGACCCGCAAGAACCTTTTTATTACCATAAAAGTAGTTATATATTGCCCCAGGATTCTTGAATACGTCAAGATGACGTTTAAAAGAATTTTTGAGGAAGTTAAGTTTATCCTATTGTTAAGATATCAATGTTTTTATTTGCTGTCATTGAGAGTGAATATTGCTTGGATCAACAAGTGGATGCTGAGGTTTCATTTTCTATGAACTCCTGAATATCAAAATCTTTAACAGGCGAAATTAATACTTCCATGGTCAATACGACACTCTTTGTTGGCCCATCCATGTTCAGTTGAAATGGTTTCAATTCAAGAATCTTTCAGCACTGCTGATCATCTGCTCTGTCATACCAAGAAGCATTTAAAATTTGCAAGCGCTATGGTTGAAGCCAAACTTTTCAAGGCAAGGTATAACTGAAGGCAAGATATAACTGAAGTGCAGGCTTTAAACAAAATGAGATGTGTCTTATTAAAGTACAAAAGCCCATGATTAAAATACAAAGCAAAAGCCTTCTTTGTATTCAATGGAAAAAAAAAAGAGAATGCACAGGCTGTGTGTGATTACTTTGGCATGAATGAATCGCATGCTTTATTTTTCATTTAGCCTACTTTTCAACTCAGCTCCATGGTCGCTAAAATATAAACACTTCCTTTTTTAGGTGCGCGCCTAGAATTCACCTCTTGGTCTAAAGCTGACTCTATTTTTAGTATGTTTATAATCACAGCCAATCAACGCAGAACAACCCCCCCCACTTTGCTTCATGCCACCGCTAGTCCTTTTTTGGATGAAATTATCTCACGACCTGTTCATATAAATAGGAGGATTTCAGCTCGCTTAATTACAGATCTTCACTTCTTTATATTACTTTACTCAAAATGGATCCTGGTTACAAGCTTCTCCAACACATCAAGACTGTCCCTAATCTCATTAACGAAGACCCTAGCATTACTACTCCCAAGAACTCTACTTTTATGGACTTGCCTTGGTCTGAGTTCTCTAAATTATTAGCTGACAAGAAGGTCCAACGTCGTCCCTCTGATTCCTCAGCGAGTAGTTCTGCCTCTGAATCAAGCGATGAGTCTCCAGAAAACTTCTCTCTTGGCAATTGGGATTCTATGACAGGTTATCAAGATGCTGAACATAAAAATACTTTCTAGACATCCATCATTTGCATTATTCATTTCTCTCATATTTCATCTCACACACCTATTCGCATTTTTGTTGTTTATATTCTATAATAAACTTTCTTTTTCCTCTTTGTTACACATAATGATTCTCTCACGTTTATATCGGTCCGATAAACAACAATATGAAGGTGATCCTCTCTCAAAAGAAGAACAAAGACTGGCAAGCTTTGACTTCAAAAAGAACAAGATAAGAGCCTTTCAATTGTTGGAGAAAATCCTGTTTCAATATAAACATGATGTGCGATACAAGAACTCACCACGCTATTTGAGGTTATGGCTTGTGTATGTCTTTTATCTAAAAGAAACAGAAAAGGCATTCTTTATCTTGCCCATTCTTTTTGGATTGATAGAGAACCAGATATGTGACAAGCTTGCTATTCTTTACGAAGCTATTGCTTATGAACTCTATCAACAGAAAAGGTGAGTGTTCATGGCCAGGTATCAACTGACAACGATTATTCAGGTATACAGAGGTAGAAAAGACGTTGATTTTAGGACTCAAACGAAGAGCTGAACCTATCAAGCGATTAAACCGTGCTATACATCAATTTAAGACAAATGGTACATTTGATTTTCACCTTCGTTCCTATCAATGGCGCCATTTTGTAGACCAAAAGTCCTCCATGATGCACAAGACTAAAGTAAAAAATATATATATCATAACACTTATGTTTATTTGTGTATAGACACTTCGAGAACAATTAGAATGGCTGGATATCAAACTACAACATCACATTCGTCTAGACGTTCTCAAGGACTGTCACAAAGAAGGCGATATACTCTCTATAGAAGAACTAAGAGCTAAACATGACCGTTATCACCTTGTGCGCTCATGTCCTCGAATCATTCATCCAGCACATGCGCTTGTGGTACAACTGCCTCATCGACCTGGCTTGATTGATCAACAGATTCAAACTCATTCTACTGAGCACTATACTGTATTTGACCATGATGCCTCCTTTATTCAAAGACAACTGGATGCATGGTTTCAAACAACGAAGCACAACAAGAAACAGGCTAAACAAGACCTCAAGTTAATCCAACTTAGCCAGGACAAGTTTCATGTGGTTCGAAAGATAAATGAAGGTGGTATGGCTCACATTTATCTTGTCCAAAACTACTTGTCGACAATGCTGGTACTCAAGATACAACAACCTGCTCATGCTTGGGAATACTATATCCTCTCTCAGCTTAAACAGCGTGCCATCAATGGGTTTCATCTATTGGGTCTACATGGCTTTTATCGGTTCACAGACAGAAGCTTCTTGATCATGGACTATGTGAGACATGGTACACTGTTGGATGCACTAAACCTCTATCGACCTCAACACAACGCTATGCCTGAATCTGTTGTACTCTTGTTGACCCTTCAGCTATTAAAGCAGCTCTATCTGTTGCATTGGCAAATGTCTATCACGCACAATGATCTCAAATTAGATAATGTCATGGTCTGTTTGTCTGATCAAGACATGGTGGGCATCATGTTGGTTGACTATGGTTATGCTATTGATACCAGAATCATTGGTGGCCATCATACGTTATGCAAGGCGAATTGGCCGCCTGCTTGTCCTGCTTCTGACTTTCCTTTGCTAAATAAGGCATATTATCCTGTACATGCTGACTATTGGCAATTGGCCACGATGGTGCATTGGTTATTGTTTGGTTGTCCTATGCGTACTCTGACAGAGAAACATTCATATCGCATCCAACAGAAAATCAAGCGATATTGGCATCGACAGTTATGGAATCGATTCTTTCAGTTCATGTTGAATCCACCTGTGCCTAAACAAGATGCGATACGGTCTTTGTTATCCCAGTTTGAAATGATTGTGTATCAAGATGTGTTTGAGAACAATAAGAGTGATCTGAAAGCCTTTGTTGCTTTACTTCTTGATAAACATAGAGTTGATGAAAGGTAGTGAAATAAACTTTTTTTTTTTTGCATAATAGCTTGTTTTTCATTTTTTCATTATTTTTTCATTTTTTTCATATACGATGAGAAATGCTATTAAAACAGTGATCAGTAACGCAACCAAGTCATATATTGATATTGCAACAACAGATCCTGTAGTAGAAAGTCAAGAAGACGGTACATCAAGAGGCGATTTCTTGGATCTCGTCATCAAAGAACAAAAGAAAGAAAACAAGCGATTATGGGATAAACTCTACCAGGTAAGTCCTCTAGAGTCCTGTATTATCTTTAATCACACTGGTGAGTTGGAACAACAACAAAAAGAAGCAGGCAAACACAGAGTCTTTCTGCCAGAAGCAGAGTACACTACAGCCGATCGAAAAATGCTCAGTGCACTCATGTATGAACATCGTGATCTCTCTACACAAATCACAACTGAAATGAGCAAAGTTGAGATGTTTGATGTGCCTGATGATACTATTCTTGAAGTCATGTTTAGAGAACGTATAGAAAAAGAAATTCAACAGTATAAAATGACGATCGAGTTTGTCAAGGAACAGTTAAGCCAAGCCAAACATTATCTAAAAGAGTAAGTTGATATACAAAAGAACAATTTAGACTCATTCCAATAGAGAACAAGCTACCTTAAAAGATACAGAGACATTACATGCAGGCCTAAAGAAAGAGAAACAAAGATTAGCCCATGAAATTCGATTCAAACTGACAAAAGAACATTTACGAGAAGATAGAGTTAGATTAGAAGAGATGATCAAGAGAGACCAGAATGATTTTATTGACTTTTTAGATGAATTCTATCCTCCTCACCAAGTGGATGTAAGTGCTGTTTCCCTAATGTATTTGACTTATGATGTTAGGTCGGCAATGCTATGAATACGTTTAAATGTGATTTGAAAAAGGTGATTGAAGAACTCATGAACAAGGCAGTCAATTCGCCCGATAATCCTTATGTGACATTAGTGCCTGGCACTTATTGGCCACCTTATATTCAAACATTGATTCAAGCACAAGTAGCACAATATGATCCACAAGATGCTAATCGTATTCGTCTTTATGACTTTAAGCCTTAACTTTTATTTTATTTTTATTTTGAACAAAAAGCCTGAATAAAACTAGGTTTTACTGTTTGTTGTCGATAGTATGCTGCCGTCTTGGGCCGTTTGCTCAAGATGTTAGGGTCTAGTTTCTGATGTAACCAGTATAAAATGGCAGTAGCATAAATGTCTACTAAGGTCTGTTGCTCTTGATGGGGCAATAAGCAGCCATCGTAGACAGTCAATGCTTCTTCTGTGCTGTCCAATAAAGCCTCTAGTTTCTGTTGATGGAACAGGTATTGATCATGATTCAATAAGATATCAGCTCTATCATCATGTGCAGCCAAGCGCGTCTTGTAGGCTTCAGCAAGGTCAGGATGAGCATCAGCCAATGCCAAGACTTGCTTTCTTGATGCAGCAAGTGTGTTTGCCAAGAAAGTCATATCTTGATCCACTGTCTTTTTACCTGACATCAAAGCCAAGACACGCACTTGACGCCATTGCTCTATCAACTCAATCACTTGTGGATTGTCAGCATCAAAAATAGCAGGCTGAACATATTGGTCCAAATACTGAGCTATACATAAAGAGTCAGGAATAGCTTTCCCCTCATAGATAATGGTAGGCACTTGTCCCTTTGGATTCAATTGAATATACCAAGGCATGATATTGTCTTGACCCATTTGAAGAGGTTTAAATTCAAATTGGTCTTGAAGACCCTTTTCATACAAGATCAATACACCCACATTTGAAAGCACAGAACCTGGACTATAGTATAAAATATGTTTGGTCATAAAGAGAGAGAGAAAGAGAGAAACAAGGGCTACCATGTTGTAGTCTTTTTATGTAATTCAATCAGGTAATTAAATAAAGTTCCTGGTTTACGATGCCATTGTTCATGCCAATGATAGGCAAATACGTGCATCATTTTATGCACCTCCTCTTGACCCACACCATGGCGAAAAAGATCTGGTAATGAATTACTCGACTGACACTGAGATGGGTCTGTAAAGCACCAAGGTAATACTGCCCATGGTGTGATATGATGTTCTAATAAACGACGATAGACTTGTTGATACACAGAGGCACCTCTGAATGTCTTGGAGCTTTGTTCTATTTCACATACATAAGAGGATCCTGCAAAGAAATGCATCATGGCCCCTGTCGACTGTTCAAAGCAACTGGATTGCGATAACCATTCCTGATGTAATAAAGGAGACAAGTCCCTTATCAGCAACACATCCAAATCCATCCAAACACCACCATGTTGATACAAACTATGGGTCTTGACCATCCACTCTATCTGATCTGTGGGTTGAAGAGCAAGTGTGTCTATAGACATCCACTGGATTCGGTTCGAGCGTATGGATTGCCATAATGGATCTTGCATCAGTTTCTTTTGATCGGTAGGTGTTGTCCATACATAGAGTTGAGTATTGGCTGGTTGTGTGGCCACAAAGGAACGCAATGTGGCCAACTGATTTTGTGTCAACTGGCTTGATTGTTCTGTAGACCAATACGTATGAAATAGACTGGTGGTGGTTGACTTGTTGAAAGGTTGGATTAATCTAGCATAATCAAAGCAAGTATCGAATTCTTTGACTGGTATACTGGGAAACAGACTATAATGTGTTGTCTTGTTCATCTGTCTATTAAAACAACTAGAAAGGGATCCTGCTGAAGGTCTATCAGGAACAAGATAATCTCGCCATCCAATGTGTGCATTCAAATCGACTTGATATATAGAAAAAAAGACAAGGCTACCTAATACCAATATTATCGAGGTCCATTTCACTAGAAACAATACGATTTCTTTTCTTTTGGGTCTAATGACAGTCGAGATGGATTCATGACGACTGGATAACCAAGAGAACCAAGTAGTCATAATAACAATAAAAAAAAAAAAGAGTGGTTTATTATGTTACACATTCTTTTTTCTATGGCTCGTAAATAGATCATCTTCATCGTCTTCCCAATCCCAACTACTAGATTTATTTGTTGAAGATAGTTTCATGCGTCGAATCAGTACAGGTGGACTGCTTGATCTTGAGCGAGGAGAAGAATAACTCTGCTGACTGAGTGAGTCACGCCAATCTTCCACACGAGGGGATCGAAGCGGTTCTTTGCCTTTACTGGAAAATGGTCTACTGTCCCAAAGACTGGTGGTGCTACTACTGCTACTCGGTCGATGATCCAGTGCACGTCTCGGTATAGGTTCTTGTTCCACATTAGGTTCAGCTTGCTTGATTTGCTTAGGCTGTGGTCCCCATGTAGCTGATATTAATAAAGACGAACATGCTTCAGCAGCAAATCCAGCACATCCACCAATAAATAGACCGCATCCCATTGCTGCTAAACAAAACATAATGACGGGATAAAGTACATGAAATACATATAAGCACATATCCAATGGTTTTATCACAAAATGAGTCCAACATGCTCTCAATAGCCATAAAAAAGGCAAGCATGTATAGCACACACAAGTATATAAGAATCCAAACAAGTGTTTAAAAAAGAAGACGGATAGACTAGCTGCTGTATAAAGTGTGCTCAACATGTGCATAAACCCATCTCTTAAAACTATTGTATCTTCTTGACTTAGTTGTACTAGTGTGTCATTGATGAGTGATTCGGTTGTCATTACAAAAGAACTAATAAATAAAAGAAAAGAAAAAGAAAAAAGAATACACTTTGTTTTCGGTCACATGATACTGATAAAAGTAAATGCAGTCTGTTTAACAAAGTAAGTGCAAGAAATACAGTGTCATAGAGTATACATGGCATGAATCCTGATGGACTGATCAAATCAATTTTGAGATATGAAAGGTTTCTTTTTGTTCAAAGTATCTGTTGCATTGGTGCTCACACAATTGGAGTCGATAAATAGATGTTCTCTGGCTTAAATCTATTTACTTACTTAGGTTTCCCCGGAATATGGAGGGAACTCACATTGTGTAGGGCATTGATTGACATGAAATAGCCTACATGACTTGATGACCAAGGAACAAGAGTATGCCAAAACTGTGTCTTTTTCTTTCTTTTTATACTTTCAAGTGATCGTGAATTCTTTTTCAGAGGTTTGGGCCTTTTTGCGTTTGTTTTAAAGAGAATGAACCTTGTACTATTTATGATTTTTTAAAAAAAAAAACGATTGGCTTTTAGTGTTGAAGAACAATGTATACGATCCTTGAGAGGAAAGATGTTGACAAATTCCGTTGACTTGTTGCAAGACTATGACCTACAAGAAGGTCCTATTGTACTTCATTTGACTGTCAGACTGATAAGAGGACATATACGTCATAAGTGTATAGACAATATTACCCCACAGAGGTAAGTATTTCAACAGATAGGCTTATATACCATGGCTCAACAAACAATGTATCTGAACCAAGGGCAAAAAAAAAAAAGAAACTTGCAAGCGTAAATATGTTTATTGATCAATGGCTAAAGCAGCACTTTGCCATCCACCAAAGCCAATAGCAAACACAAACTGGTTATTCAATGCTTCTACTCGCTTGGGTCTTTCTTGTCTTTGTTTTGAATGATCTTGGCCATGTCCTAAAGCACCTGAACTATAATTTCCCCAGGTGAATAATTGACCTTGGTTGGTCAATGCACCATAATGATAACTTGGTAATGATCAATACACTGGCTTTATGTCTTGTTTTTACTTACTCTCCAAATGACACTTTACAGATATCTTGATGGTCTAGTTCAGCTAATGTCTCTGGCTCGGTTGTATCAATATTACCCAACATCACTTTATCCTTTGTATAGACTGCAAAATGATGAAAAGCACCTGTAATAAATCGTTTCATGATACCATGGCGATTGTTGTGTTCGCCTATTCCACTGAACTGCTTTAATTCAGTCACATGATGTTGTGGTGACAGACTAAAGGCATCTGGATCCACTGTCGCTAATTTCAAGACAAGGCCATGTTGTGTCAAGACCAGTGTATGATTCTCTAAACCAGCCAATTGAACTAGTTTATCCTTTGGATCTGCTGTGGGCAAGATCTGTTGTAGTGTGACACAGGCAGCCATCACTTGTGTAGGAGCAGGTTCTACAAGGACCTGAGAAGGAATGATAGGATCTGGCTTAGGTACAATATACAAGGCACCCGATTCTGTCAAGACAGACGAATAGTTCCAATTGGCTACTACTTGAGCTACAGGGGCACCTGCGTCCAACGCGACTTTCTGAAGCATGATATGATTAGACCAATGCCAGACAGTACCATCTCTTGCTAATCCAATCACATGACCACGACCACTGGAAATACTACGAAACTTGATCTTGGCCTGTGTTTCATTATCCGACTGTAATTCAGTAGGTCTCTTTAAGCGTGTTGTACCAATGGAAGCACGATAAGTAACATCTTGTTGCATCTCATAATAATCAAAGATCAATGACAACACCATCGCAACCATTCACTTACTGTGCCCCACATCCATACAGTGCCTGTCGTGTCAAGTGCATGAAAAGACCAACCACCAGCAATAATATCAATCAAACAGACATGATCTAAACTAGTCACTTGTTGAGGTTCAGTTACTTCATTAGCATGTCGTCTTCTTAAATGTTGAGTTCTAAAGAAGCCATAAGAAATAGGGGATACATTCTGTTTTCTTACCTCATCACAGGGCGAAATAAGCCTGGTTGTGTGTCATACTGAGGCTGAGTAAGGCCTAAACGATCATCAAAATTCTCTCCCCAGGTATATAGCTTTGTATGATATTTTAAGGCCATATAGAACTTTTTCCATCCTTTATGTCGATAAGCATGATCTTGTGAAATATTGAATTCATGTACGCATAACTGTTTCCATAGAGACTCGTCATTTACTAGATATCGAAACTGACTTGATACAGACTCAAGTTCAACAAGTGATTGACTATCTAATAAACCAAGAATATCTACCAGTAAAATATCTGTTGGTAATCTATCCAACATTTACTCTTTTTTTTTAAGCAAAAAAAAAAAAGAAAAGAAAAGAAAAAAAAGTGTATTTATTACGTATTTTATATATGCATGATTTAAAGTACGCTTTTTGTTTACTTCACCTAAACTTCAGACTACAAATAAGTTGCCTTTGGTTTATTATCCTTATAACCAGCGTATGTATGTCATGATCAGAGATAACAAAAAAAAAAAAAGAAAGAAAGAAAGGGTCTTCATTCCATGATCACTGAATTTTGAATGTCACTCAATTCTAATGATTCTTCTTCTTCTTCTTCAATTGGTATGCTTACCATATATGACTCATAGTTTATTAGTTAGTTTTATAATCTTCAAGCAAAACACTTTTATTAAAAAGAGATTTGATCACTTTCATTCTGTCGTGGTAATTGATGATACACTTCTTTTAATGTACGAATACCATAATCAAACGTCGTTCTCAAGTAGGTTAAATAAGGATCACTTGGATCTAAATGACTCAATAAGTCCATATATGCTTGATCACAGAGATCAATGGCTTCTTTGGCTGCTATTCGGTCACCTAGATAATAAGCTGATCCACGTGACACTTGAGCACATTTGAGTTCATCTATCGCCAGTTGAAATAGGTGTTTAAGTTGTTTGATATCGGATGCTGATGTCTCTGGTTGACTATGAGAGGCTCTTTTACGAAAAGGTGACATGTATTTCTCTACCAATGTAGGTTGACTACCACAAGAACAACAACTCGATGTTGTACTACTTTCTGAGGCACGTCTTTTTGATAAGTCGGGTGTAATCCATGTTTTGAATGATGTCCATTTTGATTTAAAAGTAGTTTGTGTAGCTGAACGTACAATAGAATGCATTTCTATATAAATAACAAAGAGAAAGAAAAAAAAAAAGAAAAGAATTGAACATATTTATGCAGACTATAAAAGGAGGAGCAAAGGGGGTCATAAATCATTTTATGTTGGTTAGGAGCACGGCATGAATCCGAATAAACTCCTTCCCTTTTATTTATTTATTTATTCTCCCTTTCCTACTGGATTATCCAAATCAATGTCAACAAGACAAACACACTAAAGACTGAACTAAACTCAGACTGTGGTTGAGCTAAAGACAAGGCAGTGGTAGTAGAAGAATCATCAGAACGAGACTGAAAGTCATTACTATTGGTATCATCACAAGTGGTATCTGGTTTTGTGGTTTTGATGATACTAGCAGAATAATTGGTGTTTGTCAACACAGTGGAATAACCTATGGTTTCTAGGATACGTAGAATACCTGGTCCAATAGGTGATTTGTACTTGTATTGGACTGTCACATTTCTCTCTTCTGTCGTCAGAGTGGCATTCAGTACGGTATGATTGCCTACAGTGACATTATGATAAGTCGTGATATTGGTAGGCACAGTGGTAGTGACATTGTACTCAATGTCTGGTATTTGACTATAGCCTTCTTGTACTAAATCAGCCAGTGCCTTGCCCTTGACAAACGTATGGGTCATCAAGAAATCAGGCGTACCCATATAACTATCATCCACATGTGATGTACTAATACCAGGTCGATAATAACCTTCATTTTGCTTTGAAATCACACCTGTCATGAGCTGCATTGACTTGTATGTCTGGTTTAAATAAGCATTGGTATAATACACACTTTGGCTTGACAGAGGGCTGAATTCAAATGTCATGGTCTTACTCATGGACATCGATACATAGATTGTCTTGGCTTTGGTAGATTGAGTCGCATTGTTTAAGAAGGCATTCATGAAATTCACAATAAAGGCTTCATTGTCCTGTACACAAAATCCTTGCATATCAAATCCATATTCACCTAACCAAATCGTCTGGTTCCTGGCTGAGATAAACAAGTACAGAAACTTGTCAAAGATCAAATTGGGCTGAAATCCAGTGATATAAGCAGGGCCTGTGGCGTGTCGAACATACCAATGTGGGCTAGGTGTCATTATCTTTAGACTATCTTCGGGTGTAATCAGCCCGCTCAACAGCTTTTGAAAAGGAGAAGTCGTGTCTGAAAAGTAAGGAGCCCATGAACTCACCATGCCAAGTCCATGGATCATTTGATGGAGAATCACATATTCCAAGTCGATCTGATAATCTTGAATCGTGTCATTACCAAAATAGAATCCACCTTGAAGTGGTATGCTGGTTGTATTGAGACCTGTTTGATTGGCTGCATTCATATGAATATCATGGTTAATATCAATCGCCACATCATAATTAGCCCAGTTGGAACTATCGGTAAACTGAGCTAATTGTTTCGCTAATGCTTGAGGATAAATAAAATTAGAGTCTGCTTCATTCAGTGAGATCAATGTAAACTAAGTTATGGGTGAGTCATGGTCAAGTCAAAGTCACTAATTACTTGTGAACTTGGTGATCCCCATCCATAAGTACTGTTGGCACATTGATTGACACAAAAACTATAATAGCTTGTTTGAAATCTGAAAAATAATAGATCAGTTTCTTATTTTGGCTTTCAGGTGTACTTTACATTATTCTTGTCTTTAGATTCACTACTTTAGCAAATTCATTGGCTGCTGCTATAAGTACTGTTTCTACTTCGCTGCATAGTGCTGTGTCTACTTCACAATACAGTTTCACTTGAACAAGATTGGTGACATTGGTCACTGAAGGTTCTTTTTTAAACAAATCTTTTGAATTATAAATGTCTTGATTCATGCTTTGTGCTGCTTCTTCACTATCTGAATCCGATGTATCGTCTGTTGTACTTGTTGTGATCTCAATATTCGTTGTCAATGGTGTTAAACCACTACTTGTTGTTGTTTCTTCTACATCTTTTCTTTTTAAAATGCTTTCTAATTCTTCTTGTGCTAGAGTCAAGTAAAGTGTGATCAACAATAATAACAAGATCAAGGAAGATGTAGAATACATGGTAAGGTGACGGAAAAAAATATATATATATATAAAGCAGTAATGCTTCTAAAATATCTCTTGGATGATTTTTTAAACCCAGATTTTTATGTATGTTATATTTATAAAATACTTTTTTTATTTCCTTCTTTCTTTATCTTTATGATGTATCTGTCTTCATTAGCAAGTATCATCTTGCTTTACTGTCTTATTAAGACAGTTTCTACAGAATCGATTGAATTACGTCCCGATAATATCAAACAACACATCAGCTCTGGTACATGGCTTATTGAACACTTTTCTCCTTGGTGTCCTCATTGTCAAAACTTTGGTAAGCCAATCTATCCGTCATGTCCTCTACTGACTCATGATAGCACCTCACTGGAAAAAAGCAACAGAAGATTTACAAGCCTTGGCTGCTGAACATGACTTTCACTTTGGTACGATTGATTGTTCAACACAAGGTGATTTATGCGATGAACATGATGTAATGGCCTATCCTACTATTCAACTTTGGGAACAAGGTGAAAAGATAGAAAGATACATGGGTAAAGCAGACTATGATCCAGTAGTTGAATATGTCAATGCAAAAATCGAAGCAAAAAAAGTGGTTCAAATGGAAGACGAAAAGGAAGAAGCATTAGAACAAGCTGTTATCAATGAAGAACCTGATATTGAAGAAGAAGAGGAAGAAGAAGAAGAAGAAGAATTAAGTGAACAAGAGAAAGAAGAAGAAGAAGTAGTTGCAGCATTAGCTTTACCTAACCCAGAAGGTTTATCTGTTAATCTGGATGGCCCTCAATTAAAAGAAATTGCTGCTGGTAATACACCTTGGTTTATCAAGTTTTATGCACCTTGGTGTGGTCATTGTAAAGCATTGGCTCCTACCTGGACTGAAATGGCTTCTCAACTTCAAGGACAAGTTCATGTTGGTGAAGTCAATTGTCAATCCTTACCTGGTAAGTTGATTTAATAAGGGATTTGATTAAACTTTAATCGAATGTAGATGTCTGTCAAGAATACGGTGTTAAGGGGTTTCCTACACTTGAGATGCTTGGTAATGGAGAGCCTGTCTTGTTTCACAGTGACAGATCCTTGGCTAGTTTAATGGCATTTGCTCTTTCTCATTCTGGGTATGTGTCCATGCACGGAATCAACACATAGGCTAACATCATCCTATAGTCCTGCTGTTAAAAAGGTTGATTTTAATGAACTGATTCAGCATTTGGCAGTCAAAGATGTAGCAGTTATCTATCTGTTTAACAAAGAAAAGGCAGACATTCCTGTAAGTAAAAATAAGATACACACACACACACAAAGACTGACATGAAAAAAAAAAAGACAACCATTGAAACAATTGCCAATCAATACGCATCCACACTTTCATTCTATGCGTCCAGTGATGAGGCCTGTTTTAAAAAGTTCAGTGTCTCTCCTTCTGATTTACCTGTCATTCTGATTGCCAAAGACAACATGTACCATATCTATGGCTCTCATGATTTCTCTAATACGAAATCAGCCCAAGAAGCACTGATTCACTGGATAGAAGAAGAACAATACCCTTTGATTACTAAGCTTGGTCCTCAGAATGGAATGCAAGTCTTACAGGGCCATGTGCCTGTTGTGATCAACTTGTTTGATGCAGAAGACAAAACCAGTCAATCCAAGTTTCGCATGTTGGCCAGTGCTTGGAATAAGCAGCAGCATGAGACCAAGGTTATTTTTGCTGAAATGGATCGATCCATGTGGAAAGACTATGTTGCCTCTAAATTCAATATTCAGCATGAAACTAGTCCTAAAATCTTTCTTTACCAAGTAAGTTGTCGTCTATCAAACACAATTGACTCAGTCCTCTTTCTTTCTTTTTTTTAAAGGACTATGTGTATTTTGAAAAAGATGTACATGGTCAAGTGTTTTCTTTGGATGATGCCCAAAGTATCTATGATGCTCTTAACCACCTTGATCAATTACAAGGACAATCTACTTTGGCAATGCATCAAAAACTAGGTGTTTCTGTTTCTCATGGTCTGACATGGATGTCAACGCATTGGTTGTTTAGTTTGTTCAGTTTGAGTATCTTGAGTGGTCTTTTGTATCGTTACTTGACCCATCATCGTCCTAAAGGTGCAAGTATTCTACCTTCTTTTAGACAAACAGACCATCATAAAGATTAATATGTTTATTATATATAAAAAAAAAAGATCATGATTTGATATCCTTGGAAGAAGAAGAGGGAGAAGGTGATAATGAGCGTGCACGGCGGGTATTTAATAAGACAAGATCACTGGGTGAAGGTGCAGTGACATTAGCATGTACCTTATTATTTCTAGATGCATGACTATTACTACTACTGCTGCTGCTGCTACTGCTGCTGCTACTGCCATTGTTATTGTTATTGCTGTTGCTACTCATATGAGCTGGAAGAATTCGACCTAAACTTGTATCAATGGGTGGTAAAATAGGTTTAGCAGATCGAGGTGAAGGTGAAGAAGATGTCTTGGGTTGTTCTATCAATACAGGTCGAGGTAACGTGGGTTTTCTTTTCTTTTCAGGTGGTGGTCGAACAACAGGTGAAGCCGTCAAGGGAGAAGGAGGCCCGCCACCATTTCCTCCTCTTTGAATCTTTGCTTTTAGTGCTTCCATCACTTTATTGTGCGATAATTTATCTTGAGGTTCAGATTGTTCGTGAGGTAATGAAATCGAAGATCGGTTACGTTTCTTGCTGTCTTCACGAGGCGAAGTAGGTGAGATTTGTCGAAAAGAAGGGGGCTGTAGACGTTCTGAATTACTAGGAGGACAGAGTGGATGTGCCGAGTGAGGATATGGCACAGAAGGTGAAGAAGGTGCTTGGTGTTGTTGTGGTGGACCATAATTAGGCGGGTAATGAAAGCGCGCCAATACTTGTTGTTGAACAGGCGCAAGTCCATAATAAGGGCCGTACGAAGGGTGATGCACAGGTGTTTGAATAACAGGCTGTTGTGGTAATGGAGGTTGAGGTATGACTTGAACAGGTGTTTCTTGTTTGGTTTCTTTGGCAATCTCTAAATCCATCTGTCGAAGTCGAATACGCGCTTCTTCAGCCTTGAGTGTATCTCTCGCTGCTTTTTTCTAGATAATATGAATTGAACCATTTCTATCTTTGAGCTTATTACCTTGTCTTCTTCTGACTTGGCAGTCAAGATATATTTTAGTATTTCAGGGTCGTCACTGTACCGATCGAGTATTTCCTTGACTGTGATGTCATTCGTGATGGACTTCAATTGCGAAGGAGATGAAGGAATAGGCCACTGAAAAGCAGAAGTGGGTTGATTAGAACTAGGTGATAATGAACTTAAGCGAGGAGATGGATTCGCCATGATGAATAAGGACAGGAAAAAAAAGAAAATAAAAGAAAAAAAATCAAATTTAAATTGATATACCAAGAGTCCGCCTTAGCCAATCAAAATGATGTTTACTCAAGTAAAGTGATATTACTTTAAAGGGGGGGTATTTAGAGAATAAAACCAACTTGGTTAAATAGGCCTTTTCTTTATGTTTGCTTGACTTTAACTGAGATTGAAATTCGAAAAGTAAAAAATAATAAAAAAAAAACATCTTTATTTTTTTTTTTTATTTTCTATATGGTTACCATCACGAACAAAAACGTTTATTCAGCCATCGATTCTGATTCTGAGAGTGAGAATGAAGATTATTCTTCTTTCTGTTCAATGTAAATATATCTTGTTTTAAAAAGAAAAAAAAATATATATGTTAACGCGCTTCTGGTTTAGCTCCAAGACAGTTTCTATTTCAGAAAAACAACAGCGCAATCTCATTCAACTCGGTTGTATTTATAATCCATTGGAAGAGTACAAACGATCGCTTTTATTTCAGAATCCAGTAAGATGGGTACCTTTCCTTTTTTTTTTATATGTGTGTTAATACGTGTCTATAGGTACGACATGATGAGCAATTTGCCTTAAAGATGAAAGAACACGAACTTTTATTGAAAAAAGAGCGAGCATGCGTATTGCAGAAGCAGAGACAGAAACAACAAGAGGAATACAAAGCACTTGCTTCCTTGATATCAACATTAGACGTGGACAAGTAAATCTAGCTTATGCTAACCCCCCTCCTTCTTTCCGTTTTATGTCTAACATGTCAATAGTGAAAAGGAAGATGATAAAACATTCCAAGAAGAACTCAAGAAGCAACGCCAATTGATCGATGAAGCTATCGCATTTGACAAGAAAAGATTAGAAGAAGCCAAAGTAAAGGCAGAAACAGAAAAAAAGCAGAAAGAAGAACAACAAGAGAAACAAAAGCAATTAGAAAAGGAGGAACAAGAAGCCAAAGCCAAGAAAGCACAACTAGATAAGCTTGTAAATGTCTATTGCTTTTACCTATATGGTGATACTAACAATAACTAGAAACAATCTTCTGCTGTTTCACTAGAAGGGTTACAGGAATATGAAGCCTATTACAAAAAGATTGAATATTACAAGACACATATCAAGCCAAAACTAAGTGATGATACATTTCGCAAACAGTGCTTCCCTGCTAAAAGAGTCATTAACAGAACAGTCAGTCAATTACAGCACAGCCATGCTGTTGTGCTTGAAAAGGTATGTTATTGTAGTCAAATTACTCTTCCATCCCCCCCTTTTTTTTTTATTGAATGATGATCATAGTATCAATTCCTAAGTCAACATTTGTTGGGTATCAAGCAACAATCTCAGGATGCATTTGAAGTCTTATTGAACCACCTTGCCAAAGTGTTTCTTGCCCAAGTCAAACAAGAGATTCATGCTACTGATTATGCTGCTTATTTCTTGGCTCGATTTGCCTACTTGATGTGTGCTGCTATGCCTGAATTTGTGGATTATTTAATGGGTCGTCTTCTCAAGCGATGCCCTTATTTGATACCAAGATATCATGACGATGATCCAGTAAGTTTCAAGGTCCAATCCAATCCATACTTATATCTATATCTATATATCCATATAGACACTTTCTGCAGATGAAATCAGATCAAGGCTTCGTTACACCTACAGCAACAAGGAAAAGAAGATCATGGAGACCTTCCTTGAACATGCTGAAAATCAGAAATGCTACGTGATGTTCTATGGTGCACTTGCACAGACGTTGCCTGATCCAGGTCAGCCAGAGAATCCATTTCCTATTAAACATGCCTGGATTTGGCTTGCGCGTATTTGTAATATGCCTCCTCGTGAAATCACCCCTTTTCTTGTGGATGGTATGCTTGAAATTGTCACGGTACGCTTGTTGCAGGCGTATCCTCATCAGACGCCTAAATTGTTACGCCTGATTCGTGAGACTATTTGTCCTCTTTATCCAGAAGCAGATGGGTCTGTCAATAAGGCAAGTATAAAGCATTTGGAAATGTTTTTGGATGATTACTTTAGAACAGGCAAACCTGATTGTATACCAGAATCAAAGCCTGCTAAAACATAAACACTTTATTGTTCATCAAAGACAGAATAAAAACCATTATAATCTAAGCGTGTTGAAAGAGAACGAAGGTCTTCATCTTGACAAGATTTAAGCATATCCAAGAATTGCAAGACATGCATCGTAAAATAATCCTCTAGTGCTTGATGTTGTTGACGAAGTGCTTTGATCTTGTCAGCATCTTGTTCACCTAATCCTTTGCCTGTCACATAACTATGGAAACGATCCAAGACAACTTTGTATTTCAAGATACAGTCAAAGATATCGTTTAATTGACTTGCTAATGCTTTTTGTTTAAGGCCACTGAGGAATCCCTTTTCTGTGATGTCTTGTAAATAGCGTGTATGAGCAGCCATGATAGAGTCCAGATCAATACTCTTGGTCTCTATAAATGTAGCTAGTTTATCCCAAGAGCATTCAAGCACCTATACCAGGGTCAATACATGTATGAAAATGAGCATTGACTTACTTCAAACAGAACATAGTGTTGTAATTGATAGATAAAATGAATCATACGTTGAATGGTCAATTGTGTAAATTGTAAATCTTGTTGTATTTCAGAAAACGGAATGAATTCTCGACTTGTCTTTCCCCATTGTCTCCAAGCAGAAGAAAGTGTGTATTCCACTCGTTTTAATCGCCATAAGAAACTAAAGGCTTGAAGGTATTGGTGCATAGCAGCAGGGCTAAATACAGTATTGATAGGTGCATCCACATGATAATCTAAAGAGAATACATCCCAACCTAAATCATCTTTTTGTATCTTTTTATTTTTGGATGTCAGTATATATCCTTATTCAAGTATAATTTACCTCTAATAAGCGAACATCCAGTCGATTCAGTATATCAGGATCATCATATTGCGCATCAGAAGAACGTACAGCTGTCTCAAGGATGCCTGTCAAATTATGGCGAAAGAGAGTATTAGCAGGTTTACTGAGGTGTGTCCTAACAAAAGACCTGTTAATTCCATCAATCAACCTACATATATGAATTACCATAAAATATCCATCAAATATTGAATAAAATCCCCTTGACCAAGTAACAAGTATCGTTTCATGGCCTTTAAATGGTCCATGAGTTTATATTTTGTCTTGAGTAAGTTGAGTAATGCTTTGCTTGTGGTATGATAGGCAATTTCAATAGATGCTTCTACTGCCTGTGTTTCTCCATATTGAAATACTTGGTTTGATTTGACATAATATTGCTTTTCATCATGACAACTGTATCGAATAAAGTTAAGTGATTTACCAATAGAGAATATCTTGTGAGCCAGTTGTTTAGATAGAAAAGAAGGCAGCATGTCTTCACGCATAGCATATTTGTTTTGCCATAGTTCATCTTCAGAGACAGTTGGATCACAAGCAACAAAGAATTCACCATAAGGATCATCTAATTCACCTTCATAGACCCACCGTTCAAGCATTTCATAGAATGGTTTAGAAATAGCCTGTAACATATCCACCAAGTATGTCTTGATAAAAGGATCACCATGTTTTGTATAGTTGTGAATAGCAGATATTAAGGCACCTCCCTTTTGGTCTATTGTCTCATAAGCATATCAATCATCGTTTTTGTGTGATTACCTTGACAGACATCCACCAAGACACTCATGAGCCTTAGTTTTTGATGACACTCTAATGTCCAGACCATCAGTCGCTTTAATGTCAAACTCTGATCTGTTAATCCTGCATGTTTGTTGGCCATCTGTTTCTCAATTTGAGCTTCCAAGATTGCAATCAGTTTGTAGTACTCTGTTAGTTCATGCTGCAATGCTGCACACAACGATTGTCCCACAAGACCAATCTTGGCTGAATCACTATTGTCTCGAATGAATGTCTTGACGCGGGTATAGAGCCAACCAATCTCTACTAGCTTAAAGACCATTTCTTCTGTTGATTTTGATACTTCAATACCTGGTATAAATACATGGTCATTCAATTCTTTATTGTATCGAATATACTGTCCATCAATCCCTTGAAACAAGAAGATCAAATCTCGAAGTAAATCTGCTTCAGAGACATACATGGTCGCTAGAAACAAAGCATCATCAGTCATCTCACAGCGTAGTTCATACTGTTACCATCCATCGTATGGTGTGCTTCTCTTGCTCTTGCTAGTTGAACAGCAGGAGGTGCTATAGTCAAGTCAATAGGAGGTGTGGATTCTCTTGTCAATCTTCGTCGTGTGTTTCTCATTAAATCGTCCTGTTGCATAGCATAAGGCCTTAAAGCTGGAGGTTGTACATGATCCGATACTTGGTCCATATTTCTTAATCCTCCTAATGTCTTTTCATGTTAAATGCATATCCCTATAGTATGTGTTCTATTACTGGCATATCTGGGTGATCCATAAGAGGCATACCACTCACAAGTGATAATAGATACAGAACAGACCATTTCTTTTGAAGTCGATTCTATACAACCGATGAGTGGATGGATAATATAAAGCATACATACTCGAGAAGTGAGTTTATGATAGAGGCGTCCAAAACGAAAGGCTTTTTCACTACCATCTGAGCGGTTTACTGTCAAGAGAGTTAGATTCGATCAAGAGAAAAGGGGAGGGAATAGATTTACATTGATGGTGTATTTGATTGACCAAGTCACCTTCATTCTCAACAATAGAAGGTTCGCTTTGACTTAAAGAGAAGTCAATAAGGAATTTAAAAGACACAAGACTCTACCTGATTAATAATTGACTGAATTTCTCTACTAGTTTTTGTTTCTGGGGTGTTGAATGGTTTAGATCAAACCTGTCTATCAACTTGGCAAGTGTTTTGTTGAGATGCGAATTGGCAAAAGAAGGCATGCTGCTATAGGAAATATCTTCAGGGACAGTGAATGAAGATCTTGATCTTAATAGATCATTGTATATCAATCTTTGTTGTTGTGCCCAATTACTATCTGAAAAACTCATGGTGAAAGAAAAAATAAAATATAAATATAAACGCGTCAAGTGAACTTGTACGCGGTATTTTATTATTATTGTTGTTATTATTATTATTATGAGATTGCGTATACGACATCCTGATGGGATGGCTACTTTATCTGATGTTATGCCTGAACAAACAATAGCAGAACTAAAACAAGTTATCCATAAAGCTATTGGACTTGTAGCTAACCAAGATATACAACGTAATAGAAGCATTATGGAATGGTGACTCATACCCTTTAGTTTCTGGAGGATATCCTCCTAAACCCATAGAAGATGACCAACTTCAATTATTAACTACGGGTATTCGTGATGGAGATACATTAACTGTGCGTGTGTTGGAATCAACTCATAAACAGACTTTGCTTCCTCTCATCGAAACACATGAATCTGTAGAAACGATGCATGGATATCTAACACTTCGTGTAAGTTCAGCCAAGGATATGACAGACTGATGGTCGACATAGGTAATGGAAGACGATAACTCATGTTTATTTCGATCGATTGGTAAGTCCAATAGGATGGCATGACGTTTGATAACCAGTATGTTAGGGTAAAATGACAATGTTTATTTTATTCATGCTTGCTTATAACAATAGCTATGTTCTCCAACACGATGCCACCATGTCAGCACAACTTCGAAAAGGTAAAAAAAAAAAAAAAAAAAAAAAAAAAAGGTAGATAGATAAAGGCTTATGTTTTATCTTTAGTTGTTGCTGAAAAGATAACATCTGATCCATGGACATATTCAGATAGTATACTTGGTCAATCAAGAGGTAAGATGGCATATGATTCCATAAAAAAGACTTACGGTGTCTATATAGAGAACTATATTGAATGGATTCAAAAGCCAAGTGCTTGGGGTGGTGCCATTGGTAAAAGTATAGACATAGACATATGATTATAATACCCTGTATCATAGAATTAGCTCTATTTTCGGATTATTTTAAGATTGGTAAAATGTGTTTATATGATAGTATCAAGCATAATTTACAGTTTGAGGGGGGAAATAGAAATAGATAGTATCGATATTCAGACGGGTAGAATGGACAAGTTTGGTGTGTTTGAATGATGTGTATAACAAACTCATACCAATAATGTAGGCGAAGGACTGTTTGATGAAAGAGTGTTGATTGTATACAGTGGTATTCGTAAGTAATACATGGTCCATCAAGAGACATGCTTAGACTATGATTAGACTATGATGCATTAGCACTTGCACCTATGCCCAACAGTCATTCCAGTTTTGATCAAACTCGATTTCCTATCACAGATCATGTTGTTCTTGATGCTGCTAAAAAGCTTGTGGATGAACTTAGAAAGGTATGTGCTATGCTCTTATCAAAAGACTCATGAGTCAAAAGAAACACAAATATACCGATGTTGCCAACTTTACTTTAAAATGTGAACAATGTAACAAGGGCTTAAAAGGAGAAAAAGGTAAACTATAAACACCATACTATGGATCATTCATCTCATTCACAATTGATTTAGATGCTCAACAGCATGCTGCAGTATGTATCATAGGAAAACTGGATGTATGCTAACTAGGATAGACAACGGGCCATACTCATTTTACTGAATATCAATCATAATTATTAAAACGAATTAGCCTAAACAGAGACCCAAAAGACCCAAGTTACAAGTAGTTGTTACTCTGCTGGTTAATCTCGTTGTGGTGGTAGTGGCGACAGTGACTAAGTTGGTAATGGTCGGTGCAGTAGTAAGGGTGGTGGTGGTAGTAGGTGTGGTTGTGGTGGTAGTAGTAGTAGTAGGGCTTGTGGTGGTCGTCGTTGTAGCAGTCGAGGTGGTGGTGGTGGTAGGCGTAGTGATAGTGTTGGTGAGCGTGGCAGTGGTCAGAATGACACTTGTCGTGGTGGTGGTGGTCGTAGTTTGTGTCGAGCTGATACTTGTCGAAGTACTGACAGTCAAAGAAGTGTCTGTCTCTGTCAGGACTTGAGTGGCAACATCCACAAGCGTGGAAGTAATGACAGAAGTAGTTGGACTCACTTCTGTGGACGTGGTGATGATAGTCAATGTAGCCACACCGCTGTTAGACCCTGTAGACGTGGTGGTGGTAACGGACGTGGTCTCGAAGGTCGTTTCAACCGTGGCAAAAACAAGGTCAGCTACAGTGGTCGTGGTGCTCAAGGTGTTGGTGGTAGGTTGAGGTATAACAGCGGTTGTAGTAACTGTGGTAAGCTCTGTTGATGTACCACTCAGATTGTAGACTAAGGGGGATGTGGTAGTGTACAAAGACGTACCAGTTGTAGTGATCGTGGTTGTTGAGGGAACAAGCGTGGTAGTGGTCAAGGTTGATGTGCCTGTGGTGGTGGTGGGAGAAAAGTAAGGAGAAGTAGTGGTTTGGGTTGTCAAGAAAGCAACATCAAGCAATGTTATATAGGTAGACAAACTCGTACTAGGCGTAGTCAAAGTGGTAACATACGTGGTGGGTACACCCAAAATATCCGATGTGATTGTCGTCTCAAATGGAACATCAGAAGTCAATGTAGTCGTGAACGTAGTGATGGTAGGTGTTGTTGTGGTAAATGTGGTGGTGTAGACGGCGTCAGCTAATACAGAAGTGGTGTCTGTAAAAGCACTGGTGATCGTAGTCGTGATAAGATTGTCAGTTACACTGGTGAATGTGCTTGTAAACAAAGATTCAAGTGTTTGAACAAGGTCAATGGTGCCTGCAAGAAGAGGGGTTACCACGGTCACTGTTTGTGTTGTAGTGCCTTGGCCTAGTATAATATTAAATTATGTTGAGGGAGGTTTTCATGTTCTCTAGACTCTTACCTTCGACTAGATTATTGCTGTTAGGATAATGACGATGTCTATGCCTATGATGGCCCCAGCCATTATAGTCCTCATCATTATAATCATAATCAGACTCATCATCATCTTCAAACCCTTCTTCAGGAAGCAATTCTTCATCATCACTATCAGAGTATTCTTGTTCAAATTCTTTATAAACATGAGAGCGGTATCTGCTTCTATAAAAAGAAACATCAGCAACCTGATCTAATAAACGGATAGCAGCAGCACCAGCTTGATAAGGACCGGTTGCCTTGATAGTGATCTTATGAGCACCTTTGGCTAATTCAAAAATGCCTTTACTAAAACGATCATCAGAAAGCGCTTGTTCAGGCGTAGAGGCAAAGCCTTCGTCATCTTCTATTTGTTCTACAGAGGAAGTAATGCCTAAAGAAACACCATTGTCGAATATTTCAAACATGTCACCACGGTTCATAAAGTCTGTGATTTGAATACGAGCAATATCTTCCACATCAATATGAAAGGACTCTCTGGCAAGGACAGAGTCGCCTCTCCAATGGAAAGTGGAAAAGCCATCATCCACTTTGAGTACAGAGGAGTCAGTGTCAAGCGTTGCTTGTTGAGCAAAGGCTGAAAATGCAAGTAAAGCAGAAGACAGGCAAAGAGAAAGAGCAGGACGCATATTCTCTAATGTTTGAAAGAAAGAAGAAAAGGACAAGAGAATAGTATTAAGGCAGTATATTTTTTTTCTTTAGAACAAAATGCAAAAGAACGAGAATGATGGTAAACTACAAAACCTTAATCAAGTATGCTAGCAAGGCATTTTCATACTAAACTTAACCTTAACGCTCTTGTTGTCTCTAAATATTTCTACGAGCATTGTTTACAAGACAATACATTGTTAAGTTTGTTCATATAGGAACATTGAATCAATGCATAGAGTAGTTTAATGGAAAAAAAAAATATTCTAAACACAGATACCAAGTAAATTTAAAGCACACGATACTCTTGTAGTAAATATGGAAGTAATCACGGATGTTAAAGTAGTAGTAATCGTTTGAGCTGGTAGGGTAAGAGTAGAGGTGGATATGACAGTAATGGAATTGGTAATCGTAGCCAGATTGGTAATGGTGTTCGTGACTGTAGCCAGGTTGGTGACTGTAGCCAAGTTAGTGATAGTGGCAAGATTGGTAACCGTATTGGTGACAGTGGCCAAATTAGTGACAGTTTGAGTAGCAAGACTTGTAACAGTAGCCAAGTTGGTTACAGTGGCCAAATTAGTTACGGTAGCTGTAGCAGTTAGCAAGTTAGTGACAGTGGCTAGATTGGTGACAGTGGCTAGATTGGTGACAGTGGCTAGATTGGTGACAGTGGCTAGATTGGTGATAGTGGCTAGATTAGTTACGGTAGCTGTAGCAGTTAGCAAGTTAGTAACAGTGGCTAGATTGGTGACAGTAGCCAAGTTAGTAACCGTAGCCAAGTTAGTAACCGTAGCCAAGTTAGTAACCGTAGCCAAGTTAGTAACCGTAGCCAAGTTAGTAACCGTAGCCAAACTGGTGACAAGGTTGGTGACAAGGCTGGTGACAGTGGCCAAATTAGTGATAGTAGCCAGATCAGTCACTGTGGTCAATTCGGTAACAGTGACCAAGTTAGTAGCTGTAGCTGTTACCACACTTGTGATAGTGGCCAAATTGGTGACCGTGCCAAAACTAGTGACCGTGCTGGTAACTGTGCCTTGGTTGGTAATAGTGGCTGAACTGGTTACAGTAACCAAGTTCGTGATTGTAGAAAAGCTGGTAACTGTATTGGAAACAGCTGTGGTAATGATGGACGTGGTTGTAGAAGGCACAGTAACCATGCTTGTAACTGTGGAAGTAGTGGTTGAAAAAACAGTAGTTGTAGAAATGAGAGTGATTGGTCTAGTAATCAAGCTTGTAAAAACAGTTGTTGTGGTTATAGGCGTAGTGATGGTATTGGTGGTGGTGATTGTGGTTGGACTTATTGATATGATTGTAGCAGTGGTTGGCCTAATTGAAGTGACCATGATTGTAGTTGATCCAATGGATACAATGGTAGTAGGAGAAACAATAGTCGTTGGTACAATGGTTGAAGCCACGACTGTATTTGTAGTCGTGGTTGTCAAAGTGCTGGTTGCGGGTGATACAGAGAAAGCCGTGGTTGTTACTGTGAATCCATTAGATGCTCGGAATGTAGACCGTACCACTGTTGTAGAAAGCAACGTTTGTTCTTGGAGGATTAAGCCTGTTCTTTCTGAGCAACTGGCTGTTGTAATCGTCATTACTCCAGTAGATGTTACTGAAGAAAGATAATCAGTGACTTTTGTTTCTGTTGTGACAAAAGTCGAGTCAATCAAAGTAGGATAGATCGATAGAAATGTACTTGGTGTAACGAATATTGTTGTCACATCAGAACGGACAGGACTTGATGTGATATAGGTAGTTGTATAAGTGGAAAAAGCCAGTGCTGAAGACACGGCTATCGGCGCAATTGTGTTTGTCAAGGGAGTACATTGCCTGAAAACGGAAGGCACTGTCCTCACAAACACAGAACTAAATGTTTGTGTGCTTTCAAATGTAGCTTCAAGTACAGGAGAAAGGACAGTGACAGTGGCAGTGGTAGCTTGATGATCTGAAAGCGTGTTTATAAACATATAGTCTTTTCAAGTGTTTGCATGTTTGAATTACCATGCCTATGTCTGCGACGATTGCAGTCAACACATTCATGATAATGTCGCTTGTGAATTCTGCCACTTGAGTACAGATTCAATAAACGAATGGCTCCGATTCCTGCTGATCCTGTTGCCTTAATGGAGATAACATGTGTTCCATTACCAAGATCAAATATGCCTTTACTAAATCGACGATCTTCAAGTGCTTGTTCAGGCGTGAATGCATAGGCCTTCTTGTCACTCTCTATAGGGGTTGCAGATGTGTTTCCCAAAGAAAGTCCGTTGTCAAACACTTCGAAAGTATCGCCTGAATACATGTAATCAACCACTTGAATACGTGCTTTGTTCTGTACATCTATTCTGAATGTTTCTTTAGCCAACCCAGACTCAATACTCCAATGAAATTGAATAAAACTTTGATTGTCCTTGTGCAATACGACTTCATTTGATACAACAACAGTAGTTAGAAATACAAGTGTTGTAAATACAGCAAATTTAAATTTCATAACTTTGTATAAGAATAGACAGAGAAAATAACTTTTTATTTTTGTTATCATTATTTTACATTCTTCAAGATGGAATGCAGATCTTTTGGATCAAACAAAAACTCGAAAGGGCATCTCGACAAATATTTTTCTTTTCCTCTTTCTCTTTTCAATTGCTTGAATTACACAAGCGAAATTTGTTTAGATTGATTAACATTTTATTCAAGAGAAATTACTCCTTAAAAACATATCTCGGGTAAATTCAATGGTTAATTTTAAATAAATGTGTACAGAAAAAGCATTGTTTTCTCTTGTCATATAGTCAATATATGAAGAGTATTAAATATAGATTAATAAATTATAAACGAAAGCGTCTTTTGTACGTTAAGAAAGTTGGACTTTCTAAAGAAACCTCACATTCCTTTTGTTGGCCTTTTTGCAACGAAGGTTGAGGTACAAGTTGTTTATAGCTGTCCTTTTGTTGGATTCGATCCAAAAGTATAGTGCTGCTGACGTATTGAGCATAAGAAAGAGATGGTTTGACAGGTTTACTCATGTCGTCATGAGGGATATCCAGGGGACCAATCACGGCTCCTGTGGGTGAAGGCACCGTACTTGCAGAAGAAACGGATGAAGGTAATAAAAAAGAACTTCTGCGTCGTTTTTGGTTCAAAATGGGAGGAGATATAGTCAGTTGAGGTTGAAATAAAAAGGAAGGATCAGTAACAATAGGAGCCAATGTCTGCTTTCTTCGGGACAACAAAGGTTCCTTTTTTACAGTGCGCTCAGATTCCAAATTTGTACAACGAAGTGGCAGTGTTGGCAAACGATACATTTCTGGTGAAGCATCGGTTACACTGATGGTGGATGCAGCTCGGTGGGATCTTTTGTCCTCATTGTTTTTCTTAAGTCTGTTTTTGATAGCAGCAAGCCAGTTTTTCATGTCGAATTCATTTTTGCATTCAATGACCCAAGGTTTGATCCATTGCCCTTGTTGGCTGGGTTCCAGTCTGAAACAGAAGGGATGCTGAGCATTGGGTGCTGGAATGACTTGATAGACTTGACGTAAATTCAATACTTGCACTGGTGAGTCAGAATGCTATGGAAAATAATGAATGAGATGTTCTTATGTAAGTTATTCTATCTTTACCTCATCTTTATAGAATCGTAATTCAGAATCAAGCAAGACAAAATAACGAGATATCCAGCGAGTTCTACCAAATGGTAAAGAAATCATTTTAGATAACCAGCCAGCTACAGGTGTTGTCATAATAAGAAAGAAAGAAAGGAATGAGTTAATGAAGATGTCAAACAAAGCACTCCATTTATATATATATATATACATATTTTTGCATTACACAAGATGCATTATGGTTACAATAATAGAAATAAGATTACGCCTATACAAATCGCTTTCTCCTGAATCTATTGACGATGCCATTTTTTTGTCCTACCTGCTTGAAACCTGGGCTACTACTCCTTCTCATTTTATTTGTCATAACATAGCATTGATTCTGAATGGCGCCATGCAGTTCGATTGATTTACATTTATTTAGGGCTGAAATCTAAATAATGCGCCTTTTTCTCTCTTTTGCCTAAATTGAACCATAGCAGTGTACGGCGTAGTTTGCATGAATTACTATTTCTACTTTCTCCTATTGGAAGAAAGAGGAGAATTGAATCCGCATGAATTGTAGGCATGATTTAGTTTTCTCTTTTTGTATAGCCTTTTCTCGATCGACACAGCAAACAGTAAACTTGGCAAAAGGATATCTACGATCATCATGATCATTGGCACAAACTATGTGTTACCTAAAGATCTTCAAACATGCGTGTGTGCGTGTGTTTGTACTTTTGAGGTAAATAAGAAAAGGGCATTGGAGTGACTGCTCTATCGGTTCGGACGTTTTTTCCTTCTTTTTTTAATACATGCATTTTAGATGCACTAGACATCTTTTTTCTTTCTCTCTCTTTTTCCCCTTTTCTAAACACAATGGAGTTCCAACTTTCTAATTCAATTTGTGAGTACAAATGATAGAAGCATTGTATTCATAGAGTAGTGGTAGTACAACAACAAGAACATAACACGACAGCTCTAAAGAGAAAAATTCAAGTCATGGACAGTCCAGAAGAAGTAAGCAAAGTTCTTTCTTCTATTTAAACATACCCCTTATTCGTCTATCTGATAGATTGAAAGTTCAACAGCTAAACGTATACAACTGAATAGTTCGCAGCATTGCATTGCACCACAAAACACAAAACACTATCAAATATCAGCATCAGCAAGAGCTAATTTTGCTAATATGATTATAGAATCACCAACAAATGAAGATATGATGGAAGAAGACATATTAACAGACGAAGAAGAGTCACTAAAAACGCCTTCTTATCATCCAATTGATTTGGAGGACGAAGGGGATTTAGAAAATGGTGGCTATATTGGACAATTAGAGCGTGGTTGGAGCCAAATGTTTAGAGAAATGTAATAAAGCTAGCTGTCTCTTTTGTTTAGAATTGTACCTGAACATGACAAAAGACTTTTAAAAAAAAATTAAAGCCGCTCTCTGTAACTTCGGTGCTTTAAAACGTACGAGAGAGATACCATTTTGAAAGTGTTTCTTTCACACATGAAAACTTTTTTTTTTTCTCTCTTGAGTAAATAAACACTATCATACTCTTTCTCTCTTTCTCTTCTCTTTCTTTCTTTTTCTTTCTTTATCTCTATTTAAATACAAGCATATCATGCTGTATCAATACTTCATTTTATTACTCTTTTATACCTTTCTTGCTTTTGGCAAGGAGATCTCTTTTCAAGATCCAAATATTCACTATGTTGGTAGATGGCATGAATCCTCCAATGAAATACAAAGCGGCTGGCCCGGTGCTTATTTTAAAGTGATACTAGAACATACTCGAATTGTGAAACTACAACTTAGCAAACCTACTTCACTCCTTGTTCAACTGAACAAGAAACACCAAGTCGCTTTTAGAAATACAACCAAACTCATTGATTTGTTCCCTTCTGGACTCGACCATGACGGGCCACACGAGTTATGGGTGGTGGCCACAGACATTGATCCATACGATATGTCCATTTGTCTTCAATCGATTATTGTAGATGACCAGGGCATGACTGCATCTCCACCACCTTCCACTACGGCACCACTTGTGGAATTTGTAGGCCATGACCTCACATTGGGCCTTGAAACAAGCCAAAATTTATTTTCTAGCTATGCTTGGTTAACAAGCGACTTATTAGGTTTAGAACATTCACATATTGCTTATAAGGACGCAACACTGATTGATGGCATGGACAACAAGTATTTTGATTGGTCTTTGCTCTCTCACACAGACACAGAAAACAAAGTAGCACCTTGGAGTGTGGTTGTCTTGTTAGGTGCAAATGATCATCAGACAGAATATACACCAGAAGAATACCAACATGCACTTGGTGCATTCCTTAACAAAGTACGCAAAACCATGAGTGAAAATGCACCCATCTTTATCTTGTCAGAGCCCTTGGGAGACATGTTTCGTCCTTCTCAAGAAGCCGTATTGAAAATGGCACATCAACAAGGAGATCAACATATTTACTTTATTGACACGACATCATGGCTAAGATATGGACCTAACCATTATAAGGATAGTGTAAGTCATCTTGATGATTTATATATATTTGCTTAATTTTTTTTTCTAGAGACATTTGACAGATGCAGGCCATGCATTGTTAGCCAAGAAATTAGCTCCTTTGTTACAGACAAAACTGATGCATCCAAGAGACCCTTTACCAGGTCCTCCTCCTAACCCTAATTTACCTGGAGATTGGCAAACAATGGATGTAGGTGAAGAGGATCGTATTGGTTTACCTGGTACTGTCTCTGCTGATTCAGACTCTATCTTTACCTTATGGGGTTCAGGTGCTGATATCGATAATGACAAAGACGCTTTCCGGTTTGTCTATCAACCCTTAGGCATACAAGGCATGATGGAAGCCACTGTTCGCTCTCATTCTGCTTTTGCTAAATGTGCCAAGGCAGGCATCATGATCCGTGAACATTTGGGCCATGGCTCCCCTTTAATCATGCTTGGTATTTCTCCTGCTGAAGGTATCTTTGTCCAAGTCCGATACGATAATTTCCAGTCCACTAAACTGATCAAGAAAATGCGAGCTTCTCCTCCTTATCGTCTTCGTCTGATCCGTCAAAAGTTCAAAGATACATTTGAAGCCCAAACACAGCAAGTAGAATCAGGGCCCTGGGAGACATTTGCTGTTGTGCCCCTTGTGCTGGCACGCGATATTTATGCAGGCTTAGCGGTCACCAGTTGTGATCCTTCTGTTGTCAGTGTAGCCAAATTTACAGATGTTGGATTATATCATAGTGCTTTTCAACCCCAACTTATTCAACAAAGTATTTAAGTAAAAAAAAAAAAAAAAAAATCTTTTATTATTGTTGCTTCTTTTGTTTGTTGGGAGTAGCTTCAAAGCGAAGAGGGGTTTGAATACCAACTAACCAACTAATACCAGTACCAGCAATAAACAAGAACAAAAAGACAACACCGAGAACCATAAAGACACCAGGTGTAAACAATTGATATTTCTTAAAGATAGGCAAATCTTGTGTGTTGGGAGCACGACGCTTCAAGGTATGAGTAGACTAAAGGTATTTAGAGAATAAGATAGGCATATCTTAATACTTACTTTGACAGAGTTTGAAGTGTAAATAATAGCATAATCATCTTGAACTGCTTCTTCAACTACTTCAATCAATTGTCCCAACAAGGCATCTAATCCCATCATTGAGTTTCTTATTTTGTTTTTGTTTTTTTATTTATCTTACCATTAGCCTTGAGTATATCAACATCGTCATGAGCAGCAGGAAGAGGTACAATGGCAATGACAGGTGTATTATTTCCAGAAATATCTTCTTTAGAGATAGCTACAAAAGAAAGAAAAACGCGTCAGTATATCGTATACCTCTATTCAAACTATCTTACTATAAGGATCTAAAGTAGCTACAGAGGCATCACATTGACGAGCAATTGCCTTTGCAACTTGATTCACATCAACGCCATGTGAAATGTATCTGATCTGAGAACGACTTGTTGCTTCTGAACTAAGTTCCTATAGCACTATTATTCTTTCAACGTGTTCCTTGGTATAAGGATATTACCTTCAATTGAATGAAAGCTTCTTCATACCCATGACGAGCCAAACTATTGGTTTCAATCTAACATTCAACATCAATAACCGTGTTTGTGTATATAAATATATATATATCCTTACCTCGGGTTGGTTAACCAAGGCAATCATTTTAGCAGAACAAATATCAGCAGATAAAGAAGACATGATAGTAGAAACGGCATCTGACTTGGTAATGACTGTCTGACTGTTTGTCTTGAAAGTGTTGACAATATAACTTGAGAAAATTAGCTTCTATTTTGGTAATATATGCTTACTCTTTAGGAGACCACATAATACAAGGTACAGTAGAAGCCTCATAAGCCAAGACGGTCGAGGCTAATGAGAACAAGGTTACAGCAGCTGTAAGAAACTTCATAATACAAGTTGAAACAAGGGGAACAAAGAGAGTGCAAAAAAAAAAAAATAAGTGTCTCTCCTACATGAAATCTGAACTGAGTTCAAACCATGCTTTTATTTTTTATTTTTATTTTTTACAGAATACACACTGATTGACTTTATTTTGAAAGTGTATAAAATACGGTGTGTTTTAAAAAGCAACAAAGTTCAAGTAGAATGGCTATACGGATGATGATCTTACTTTAGCCAATCATAATACTCCGCTTGCTTACAAATCAAACGCCTTTTTTTGTTTTCTGTGATTGATTATTAATTCAAATAAAGTGCTTTATGATTGATTTATGATAAATGTATTATATATATATATAAAAAAAGAAGAAGAGAAAGAAAGGGTTATCATGTTGTATATATATAAAAGGGCAAAGAAATGATTATGTACTATTATAAAGAGGTGTTGCAGATATTATTAGGGTTCTTCATCATCCATCTCATCATCGCCTTCGTCTGCTGAGGTATAATCAAAAGGTGTTTGTTTGTTGTTAGGTTCATAGCTATGAGCCCACTGGACTAAAAGAGAAGGATCGTTGACAGACAAATCATAGTTAAGAAAGAATAGAAACTCTTGTTCCATACGAGCTATTCTCATATTACGGTCTTGAATAGAAGTATGCGATGGCATCTTTGGCGAAGTAGGTGGTGTGATTGGGGCTACAATTGAATTGGTTGGTTTTCGGATATTGGTATAAATAATCAATCGAAGGCTGTCATGTATGTATTTTGATGCCATGATAAAGGCCACCATAATCATACGGGAAGCACATCCTGGTGTGCCTTTGAGGTTACGATAACGCTATAAACACATCAGTCTTCTTGATTTCTTTCTTGGGCTTTTATTTACCTTATTTAATCGTTCTACATAACTAATGGCTATCAAGAGAGTAACACTAGGGCAAATAGTAGGTGTAGATACTGGACTACTACAGAACTTTTGAAGTGCAATTTCAAATGGTTCATTCAGATCAATGCCTGTTGTGTTTAATAAATTATTCATCATATAATAAAGCTGTTGTATTTTCTCTTGACAAGGCTTGTCTTCCCAAGCTTGAGATACAAAGAGTGCCAAATGAGCTATACAAAAAAAAAATAAGTGATATTGATTGATGATTAAAGGAGTATTACCAAGACATTTCTTGCTCAATCTCTGTCGTCTATTAAGTTCAATAGCTTGTAAAAGTGAAAAAGCTTGGCTGTATTCAAATGAATGGGATTTGCTGTGCTTCTCTGGGTGATTGGATTCTAACTGTTGTCTTTTATAAGGACAAGGTACTGGACGATCATCATGTTTGCGTTTCCTATTAATGTATGTTTTCATAAAATCAATGAAAAAAAAGGGGGGGAGAAGGAGACACAAAAGAAAAGAAAAAAGTTTATAAAAATAAAAAAAATGGATTTGTAATTGAGTGAGTAATGCTTAAATAAATCTGCCGCGATGCTTTGCATGATTGTATTTCTAATCAACTTATAACATCACTTTATTTCCGTAGTTCCTTTTTCTTTTCTCTGTATTGAATAAATGTGTACTAGTACAAACACAAAGAACCAGTTACTGGCTACCAAATTTTCATAGTTTTCTTTACTCTGACTGTGTGTGTGTGTGCATCCAGTTTTCCGATCCCTAAATTGGTACAAAATTTTTTAGCTTACTAATGATAGAATCACGTACTGCTAAAATTAATTCCACCAATGATATTTCATCTTGCCATATTTTGTTTGTTAGTTATCGAGATACAATTTTTTTTTGCGCTAAGTAATATTTGGCTTGGTTCTTACAAAAGAAAAAGGCCACTTGTAAAATTTAACCAAAATGACGAAAAAGGCTCGTTTAACAACTTTCAATCTTTTTTTGAGCTATAAACAAGCTTGAGTATTCAAAATGCGTGTCAGAGGCTCTAGTTTTTGATCAAAGTGTTTACTTGCCAATTGTATTATAAAATGGTATGGTATGATCAAGAAACCTCGTAAAAAAATTTTGCCTATTTACTCAATATTTTAGTAACAAGTTTGCTGTTTTTTTTAATTCAACCTATTCAGGAAGTGCAAATCTATAACTTTTGTCACTATACCAAAGTCCAATAACTGCGTCTTCATACAGTTTCAAGCAAAAGCTCGATTTTTTTTTTTTTTTTTTTAATGTGGTGGTAAGAAGAATTGGAATTCCCTTCCATTTTCAATCTCCACAATCTGTCACATATTCATTTTCCCCACATTCGCATTATAGACTGTTTATATTTCTACTTTTCTGTGTTGAAAATCAATTCACAAATATAAGTATGGCATTATGCCTAAATCTCTTCAAGTCCTTCGCAAAATTGTCGTTGATTTGATCATAATAGAGCTTTCCTTGTTAGGCTATTGATGTTCTGAGGGCTACTCTTAGCTTGTATGGCAAGCATGCCTTTCAATGTTTTTGGAAGTTTCAAAAACCCATCGTTAGTGTATTTATCATTAAGTTCCTCAACATCATGCTTGCCAACTTCGCATGAGCCAGAGGTCATAAACACCGGCCTTGAGCAAAATCTCCAGCTTAGAGCCCATGGCCTTTCTTGAATGTTTGTTAACTACTTCCAAAGAGCACCCAGTATTTCTTCCCAAAAATACAGCCCTGCTCATTCTCTCTCTCTACTAATTTAGTCTTGATGATCCTGTTCTTTTGTAACTTATACGCAAAGTTCCAAAACTTGCTGGTTTTGTGACAGAGGAAGACAGAATGCTTTGGTTTTCATTGAATAACAATTTGTCACTTTTTTTTTCTTTCAAGGACATAATCAAAGCTTCCCAATGACAACAAGTATCATCAGCTATTTGGATTTTAAGTATCTTCGCACAACTTCGAAACCGATCCTTCCGAACTCCTCTATATGCACTTGGTGTCTTTGATCCATCATATTCTCTCAATATCGACTCTTCTGGTTTTTTTTTGTATAAAAGCTCCTCAAGTAACAGGCTAGTTCTTTTTTACCATTCCTATCAATGCTCCAAATATGGTGCATAGGACGTTAAGTAGATTTCAATCCCTATACACACTTGATGCATTGCTCCAATATAGATATGAGGCACCAAGTAACTCTTTGTGCTACTTGGTGTTTGGACGCTTATGTTGAGGTCTGTAAACGCCAAGTTGTGCCATCTTTTACTCAATGACGGAATAATGGATTGGTAATACATATCTGGAAGGAGTCTTTATGATAGTTGATATTCAGATGAAAGCAATACAAATGTATTTACTCCCTTAAAAAAAGATAGCCTTATGTGGAGTATTTTATCGTTTATTTACACAATAAAGTGGGCTCTAGGAGGATATGAAGGCAGAGATATGCTTTTTTAGTCAGTTGATTGATAAATAACGAACATGATTAGGCAAGTTTGAATTTTGTGACTCGTTTTTTGCTGCATTTAGAGTTATTCTAATGAGTCTTTTAAGAGTCCTTGACAGCAGTTAATTTTTTTTTCGGTATCTTTTCCTTTTATGTACCGTCAACTGCGATCTAGAAAGACAACCAAGTTTATCAGTACTTGGGCATACCGATCCAACACTCTTCATACCAGCACTCTATCTCGACAAGCAACACCTGTTCACCATGATTTTGACGTTATTGTTATTGGGGGAGGGCACGCAGGTACAGAAGCTTGTGCTGCTGCTGCTCGGTCAGGTGCAAGAACATTGTTATTGACACAAAATAAAGATACAATCGGTACAGTAATCACTTAGCCAAGATTGGATACTGATGTTCGTAGGTGAAATGTCCTGTAACCCTTCTTTTGGGGGTGTAGGCAAAGGTGTTTTAGTCCGAGAAATTGATGCGCTTGATGGCGTATGTGGTCGTATTTCAGGTAAGATGATTTGATATGACCATTCTGTTTATAAACACACACAAATACAATAGATCTTGCTGGCATTCAATTTAAAGTGTTAAATAAATCCAAAGGACCTGCAGTTTATGTAAGAACAGAAAAAAAAAGGGGTCATTATCTCACTCAAATAAAAAGGGACCTCGAGCTCAAATTGATCGGAAGCTATACAAGAGACATCTGCAAGAATACCTTGCTCATTACCCTAATTTGACGATTCAATCAGGCAGTGTATCTGATTTAGTTTTAAATGATGGTATGACTGAACAAGAACATCAACATATGTTACAAAAAGGAGCCTCACAACTTGTCAAGGGTGTCAAACTAGGTATTTAACAAGTGCTATTAAATGGATCAATTCAACAGTATACATAGAGAATGGTCAAATTATTCGAGCACCCAATGTAGTCATTACCACAGGCACATTTTTAGGAGGAGAGATCCATTTAGGTTAGGTAGATGCCTATAGAATAAGCGTATACTCATTGTATATGTACAGGTTTAAAAGTATGGCCTGCAGGAAGAATTGGTGAAAATCCCTCTATTGGACTATCCAACTCATTAAGATCCGCTGGATTCAAATTGGCTCGCTTAAAGACAGGTAAAAACCAATAGTTGTTTTGATGGAAAACTTATTCTCTTTCTTTACATAAGGCACACCTGCAAGATTAGATGGAAAAACAATCAACTATGATGGTCTTGTAGTTCAAGAAGGTGATAATCCACCTTCACCTTTCTCTTATTTAAATACAACAGTCCCTCATGCAGTAAGTATATCCATATATATATATATATATATATATGTATTTTACTTATAGATGGATAGGATCATCAAATCTTATGTCATCAAACACGTACCAATGATAGAGTTCATAAATACATAGAAGACCATTTTGATCAAAGCATTCATATCAGAGAAACGGTCAAAGGGCCTCGTTATTGCCCTTCATTAGAATCCAAAATTAAGCGCTTTAGAACAAAAGAAGCACACAATATTTGGTTAGAACCAGAAGGCCTTGATACAGACGTCGTCTATCCGAATGGTATCTCAAACACAATGCCTGAAGATGTTCAACTTAACTTTCTGAGAATGATTCAAGGCCTAGAAAATGTGGATATGCTCAAGCCAGGTAAAAAAAAAAAAAAAAAAAAAAAAAAAAATAGACGACCTGATGATTAACGTTTGTATCTTGAAGCCTATGGTGTAGAATACGATCATATTGATCCCAGAGAATTGAAATCTACATTGGAAACAAAACGTATTAGCGGTTTATTCTTGGCTGGTCAGATCAATGGTACAACAGGATATGAAGAGGCAGCAGCCCAAGGTATTATGGCTGGTATCAATGCAGGTTTACACGCTCAAGGGAAACCAGCTTTTGTTCTTGACCGATCTGATGCTTACATTGGTGTCTTGATTGATGATTTAATTACAAAAGGTGTGGAAGAGCCTTACCGAGTATTTACTGCACGCTCTGAGTATCGACTGCTTTTACGTGCTGACAATGCAGATACAAGACTTACTAGAAAAGGTAATCCTCAATAAGCATAATCTTTCTCATCTTTTCTTTTCTTTAGGACATCAAGCAGGTGTCATTAATCAAAATAGATGGGAACACTATCAAACAGCTTCAAACGCACTTGAATCAGCTATAGAAGCACTCCAGAATACCAAAATGTCTGCCAAACGTTGGTCAGAACATGGCCTTAGTCCTGCTACAAGATCCGTGACTGAAGCCATTAATGATAATGGTATTTTGAGAAGGTGAGTTTGGTTTTAAATGTTGATGTTTCCAGATGGTTTACCTTTATGCGTAGTGGTTTGGATTTACTGACTTGGCCAAATATAACATTGGATCACTTTCATGAGCTGATACCTGAAATCAAAGACTTGTGTCCTACACTCAAAGAGCGTATTATGATTGAAGGTAGCTTGTCTTTATTGAATACTATCTCTTTATTGATATCATGTCTAGGACGTTATAAGCCATTTTTGAAGCGACAAGAACAGGAAGTGTTGGCCTTGAAAAGAGATGAACATTTAGCTCTTGATATCAACTTGGATTATTTACGGTAAGTACCAGTCAATACATAGAACTTGCTTAATAATGAGCATGATAGGATGGATCAACTCTCTAATGAAGTTCGACAAAAGTTGGCTACTGTGCGTCCTGAAACACTTGTATGTACTTTATATAACGTTGTCAGCATCAAACTAACAGTCATTTAGGGTGCTGCAAAGCGAATTGAAGGCATGACACCTGCCGCTATGGTAGTTTTGATGAAATATGCAAAGCGCACTTTTAACAAAAAGATACTTGTAGACTAGGAATGCATATAATGATTCCATATTTAAATAGACAAAAGCAATTTCCATTTTACCCTTTAGAAAAAGAAAATAAAGACTTTATTTACTTTATTTGAGGGCCTTAACTATTGCTCAACTCAAAAGAAACAGAAAAAAAGCTTGGTGAAAAACACATTTAGGTGTCATGAGTACATAGTTGTCAAAGGAATTGAACTTAGACATGCACTGAATCGAAATAAAAATTAGCCCAGTTTTTTTTTTTTGTCATTCGAGCTCAACAACAAAGGTATCATGATCCAAGAATCCTTTAGTATGCCAAGATGATACTTGATGCGCTCAGTTTTTTGTTGATAGTTTGTTGAAATGTTTATTCTAAGATAATATAAGTAGAAGAACATCAGTACTTGGCAATACAGCCTTTGGCATCAATCACAGCTTGGTATTAGTTGGTCATATTGTGTAGTAGTATGAATGTAATGAGTTGAAGTAATTGTGCAATTGAAAAAATTATTCAATCACCATTTCATGTTTGTGTCAATGTTTTACATATACTGTTTTATATCTGTTACTAATGTATCTCCCTTTTGTTCTCTGCTCTTTCTTACAACTTAATGTAAGTGATTATTCATGCATCTTATGCTCTGCTTAATTTCTAGAATTTAATTTTTGCTTTAATTTTCACAATAAGTATAACTTGGCGCTATAACTATCAGTAGTTAAAAAGCGGTGGTCCCTAAGAAACTTGCTTTTTTTTAGGGAGAAAATACATTTTTATTGCTCTTCCCTATTGCTTTCATTTGAATATCAACTAACAAAGACAATGTTACAATTCCTCCCAGATATGTATCACTAATCTATTATTCCACTTTTGAGTAAAAGATGGCATAACTCGGCGCCTACAGACCTCAACGTAGGCGTCTATGCACCAACATTGGTGTAATGCTCCAGAAGTATCTGATTGATTAATTTAGACAATAATCTGTGCCTCTGAACTTTGGAGATTTTTTCTTCTAAACTGTACATCTATAAAAAGATGTACAAGTGTACAGTCCCAACCAGCAAGGCTGATGTAAAGATTGTCTTTGCTTTGGGTAACTTTGCCTGGTTACTCAAGGTAAGTCAATAATTTTAGGATTTAGACTAAAAAGCAATTGTATGTAGGGCTTTCTGGAGAAAGCCTTGAACACAGTAAGAAAAATGAAGGAAGAGCACGAGAGCTCTGAGATTGAAAGAATGCTCTGTTCCAAAGAAAGTCGTACTCCTCTTTCAAAAATGACGAACGACGAAATCAAGAAACCAATCAAGAGGGTAGGCTTTGGTGCCTTGCTTCCGGATGACAAAGAAGAAGCAGACAGTTTTTATGACGTTGTAAAATAAACTTGCTGTTGTACCAAAAAGATTGTTGGTTGTTGTGAGCCTATGTTTATGTTTCTTGACGCTAGAACAAAAAAGGTATTGGTTGTAAGCTGGTTACTTGTTAATATAGATCAATAAAAGCAGGTAGGCCAACGCCTTTAAAAAAGTGCAACTGAAGGCCTGCATTACTAGCACAATTGTAGGCAGTCGGCAAATCTAAATATACATGTGTACACATTTATATGCCTATTAGGCGTACTTCTCATATCAACTTTAAAGTTGTCCGATCGAAACGGAAATGGAGTTTAAAAGCTTTAATGCGAATTTGCCTTTCTCTCTCTTTTTCTTTCGTGTACTTGTTTAAGAAAACAATATGTTGGAGTCACTTGTGGCCAATATCTTAAACAGGTTTCTGAAGAACTATGTGTCTAACTTGAACTATGATCAGCTAAAGATTGGCATGTGGAAAGGTATACAAAAAAAAATAAGAGTGTTTCAGGTTTAAACTTTATTACAGGAGAAGTAAACCTTCGAGACTTGAAACTAAGAAGGGATGCTCTTGATAAACTCGACCTTCCTATCAATGTATCAGAAGGTAGAAAATGAATAAAAAGAAAAAAAGATAGCATGTTAATATGCTCTTGTTAGGCTATTTGGGTCAATTAACACTTATCATTCCTTGGTCCAACTTGAGAAACGAACCTGTCAAGGTGATAATTGACCATGTATACTTGCTGGCAGAGCCTAAAAACGAAGCAACCGTAAGTAAATCTTGATTATCCTACTTGCATTCTCACTCTTGACAGGTTACGGTTGAAGAAGAGGAAGAGCGTGCTCAGGAATTGAAACGCCGAAGATTATCGACTGTTGAAATGCTTGAATCACCAGAAGCACAACATCAGTCCAAAGAGACCAGCAAAGGTGGTGATGGATTTTTAGCTCAACTTACTACTAAAATAGTAGACAATCTTCAGTTTGTGATGAAGAATATTCATATTCGATATGAAGACAAGATTTCTGATCCAGGTCATCCTTTTGCAGCAGGTATTACACTCAAGGAATTAAGCGCTTTATCTACAGACGATACATGGACGCCCAAGTTTATTAGCGATCCTACCAGTACAATTAACAAGGCAAGAAAGGGTTTATAGACTGATATGATTACTAAACCATGTATAGCTTGCTACTCTTGAATCATTGTCTGTTTATTGGAATACAGACAGTAGATCCCTTGCAGGCATGCATCATGAAGAAGCAGCACAAGTCTTTACAGATTTGGTAATTACCTTGTACGTGCATTGGTTATTTATTATTATTGTCTAGATTCCTACATCTTCTAATTCACCCAAGGAACATCAATATATTTTGAAGCCTGTTTCTGGTACAGGAAAAGTAAGCAAAGACATTCTATTTCAATTTAACTCAAGTATATTCCACAATAGATTAAACTAAACAAGAATATGGGTGGAGATATACCCAAGACAGATGTTACTTTATTATTTGATGAACTTGCTTTTGGTTTAGACGACCATCAATACCGAGATACTATCCTGATGATTGATCTCTTTCATGCTAATCTAAAAAAGAGAAAGGTAGTTTAGCCAGCACTTGATGAAGGTCTAATTTTAATCTCTATAGTATTTGAAATTCCATCCAGGAAAGGGAAAGACAGCTAAATCTCATCCTAAAGAATTCTTCAAGTTTGCCGGTAATGCTGTTTTATCTGAGATACATGAAAAGAAATACAAATGGAGTTGGGATCATTTCAAGACACGACGAGACCAGCGATTGCAGTATGTAGAGTGTTATGTGGCAGACAAAATGAAACAAGCAACAGAAGAGCAGACACAAGCATTGGCGCAATTAGAGCGTATACTGTCTTTTGAAGACATTCGGTTTTATAGAAGCCTTGCAAAATCAAAAATTCGAAGAGAAAGAATCAGAATTGACAAGGAAAATGAAAAAAAGAAGGCTGAAAATGCTAAAGTAGGATGGTGGGGTTGGTTGAGCGGTGCCTCATCTACGAACAAAGAAGGAGAGACCAGTGAGGATGATGATACAGATTCTATTCATATGACTGAAGAACAAAAGAAAGAGCTTTATAATGCGATTGAATATGTTGAAGACAAGGCTAGTATTGCTTCTGCTGTGGATGTTCCTAAAGACGTAAGTATTCCTTTGTTGATAAAACAATGTCTTAACAATGATTTATAAAGACTATTCGATTTGCACTCAAAACGAAACTGAATCGAGGTTCTTTTACATTGAAACAAAATGTCAAGAAACCAGACGAGACAAACCTTGTTTCTGTTGTATTTGATACAGTCACTGTGGATGTGATTCAGTACATGGTGGATTCAATGAAAATCGATGCTGCATTGGGTGATTTACAACTCTTTGATGGGGCCACGAAAGACACGATGTATCCTCAACTTATTGGCGTTAAAAAGAAGAACAATCGACAGTAAGCATCTATCAAATAAGTACAGTTGTATGCTCACCTCATTTAGATCTTCTTTGCTTGATGTAGACAATAATCTAGCTGAGGCAGAAAGAAGACTTTCTGATGCAAGAATCAAGCTCCCTAAACCTCAAGATCCTTTCTTTTCTGTCGTGTTTGAAAAGAAGCCTCTCAGCAACAAGGCTGATAATGCCATTTCACTCAAAATGAGGCATTTGGAAATCATTTACAGTCCTGTCGTTATCGCTGGCATCATCAATTTCTTTAAACCTCCAAGTTCAAAAATGGAGAGTGTAAATGCATTGATTGTTGCTGCAGGCGATACATTTGAAGATCTTAAGCTTCAGACAAGAGCCGGTTTGGAATTTGCTCTTGAGACACATACCACACTCGAATTAGATGTCGATATGGATGCCCCCATCATTATTATTCCTGAAAGGCAAGTTGTACGATTTGGTCCCTTGATGTGTTGCTAACTATACTCTAGTTTGACAAGCCAAGATTCTCCTGTGATGATTGTAGATGCAGGTCATATTAACGTAGACAGTCAACTCGCTGACAAAGAGGTGATCCATGATATCAAGAGCAAAGATATCACAAAATACAACAAACAAGACATCAAGACGTTGGAAGATTTGATGTATGACAAGTTCAATTTACAACTGAGTCAAACCAAAGTATTGATTGGCAGCAATACAAAAGAGTGTCTATGGCAACTACACGGACATCCTCCTCGTCATGGTGTCGATGCTCGATTTATTGAGCGCATTGACATGGACTTCTTGATTGAGTTATGTATATTGCCTGGAAAGACAGAGTTCACCAAGATCAAAGTATCAGGTCAACTTCCTTTGCTTTCAGTCAACTTGTCCGATAGTAAATATAAGGTTTTGATGAAAATCATTGATTTTGTGATCCCCAAGACAGAAGAAGGTTCTACACCTAAAAAACCTCAATTTGGACCAGCAAACAGTAATGTTATTACCGAACGCTTTTGGGGCTCACAGAATCAAGATATTCTGTTGCTTGATTCAGACAGTGATCGTGCCTCTGTGCATAGTCAATTGGCTTCGCCTACTGCATCTCAGGGAGGGGTCAGTATCTCAGCATCCGATGTGGAGCAGTTCAAGTTGAATTTCCAAGTTGATAAAGTATTGGCACTGGTACATGAAACATCACCTCAGGATCCTACTCAAGAGACACTTTTGTGTGAGGTGTTGCTTGAAAACTTTGAGCTTGCTGTGGTAACAAGACCTGACGATCTTATTGTTGATGTATCTTTGAAGGCTTTAAGCGTGAAAGACATGACGGAACACGAAGGCGATTTCCATCATTTAGTCATTTCTGGTATCATTGACAGAAAACAAACAGTAGGCCATTCAGGTGAAAAGAAACTTGTAAATGTAAGATACATCAAAGCGTCCAAACAACACCCCCAGTTTGAAGAACTTTATGAAAGATATGATCAAACAGTGGACGTGGCATTGTCTACTTTGACGGTGGTTGTGACTAGAAAATCCATTTTGAGAATTTACAATTGGATCATGAACACTTTTACAGGACCACCATCATCATCATCTACGTCTATTGAGACTGGTAAAGAAGTCTATGAGGGGGATGTGTTTTATGATGACTATCTGAATACTGAACAACAGCCATCAGCATTGGATCATCAAACGCAAAATAAGCTAAAGACAGCCATCATTAAGCCAGACACGGACGTCAAAACGGACAATAACAACCGAATGAAAGTAGCTATTCATATGGACAGTGTCAATTTGATCTTAAATAATGAAGGACAACGTTTGGGTACAGTCGAATTAAGATTTGGTGAACTTTTGATTTTGCTTGAACCAACAACGATTGAAGTCAATGGCAAGTTTGGCAACTTTACCCTGTCTGATGATACCCAAATATTAAGTCAAAGCAGTGCATCAGTTCAAGGCACAACGTCTCTTGTGCCAGATACATACATTATCAGTATTGTTGGTGATGAATTAGCTGATTTCACTTACAAGACATATGACAGTAACTCTTCTAAGTTTCCTGGGTACAATCAAAAGTTTGTCCTTCATATGGGTGCTATTCAAATACTTGTTACTGACTCTGTGAAACCAACGCTCAATTTCCTACAGGAGTTCTTGGAGATGAAGACGGTGTACGATGCTGCTCGAAACTCTGCTATCGAAACTGCTCAACAATATCAAGAAGTAAGCAGCCGATTCCACTTCGATATCAAGGTCAAGAGTCCTGTTGTAATCTTCCCAGTAGGCGATAACAAAAAGACAGATGCTTTGATTGCTCATCTTGGTGAAATCAGAGCCAAGAACAAATTCTCTACTGTCTTGCAGAGAGACTTGAGCCATATTCCAAACTCTGTTTCTGTCCCTATGACGCAAATCAGTTTTGGTCTTTACGACATTAGTTTAAGGTCTTCGACTGTTGTACATAACGTATCTGGAGAGTCTACCAAGCATGTTTTGCCTATCATTGACGACCTCAATATTGTATTTCATATCCAAAGTCCTGAGAATCCCAAAGAATCCGTATGTCCTGATACTCAGATTGAAGGCAACATTTCAGATGTTCGTATGGCACTGACTGAAAAACAATACAAATCATTGCTAAAAACATGGAACTTTATTCAAACCAATTTCCTTACCACTGAACTAAAAGAAGAAGAAGAACAACAAGAAAATGAGATGGTCGAAAGTATCTTGACAGACAAAAAAGCACTGACGAGCTCATCCCGCTCGCATGTGTCTGAAGAAACTTCAGACATAGTTAGTATAGCCAGCTTAGATGCCAAAATCACATTGGACTTGGTGATCAAGTTAAATACGGTTTATCTTGAAGTATTAACTGGCAAAGATGAAGATATTGACAATAGGGATCAACATATGCTTTCGAGATTGGCCTTTAATGATATTTCACTCAAACTACAAAATATGTCAAATGAGACCATGTTGATGGAAGTCAATATGCAATCCATCAGTTTTGCAGATACCAGAGCTGAATCGAAATCAAAGTTCAAGGAAATTCTTCCTGCCAATACACTTGACGGCCCTCAATTTCAGTTCAAGATGTGGTCCTTTAAGCATGAAGGTATACCTGTGATAGATATGTATATCACAGTCGATAGCCCCAAGATTGTATTGTCTTTAGACTATCTGTTCTTACTTAAGGATTTCTTCATGAGTCCTTTTGTTGTGATTGAACCTACTGAAGCACAGAAATACGCACAATCACATAGCAGAAGCATGAACAACAAACAAGCAGAAATTAAACAACAAAAGCAAAACCAAGCGCCACCTACTGAAATGCATTTCAATGTGAATGTGGTTGACCTTCAAGTACTTTGTCTTGCAAGTCCTGAAAGAGAATCGTCTGAAGCTGTGATTCTCTCCTTTAACCAATTGACAGTGGTTCAAAAGAAAGACCTTGAAGTCAACCTGAATGGTATTCGTATGGTCTTGTGTCGTATGGATAATGTAGAAGAATCTACTATGCATTTTGTTGAAGAGTTTAGTATGACTTTGGGTATTGTCAATGCAGCCACAGGTTCTGTGCATAACCTGACATCCATAACACTTCATGTTCAGCATATCGTTCTTCGATTGTCTTATCAAGATCTCATGTTGATTACAACCATTACAAACAAGGTGATGGCACTTATGGGAGCATCCAATAACAACACGGCTCCAAAACCCTCAATAACAGACAATGATGCTTCCGAAATAGACGTTCTTCCCCAAATGCTGTCTTGGAAGAAGAGACAAACAATCAAAACACGCCTTTGTCCGAATCATCAGGCCATGGTGCTTTGTCAGTTAAGCCAAAGGGTATTGAGCCATTTATTGTCATGTCAAAAGAATCTGTAGGTATTTCTGTAAGCCATCATATATATTCACTGCTATTTTTAGTTGACTGCTTCTTTTGAAGGGTTGCAAATCATTTTGATTGAAGATTTGCATGATTTACCCTTTGTCGATGTTAATGTAAATCCTTTTACAGTGAATGCATCAGACTGGTCAAGAGCTATGATGGCTAATGTTGATTTTTACTTGAAGGCCAATAATTTTAACTTTAAAAACTCACATTGGGAACCTATTATTGAACCATGGAACCTTTGTATCAAAGTCTCTCAAGACTCAACTGACAAGTCAACTCATGTTGCATTACAATCCAAAGACGTACTTCAATTCAACATTACACATAATTTCCTTGAAAGCCTTTTGGCTATCTCAGAAACACTTTCTGATATCAAGGTATGTGATCATCTTGCTTTTCATTTACTAACTTGTTCAAATAGCCTTTAGCCGAGACTGCTCAGGTTCAAGTCAAGCCTTATTTAATCAGAAACTTCACTGGCTATGACTTGAGTTTCTGGAACATGTCTGATGATGCAGAAAATATAAATAATAACATTCACAAGCTAGCACACGGTGAGTCTGTATCTTGGACCTTCCGTGATTGGAAGAAACGTAGAGAGGTAAAAAAAAAAAAACGCAAATCAACAAACGTAGCTAATAGACATGTTAGAGAATCAATCTTGGAAAGAATTTGTTTGGCCTACAAGTAAACCAGTTTGATTGGGAGAGTATCCTTCATGTGCCTGTGGATAAAGAAGGCGAATTTGTCTATCGATTGCTACCTACTGTAAAAGGTGTTGATCATCGTCTGATTGTCGATATTCACTTGGAAAATCATATCAAATATGTCACTTTTAGAAGTGGCCTTATACTGGAAAATACTTGTTCTGATGTGATTCAACTAGCTGTTGTAAACAAAGACCGTCAAATGCAGTCCGACATTATCACTTTGAGTGCTGGAGAGATCTATCATGTGCCTATTGCACTTGCCTATGGCTATTGGGTTGTAGTCAGACCCTCTAATCAATACGAATGGAGCAAACAAATGTTAATATGGTCTGATGTCTTGCTTCCTAGGTCATTCAAATCCGTTCAATGTTCCTCTCTAGACAATGCAATGGCATCCTACAATTATCAGATCAATGCTGTGTTTGACAGAACCAACCCTCTTGTAAAGCGATATCCTATGATGAAAATCCAAGTATGTCCTTCCGTTCAGGTTGAAAACTTGCTACCTTTTGATTTTGATTTGACCTTGATTGAAGAAACTACAGGTGAAAAAGTAGCTGCCTTTGTTGGAAAAGGAAAAACAGCCCATTTGTACACTATCAAGAATGATGCCACTATTATGATTCAACTCGATTTGAAGTCAGATCGATACAATGGAAGTGAAACAACCATTATCAGGACTACACCCAATTACTCAGCTATAGGTGAAGCCTTGGTGATTCGAGACCATAACAATGTACCTACGAACCTTCGAATGAACATTACTCGATCCACAAACACAACAGACAGTTTAAGTATTAGTATCTTTGCTCCTTATCTGATCTTAAACAAATCTGGGTTACCTATTAGTCTTCGACAACGTCAAAACTATCGTCAAAACAATGCCACTGTCGAAAACATTCCTGCTTATAAAGAAGGACAAGTGATTGTGCCTACTATTTTCTCTTATCCTGAATTCAATCATCATAACCGTGCTCAAATCTCAATCAATGAATCCAAATGGAGTGATCCTATCAGTTTCGAAGCTGTAGGTAACAGTCAAGATGTCACTTTACTCTCAAAATCTGATACTTATGCAAGACATGCTGGTATCAAAGTAGAAGAAGGTGTGGGTATTTTGCGTCTTACAAAGATCGTGACCATCACACCTCGCTACATTCTAAAAAACAATACTGGCCTTAAGCTTAACTTGTGTGAATTTGGAGCAGACGAAACAATCACAATAGATCCAGAACAAAAACTTGCCCTTTATCAAACCACCAAATCACACGTTCGATGGCTTTGTATTAAACTTCAAGAACTTCAAGACCATTGGTCATCACCTTTTGATATTCATGAAATTGGTAAAATCTTTGTCAAACTGGACAAGGGAAATGGCACCATACCTTATCTGATCAGAGTATCCACCCATATCAAAGAATCAAGTATCTATGTCACATTTAGTCAAGACGAAGACTGGCCTTACTATATTGTCAACAAATCTAGCGTCGATATTCGCTTCAGACAAGAAAACATTCACCCAGAAGACTATGACTTGAAAGATCGTCAAAAGAAAGCTTTCCAAGAACCTCGTTTGTTCACTTTATCACCTGGAGAAAAGCACAAGTATTCTTGGGATATCCCCATTGCTAAAGAAAAACGACTTGAATTGCTTGTCGGTAATCGTCATCGTAGTATCAACTTTCAAGCCATTGGTGCACAGGTACCTTTCCGTTACATGAAGCAACGTGATGGTCCTGTTGGTAGCAATACACTTTCCATTGATATTATTGCAGATGATTCTGCTTTGGTTTTACTATTGACTGATTTTGATCTTTCAAGAAGTTTGTATCGTCCCAAGTCTTCAGGTACCTCTACATTGGCTTCAACCTCTAGAGAAGGAAGTGTGCGTGATTCGTTTGAGACAATCAATATCCAACATATTATCAATTATGTGTTCGAGTTTAATTTGGCTGGTTTTGGTATCTCAGTGATTAATCGACATGCTCAGGTACACAACAATTGAATCTGTTTATTAAACTAACCCTCTCTTGTTAAAGGAATTGGCTTATGCAACTATGAAAGGATTAGATTTCAAATACACTGATTCCAATATGTATCAATCCATTCGGTTGAGTCTTCAATGGCTACAGGTAACGACATAAAATGAAATGATAATACTAAATCTGCTTATCAGATTGATAATCAACTGTATGGTTCTACTTATCCTATTTTGTGCTATCCAACAACGCTTCCTAAAGTGTCTCATGAACTCTCAACCCATCCCACTCTTCATGTCGCGTTGGATAAAGTCAAAGATGACAGTAAGCATAAGAAATACACTGTGTCATATAATCTTATTTTTTTCTTTTCTTTTGTAGGGCATGGTGTTTTATACTTTAAGCTTTTTTCAGTTCTTCTTCAAGAAATGTCGTTTGAAATCGATGAAGACTTTTTATATGCCTTATTAGATTTTGCACAATTAGATATGAAATTGAAGCGTACTGAAGATGAGTAAGTCATTCAACAAGCCATTATAGACACTAACATTCCATACAAGAACCAATATGTTTATCATGAAGATTGAAGAGCCTGTCGTTGAAAAAGAAGAAGCTCTTTACTATTTCGAGGAATTTTGTATTCAGCCCATGAGATTAAATCTGTCTTTTGTAAGGACAGACAATGTGGATGCAACAAACTCAAAGTAAGTGAACAACACCCCCATATTTTTCAACTAACTCACTGGTTCTAGTGCATCTACTGGAAGTTCTCCTATGGGCTATGTGTTCAATGTCTTTACCATGACACTTGGTAACATCAACGTAAGTTTGTTTGGATGTATATGTTTGATACTCATCTTATGTTACTAAGGATGCTCCTGTCAAATTAAATGCATTGATTGTCGACAATCTTCGAGCAAGTTCAGAAGATCTTACTGCTCGCATCATGCTCCATTACAAAGACCAGATTGTTTATCAGATTCATCGGGTACTGGGCAGTATTGATATTCTTGGTAATCCTGTAGGTCTCTTCAATACCCTTAGTTCTGGTTTTGGCGAATTGTTTTATGAGCCATATCAAGGTTTTATTATGAGTGATAGACCTCAAGATTTGGGTATTGGTATAGCCAAGGTAAGTTCAAAAAAAAAGTGGGCGCCTTCCTTAATGGATCATATAGGGCGTAGGAGGATTCATGAAAAAGAGTGTGTTTGGTATTACCGATAGTATGAGTCGATTTACTGGAAGTTTGGGTAAAGGTATTTCTGCCGCCACCATGGATAAAAAATTCCAAGACAGACGTCGTATGAACATGACAAGAAATAAACCTACGCATGCTATTTATGGTGTCACGCAAGGTGTAGGTTACTTTGGTACTAGTGTAGCAAGTGGTGTTGCTGGTCTTGTGGTAAAGTAGTATACGCTTCATTTATGTCAAACTCACTTTCACTTGAAACAGAAACGTCCTATTGAAGGCGCAGAATCTGGCGGTGTTGTAGGATTCGTTGGAGGTGTCGGCAAAGGTCTTGTTGGGTAAGATAGATTTCCTATATAAAAAGAAAACTAACATGATGTAGTGCATTTACAAAACCTGTCGTTGGCTTTTTGGACATGGCTAGTAATATTACAGCAGGTATTCGTGAGACAACCACTGTCTTTGAAGGAGGTGATTTAAAGCGTGAGCGACTTCCCCGTTTTACAGGCAGAGATGGCATTGTTACTGTAAGTAGCTTCCTTGTCTTCATTTTATCTCATTATCCTTTTAGTCTTATTCACAAAGAGAAGCCCTGGGTCAAATGTGGCTCAAGGAATTGGAAAGTGGTAAATTTTTCCACGAAACCTATATTGCTCATAGCATTGTTGACAATGATGAAACGATTGCTATCTTGACATACACTCGTATTCTCATCGTTCGTTCAGACAATTTGAAATTGGATTATGCTATTCCTTTAGACACTGTTGAGTCCGTTAATTCTGGACCCGATGGTGTTTGTTTGCGTCTGAAGAAGGTAACTCGCGTACTCTGTATTGAAGAACAAACCAGTCGAGAATGGTTTGCAAAAATCATTCAAGAAACCTTAGCACAAAGAAAAGAAGAAAGTGAAAGACAATAAACGATGACAATGATATATATGTTCTTTATTCTTTCAAAAAACAATGACGTTTGGCTTTTTTTTTTTACGACAAGAAATCTAGTTTATGACAGAAATTTATTATTTAGACAGAAGCTTGAGGAGTGGGTTCAACAAATTCCTTGGAGGCCTTGGCACCAGTGTCATCACCAGCAGCAGCGGCACCACCGTGAAGAGCCAAGAGAGCAGAGACATCGAACTTGGGAGCCTTGAGGATCTTGACCTTACGAGTGTAAGTGTTTTGAAGAGGGTAGATACCTTGACAGGCCTTTTCGATGCGGACAGCAATGGCATCTTGAGCGGATTGAGAAGCAGAGGAGGTGACCTTAGCAACCAATTCCTTCAAGTCACAAGCAGAGGCTTCTTCAGTCATGATCTCGAACATCTTCTTACGGATTTGACGAATTTGAGCAGAAGTAGCATAGGTGGTCTTCTTGATTTGGTTACGACGACGAGCAGTGAAAGAGATGGCAAAGAGACGGACGAGGTAACCGTCAGTGGTCTTGACATCAACGAAAGCTTCAACCAAAGATTGCCACTTCTTGACCATAGAACGGAGCTTGTCGGTGGTCATGTCCATGCGGTAGAAGTTGGTGAGACAGTTCTTACCTTGGATTTCGTCAACCTTCAATTGGATCTTACGGAAAGAGCGAGATTCGTCCTTGGAGAGATCACCAAGAGACATTTCAACGACACGACCTTGGAGGGAGTCGTTGGCGTTACGGAGACCTTGAGTACGGTTGACGAGAGTCTTACCAACTTGACGGACGTCAAACATAGAGGGAGCCTTGATATCGTACCAGTCCTTACGGGTGAAGGGGTCAACGCTATAAAAAAATGTATTAATATCTGTTTCAACATGTTCATGATCAAAGACGATCAACAATCAAAACGAGATCATAGATTGACTCAACATAGAGCCATAGTTTCTGGTTGAGTGTATAACATAAAAACAATGCTGATCTACATAATCAAAGCTAATGGATTCAATGCGTGTTGCAGGAACCTTTTAGCATGATGGTTGCTATCAAGTCAATGATCTCGTCTGATTGCTATTGTGCTTTCTTTGATTGTTGAGGTATATCTCAAATTAGATCAACTTACACCTTCTTCTTCAAACCCTTCTTTCCTTTTGAAAGACGCCTAAAAGAGAAAGCACCATGTTAGTATCAGGTTATTCCTAGTGTCTATGATAACTTACTTGTTCTTGCCGACAGCTGTTGTTTATAAGGAGAACAAATAAGTGCATTGATTAGTATACTGTATAAGACCTTGATTTCCATCTATTTGGGATGGATGGATGCTTTGTACGTACCCATATTATCGATTAAGAAGGAGTATTCTAAGGTTTCTGGAGTGGATGGGTACCTTCAGTCCAAAGGAGCGGACATTGAATGTAGCCGCGAAAAGTCACGGCCTTTTTTTTTTTTTATTCGGTGTTCAATACAATAGAGATGATTACAGCTACTTATTCGAAAGAAAGTATCCCTAAGCTTCAATGAAGCAATGTCTTTGTGTTGGGATAATTGAAAGAGTCTCATGTGTTGTCTACAGGAATCTTCTGCATTAGTTTTGAAATATAAAAATTTAAAAAAATAATTGGAATGCAAAGAGATCTCTCTTTCCAAAGGCCAAACTGCTAGTGTCTTTAACACATTGCTGTTATTTCATTGACTTACTTGTTAAAGAAAATCAGCAATGGATTATGAGCTACTTTTTTTCTTTTTTGTTATCCCAATGCAAACGCTCTACATACAACAGAAACTTTTATGCATACCTATGACGTTCACTGTTTGATCTTGGATGCTATGAATGGCATTTCCCTTTTTGAGTAAAGTGCAATGTTTCGGTCCGAAAACATTATGTAGTCCGGTCCGAATGATTTTTTTCTGGTGAGCATTATATCAAGTAAAGAAAGGCCATCCTGTAGTCAATCTTTCTCTTTGTAGATTATATTCATCTAATATGGTAACATCCACTCTAAACAACCATCCACCCATCCGTCTAATACAACATCATCATCATATAGGGTAAAGTTCACGGTTCTTTGGCTCGTGCCGGTAAGGTCAAGTCTCAAACTCCCAAGGTTGCTAAGCAAGAAAAGAAGAAGGCCAAGACTGGTCGTGCTAAGAAGAGACAAGTTTACAACCGTCGTTTCGTTAACGTTACCGCCCAAATTGGTGGTAAGCGTAGAATGAACCCTGCTCCTACTGCTGGTCCTTAAATTGCTCCTTCATGACAATCGACCTGTTCAACTTTTTTTTTGAATCGAAACCCATCTGAAGCAATTCGTCAACTTTCGAATAAAAAAAAAGGCTAAACATATCAATCATACAACTAACATAATCTCTTTTATTATTATTGTTGTTCTTGCTACGCATATAGTCAACGAAATAGGAAGGACTTGGAGTGAAAGAGAGAAATATATATACTGCGGTTATAAGTCTGTGTGTGTGTGTGTGTGTGTGTGTGTGTGTGTGTGTTTGTGTGAATAGGCATATTTTATTTCATATAATCTGATTTGCATAAGAGAGAGGGAGAGTATATTTAAGCACTAAGTCTGTTTAGAGAATCTTGTTCTTTTTAGGTGGAGGTGTGTTTTTCTTAAAAGGATTGCCAATGCTCTTTCTTCTTGAGGTCTCTGCAGTAGTGTTAGGACTCAATTTGTTCATGATTTGATCTGTAGTGCTAGCATGTTTTTTTGATTTCTTCTTGGTACCACCAGGTGTTATTTTGGCCTTCAATCTACGGAATGAATCATTGGAAGTACCACTACTTCTACGACGATTTCGCTTCTTGTTTGAATCAAGACCCAGTTTACTTGATTTCTCTTTCTTTGAACTCGATCCCAAGCTAAGTCTACGAAGACCGTCGACCTTGTTTGGTACTTTGGAGGATCTATCAAGCGTCAATTATACATCAGGTTTGTCTTTCTTACCTTTTCTTGGTTTTAGTAGGTAATTTTACTTTTTTCTGCTTTCTTGTGTTGGTTGAGCTAAGATTGTTTCCCATGTTTGATCTATCGTTAAAATAATAAAAACAGTTTGATTTATATAGGCTTCAAAACAAGACTAAGTTGTAGTATGACGATATTACGACAATTGAGCTTATTGTTTGTGCCACTTGTTCTTTTGTGAGAGGGAAGATCAATTACATCATAAAAGTTTGATCTGTTCTAAAAAGTTTATTACATTAAGATTACAAGGAAAAATACAAAGTTATAAGTAGTTTTAATTCACATATTTCAATTCAGTACCAAAGCAATAATCCCAAATTTTAGAAGTAATACCATAGCCACCTTCATAGTTTTTGTAGTGATGAGCCATATGATACTTTTTCATTTCTCTAAAATGGTATTTGAATACTTTGGCATGATGAAGATAATAGTGAACACAGTCATACAAGACATAGCCTATAAAGCCGCCAGCAATAACACCATGAGCCATCATAGGAGGGAACAAGAAATGACCAAGGCTGACAAGAGGGTATGCAATGATGATGGCCAACGTGGGTGGCATGACCAAACGAAGTCTACATTTATAGGTTAGTCTTCTTCTGATGAAACTATGTCTATTTTACCTGTCCATAGGTAGATAGTGATGAAAACCATGAATCACAAAATGCAGGACAAAAGCAGCTTGATGATCAGGTAACATATCATCCAAATGGAAAAAGAAGCGATGAAGCAAATATTCAAGTAAAGTCCAGATAAGCATACCCAAACCAAACGATAATCCTGTGCCCTTCATATTACCATAAGCTAATGACTGGTGTAATTGATAGGAAGCATAAGGAATCCAGACAGTAGGGACAACATACCAAGCCGTCTTTGTGAGTGGCTCAAGCAGAGGATGCCCAAAAAAGATAGCAGACGTGGGTATGTAACGAGGCTTATGAACCTGCTCAAGATAAAATTCCTTTGTATAACGAGCACGAATCAACTGAGGGACAAGTGCCTTGCTTAAATCCAGAAACTGGTTGTTTTTAACATCAGATGTGATGTCTGTCTCATGAGGCATAAAATCTTCTTTGCCAAATGTCTTGCTTTCCTCTTCTTCCTCTAATAATTGCATACGTTGTTCATGGAGTGATAGTTGTTTGCTGACTACGCCAATACAGTATTCCTCCAGTATTTCATATGCTGATTCTGAGTGTTCATGTTCAAGCACATCCTTCATCACTTCAGTCACATCTTTACCAGCATAGTCAAGAATAAGATCATCTCCACCCGGATGGCCTTCTAAAAACTCGGTCACATCATAGACCTTATTTTTATAAATGACCCAGCAAGAATCAGCAGTTTGATGCTTGGTGATTTCTGCCACAGTGAATTCTTTCAAAGCCATTGTCTATACTACCTATAAAAGAAAGAGTAAAAAAAAAAAAGGTTTTTTTTTCTTTTTGGTTTTAAAATGGAACGGAGAAACAAAAGTGACATTCAAAACTATCCAATGAAAATAAAGCATTGGTTTATTACATATTAAAGTGTACAGGATGATATATGATACAATAAGAGATAAATATATATATAAAAAGTAGTAGTTGGTATTCATTCTAATAGTCATATTTTTCAGAAGATCGAACACGACCAGGTCCACAAATACAAGCAAAGCAGTAAGAAATACTAGAGAACAATAAGGCAACAAAAGCACCGAGTGTCATCCAAGTGGAAGGACCCAAACTACCGGAAATTGAACTACCAGCATCTTTAGCAGCATTGACGCCTTTGACTGCAATCACCAAGACAATCACAAACACGACAAGTTGGACAACAAAGGCAATAAAAGTCATAAGAGAAGCCAAGAAATCAGGACCTCTTCTAAAACTACTCATGATAGTGATAATGAGAGCAATAAAAGTAAAGCCCAAAGCAATCCAGTATAAGATAAAGTTGGTCAAGAAGACTTTGTCAATGTGGTTGATTTGAAGGTATTGGCTGATATTGTCTACTGTACTCCAATCAAAAGCAGGTGTAGGGTGACTACAGCTTAAGATATGATCACCAGAACCAGTACAGTAATTCCATAAACCAAATGTCAGAAATTCGCTTGCATCATTCACTTTGGCAAAATAAAGTGAACGTAAAAACGGTTGATTATAGGTTGAGCCAATCATGGTAAACACTTGAAGAACAAGTGCAGCAAATGTAAAGAAAGTGGCTATAAATCCAAAAAAGCTCATAATAATAATAATAAGTAAAGTAATGGGTTTGATTTCATCGTTTGGCTTTTTATACTTTTTTTCATTTTAAAAATAGTATTGCTGCTTTTATGAAAACTAAACCTTTTAAGAACAAGCTATAGCCTAAATAAGTACATATCATCCAATCATAGCTCATCTTGGCAAATGCACGTAGGGCTGAGCAGTACAAATATAGAAAGTTACAATCCTCAACATGTAACACGCATCACTTTCAATACGTCATATCTCAATGGTCAAATTCTTTTTTATTATCGTCATGAAGAATACAAAAGAGAGAATTGTATGTGTCATTTCGATCTATGTACAACAGCAACAAAAAAAAACAAAAAAAAATGAAATGACGTTGTCTATGCTGATGAAAAAGAGATGGGACAATTTAATTCAGGCACAAATGGCTTGCATGTTTTCCAGAAATTCGTTCTTGGCATAAGTTGAAACATACAAACCTCTTTTTTTTTTCTTTGTTGTCAATACAAAAAGCGTATATCCGAGTTAAATAAGGCTTATTCATTGGGTCCGTGACATTGTACAATACCAAAGTAACACAACAAAGTCTAAACACGAAGAATAGTAAATACGAGTTAAAAATATGTAGTGGATTACAAAAAGCTGATATATAGATCAAACCTATTTGATTGACATCTATATGGCATTTTTTAAAAAAAAAAAAAAAAAAGTCTGTACAAAGCCGTATAAATGGAATTACTATGTCATTTTAAAAATATATGTTCCCTTAAGAAAAACTCTGAGCTTAAATTAGTAGTCTCATGTCAAAAACTAAAAATCAAACTTGGAAATTCAAGATATCTCTTAAAATTGCGACCACCTCTTGACAGACTTTAGTCATAGTCTACGTGGAGCAAAAAATAAAACCCTTTAAAAAAAATTAGAAATTCAGGAAAAATAATGGACTAAAAGTATCTAAATAGGAAGAGCTATCAAAAAAGTACATTAACAAAGCTGGTAGATATAGACACGGCGCATCGAATGGTGTAAAGAGAGTAGCATGTTTATTACCAGGATAATGAGCTATCTTTCAAAAGCGTATCATCTGTTTTCAAGCTGTAGCGTACACTTTTTATTGTACTTTTGCGAATCTAATGCTTTGAGTGTATTTTACAAACCTAGAGAAGCAACTCGTACCAAGATATATCATGTCTAAAATGTTTCTATCGACCATCAGTTGCAAAACAGTAAAAAATGAAGATTTCGCAAAGTATCATAAGGGCAAAATGACGATTTCTTGCATTATTTTTGCATAAATATGTTCTTTTATGTGTGCTCAAACATAAGAAACTCCAAAAAAAACACACTTGCGCCTGTGGGCTGCCAATCCGCCGCTAGTGTTATTATGCTAAGAGATTATTTGTCAGATTGATTCAAAAGTAGTTTACGTTGGAGGTTTATTTACGAAAATCCAGGATATGATTTAAGATCATCCAATAAGCTTACTACTGAAAAAAAAAGGCGCACATTGAGCATCAAAAGCATATTAAATGTGCCAAATGGAATTCAAAGTTATTTAGGAATAACAAAGTGTGTATGATGTCGATGGATATATACGCTCTAGAATAATGTCTTTCAAAGCAATGTATCTACTGTGAGTATTCTGCGTTTGCTAGTCAATGGATCTACAGTTTATACAAATAGGCTGAAAGATGTCTGCAAAGATCAATAAACTTACAGCCCTAGTTTTTAAATAAAGTGTATGTGTGTGTATTCTGTTCAATTTATTGATAAAAAGAAATTGTTTAAGAGCCAATAGTTTAAGCATCCTTGATCTTCTTGGTACCACGGAGGAGACCAGTACGACGAGCAGCAATCAAACCAACCTTTTGACCGGCAGGAGAGTCACGGGCCATGGTAGAGGCCTTACCAATGTGTTGATGGTTACCACCACCGTGAGGGTGATCAACGGGGTTCATGGCAACACCACGAGTCTTGGGCCAGCTGTTACGCTTGACACGGAACTTGTGGTAAGCACGACCAGCCTTCAAGAGGGGCTTGTCAATACGACCACCACCAGCAACGATACCGACAACGGCACGAGAGGTAGAGGGAATGACCTTCTTGGAACCAGAGGGCAAACGAATACGGGTCTTACCATCTTCACCGTGACCAATGATGGTGGCATAGTTACCAGAGGTACGGGCAATAGCACCACGGTCACCAACCTTTTCTTCGACGTTACAGATAACGGTACCTTCGGGCATGGAGGCCAAAGGCAAGACGTTACCAATGTTCAAAGAAGCCTTCTTACCGGCATAGACGAATTGGCCAGTGTACATACCTTCAGTGGCAATGAAGGTTTCAGTACGGAGCTTGTACCTATTCAGGTTGCATAAGTAATCTTACTCTTTTTCTCTTTCTCTTTCTCTTTTACTTACTTGTAGGGGTCACGGAAGACGACCTTGGCAAGAGGAGCACCTCTTCCAGGATCGTGAACGATTTCCTTGACAATACCACGAATGTAACCGTGACGTTCAGCAAAGTCAAAAACTCTGAGTTGAGCAGCGCCCTTACGGCCAACGGTGTGGGACTTGAAAATGGATCCAGCACCCTTTCTCTGAGCACGAATAACACGACCCATATCTGTTGTATCAATGAAAATATCGACAAAGTTGAAATGAGTTGAATGGTGAAGATACAAAGAAAAAAAAGATGAGGTTAGTCTCAATCACATCATAAAGAAATAGCTGATTTGAATGAAGATGGATGCATCGTCAACCCCCTAAAGTCATCTATTGATCGCTCATCCATCATCCATCCATTTATATCGGTTTGGAATACTTGCCTAACTAGTGGAAAAAGAGGAAGATTTACTAATTTGCTTTGCCTTTGGTTGTCCATATGTGTTGTAGGGGAATCAAAACATGAACTCAAAAAAAAAAAAAATAGACAGCTCAAGGCTTATTCCGACCCGGATAAAGCCGGACACAGTTTATGCATTTTGATCCATATAAAGTCTATAATCTATTGTAGAGACATATGAGCTACCTTTCACATTAGATAAACCACCAAGACTCCCTTTAGTACATATGAGTAAAGCGGTATATTCATCATTTGTTTGATATGTCTTTAATACCAGTCAAATTATGTTACTATGAAAAATTTTCAACTGACCAAGGACTGGTCACCAAATACAATGGAACGAATGTTCTTATTTGAAAACACAAATGAGTCTGTTCAATAGGGTAATAGCTCTTTTATAGTACATTGCATGATGACGTGCGTATTTATTTAGTAAAGAACAGTTTGTAATTTATGTTATTGTAGGACAATCAATGAAAAGATCGACCACCTTGAGTTTAAAAAGTCTATTTTATTTATTCATCCTTTTTAGGAACAGGCAAAGTATACGAAGCCAAGAGTTCTTCATCCTTCTTGATGTCCTTGGTAGCAATGACAGAAAGAGTATCATGATCAAAAGACAGTCTGACATTAGGCTTATCTTCAGATTGGCCAATGTATGTAGAAATCTTGTAAAGACCAGCAGCAATATATTTAGCATCAGCATCAGTAGATCTCATGTGTTCTTTTGATTCACTCAAACTGACTTCAGTAGTAGCAGGGATAGCATAGGCATTATAAAGTAATTTGCCTTTGAGCATCAAATAAATTTCTTCGGACAAGAATTCGCTGATACCTTGTACTTTAGGACCCAAGACTTGTTTCAACATGTCGATTTCAGCCTTGGATTCTTCGCTAGGCTTGGTTTCCAAGTATCTAAAACGATCAACATGATCCCAGGCACCAAAAGTGGGTTCATTGGAAGTAGGTTCTTTTTGCTTATTCAATTCTTCAACAACCATAGCAGACAAAAAGCGAGCGATCATATAAGGATATTTAGTGTTGTTGGTCTTGGATGTAGTGAAAAATTCCAAAGCAACATTTTTTTCATCAGCTTCATCAGCTTCCTTGATTTCAGTTGATTTGTTGTGGGAACAAAGATACTTGTGGTATTCCTCATTAGCATCTTCACGACAAGATTGACTACAGAAAGCAACCAAATCACAAGTAGAGCATTCAACCTTATTGTCATCAGAAAGAGACTTCAAACAAAAGTTACAGTGAGATCCTTCTAATTCAGGGAATAAGGCAGACACAAGAGGACGTTCAGAGTAGATGGTTTCGCCTTCAGCAATGTCCTTGTCTGCTGTAAGAGAACGGCGAACAACAGGTGTACCTTCTTCATTGACACCAGCAGGCAATTCAGACAATTTGACATGTGTTTCTTTAGGAGGGAATTTTTCATAAAACAAGTTTTGACGTTTTTGTTGCTATTGGATTTAATCAGTCTCGATCGCTTCACTCAATATATATATATATATATATATATATATATACTTACATCAACAGCCATGACATTAATGACCATTTGGAATACAGGTTCAGGAATGGTCTTTTGATAGATCATGATCAATTCCATAGGTGCAGGATAAACCTTTAAGGCCATATAGAATGGTAATACAGCATCATTATAATAAGCTTCACCTAAATGACACCTCTAAGTTTCAATCTCCCGTTGGAAATAACTTTACCTTGATTGCAAAGAGCTTCACCAGCAGCTACTTGCTCCATAAAATACTTTTCCTTTTGTTCGGGGTTGAAGGCATTGTTTGCCTGTCAGCAGCTGCCAAAACTTTTTCAATGATTTGGATAGCATTGGATTTGACGGCTTCCTTGGCCTTTTCAATTTCCTTTTTGGCCTTCTTCTTTTCTTTCTCTATGGCATGTTAGACAACCTAAACCGGGGGTATGTAAAACTTACTGATTTTTTTCTTAAGTGTAGGATCATTGCGTCTCTTATAGTCAAAATAGACCAAGTAGCCAATACCGGCAGTAACTGCGACACCGGCAGTAATCAATGCAGCTGTTCTAGGTTGAATAGGCATGTTCAAAAGAAATAAAAAAAAACGAAAGAAAGAGAAAACCGAGTTTTTTTTTTCTTACTGCTCAAATGTACAAGCAAAAAAAAAATGAAACCGACTAAACCAAGCATAAACGGTCACTTGTAGCACACTCCGCCCAAGATAGACCCTTCCGGGAATTCAAAAAACAGCACTTGTCAATGACAAATATGAATGCATGATGTATTACATAAACAAGTTTATTATGAAGTTTTATTTACAAGAAATAGAAGGTGTTTAGTTATCCTCGCTTTCCCTCTTCTTGAGGTCTTCAAGGGTTTCGGACTGTAAATGTTCAATGGGCTTTTCACGTTCCTTATCAGCTTTGACCTAATAATTATGTCAATGAATGCAATGGTGTGAATGAAATGAACTTACAGCAGCTTCACTATGAGAGGCTAATTTTTCGTTCCATTCTTTTCTGTCTTTTTTGCTCAAATTCTTTTCCTTTTCCTTTTGGAGAACCTCTGGGTCATTATCAGACATATGAGAGAAGGCAGACATTGATCGTGTAGTCGTTTGAATAGAGGTAGACATCAATGAAGTGGCAACAGTAGAACGATAGGCTTTTGTGGCTTCAGCAATGGCAGTTTTTCTTGTGGCAGCGTACATGTTTAATAAAGAGATAGAATAAAAAAGAGAGAGAAAAAAGAGGGCCTCGACATATGTGTTTATATACACGTTGATCTTACAGGAAAAAAATGAAACAGATATCATTTTGATGTCATAGCTAGAATACGCATATAGATCGCTCTTTATTTGATGTGACGTTATTGTTAAGGATTTTTTATTTTAGGGTCTGTGTGCATGAATTAAACTGCCGCTTCATCTACTCGAGAAATAAGCCCTGGTTGCAAAATCTTTTTTTTTCTTTTTTATTTTATTATGAAGACTTCTACTGTTGCTTTGATTGCCACAGGTGTACTTACTACCTTGGGTCTTGGTTATCTCGTCTATTTTGACTCTCAAAGACGCAGTAACCCCGAGTTCAGAAGACAGTTGAGTAAGTATGTCTTTGTTGTAACCCCCTCTAATATAGGTAGGACGTGAACGTAAAAAGGCAGTCAAGGAAGCCAAGGAAGCTGAAAAGAGTTCAACTGAATCCAAGTTAAAATTAATCGAAAGAGTGATTGTTGAATGTGCTAGAGAAAACTATCCTACTTCACCTGAACAAAAGGAAAAATACTTCATGGAACAAGTTGCAGCAGGTGAAGCTTTGTGTGGACAAGGTAAAAATCTATCAAGCAAAAAGGAGAAGCTAAGCAAGGTTGAATAGGTCCACAATATTATGATGATGCTATTTTGCCTTTCTATAAGGCACTTAAGGTGTACCCTGCACCTATGGAATTAATCATGATCTACCAAAAGACTATTCCTGAACCTGTATTCCAAACTATTGCTTCTATATTAGCTATTGAAGTAAGTAAAAAGAAAGAGAGAGAGAAAGAAAGGAAGGTATTGACTATGATTTAAATAGCAAAAGGCTATGGAAGGTCAACAAACAGAAACACCTGAAGCTGCTGCTGCTTCTGCTACTGGTGTTGATATTGAAGTCGAATAAACAATTTAGATTGTAATATGTACAGCAGGGAAAAAAAATAAATAGAAACTGTAAAATAAATAAATAAATAAAAGGGATGCATTGTCTCTTTTTTCTTTCTTTCTTTCTTTTTTTATATATAAAAAATGACGCACTTTGATAAAGCAGAATCCATTGCTACCAACACACTTCTTGTACCAGATGTTCCTCTATGTTTTTTTGGCTGCGATGATGCTATGCTCACTATTCATGATGCCTTTGCCAAATTTGGCCTTCTGTACACATTTGTGCCTATGAAGGGATTTAGACGTCTCATGATTATCTATCAAGAAACAACACATGCTCTTGAAGCGAAAAAGACACTCAATCATAGCATATTGGCATGGAAACAACGAGAGCCATTTCCAGAAATCTTGGAATTGGCAGAGAAAAACATAGACCTCAAAAAAGACTGGCAAAATCAAGGCAAACAGGTATTTGATATTCGTGTTTATTTCGGACAGGCAAGTTCAAGCAGACAAGTTGGCATTCAACTCATCCATCTTATAGCACTTTGCCATCCATGTCGATCCCAACTCCAATTCACTTCAAGTACCTCAGTTTCAACGTAACTTGCTCATCTCTCCACCTGGATCACCTTGTGAAGGTTGGGAACAGATTGAAGAAGACGCACCCAATCAAGCTATTTTAGCTTCTGATTTGATGCACGCAGCAGAAATATCTGATTATGAATTAGATGATGATGAGCTTGAATTAGAAGAAAGACCAGTAGCACCCAAGACGGTTTCGATTGTCTGTTCAAAAGGTCTTGAAAAGCCTGAAGAATTACCTGCTATTACTGTTCAAGACTGGGATGGCTATAGTGGCGCAAGCATACCAAGGAAGAAGCTTATGCAACAATTGACGCCAACAGCCATGCCTCCTCTTAAGAAATAAAATAGATAATATGTTTATTTTAAGATATAGTCAAATGAGCTCTTTTACTACCCACTTTTTTCATCAGAGTTCCTTCGGCTTCCAATTCTTTTTTGAGTAATTCTTCACTTAGTTGACGTCTTTTCTCTTCTTCATCTTCTTTAGCGTTATTTTGTTGTTGTTGTTGTTGTTGTTGCCATTCAGGTCTTCGCATACGTTGACGAAATGTGTCTGCAATAAGTATTGCATCTGTTGAAGTAAAAGGAGGCTCAGACATAGAGGCGTTTGATTGAGGTCTTGGTAATGATTCAATGGGAAGTGTTTGGAGCACAGGCGGACGATCCTCGGGAAACATAGAACTACTTGCTGTACTATTCAATGCTATAAAACACTAATTAAAATGCTTTGAAATGATAAGGCATGGACTTGCCTAAATGACCTTTTTCTCCATAAACAGTGTTTCTTTTTCGACCATGTCGCATCACCCAAAAGATTAAACAACAAGCACCTAGTACAGCTAGACATGCCAAGACAACAACGGCAATGATCCATGGCTGAATTTCACCTTGTTGTTGTTTTTGCTGTTTTTGTTGTTGTTGTTGTTGTTGTTGTTGTTGTCTGTCTGATGTTTGTTTACTATCTGAGCTTGTAGGTGATGGTGTGGATATGGATATAGGTCTCGAATTGGACAATGTAGAGCTAACAGTTGTAGTGAAAGAGGATAAAGATTGAGATGTGCTTGTGATAGAAAGTGATGCTAAGATAGGCACTAAAGCTAATTCTATTGTATGCAAACATACTAAGTATACAGTCAAGGTAAACAATGTTACATTACGCTCTACCCGGTTGTAAACAGGTGGTGGATAATCCGATGAAAATCTATTTTCCAATTCCTTATCTGGATCCAATTCACTTGGTAAAATATAAATCATGGTATTATAAGTGTGAGCAGAAGAATCGAGTCGCCATGAATTGTCCACAAGTACAGGCACAGTTCCCTTTGAAGTATTGATGTTGGTTATCTTTTTCACCAGTATGTTTTGGTAATTTCGAATAAAATAAATGTAAATATCTAATGTAGGCTATGGTAAAATAAGAAAACATAAACAAAGTGTTGACACGTATACTCACAGATGCAACATAAGAAGGATACCTAGAGAAAAAGGGATAAGTCAATAGAAAAAAAAAAACTATATTAAGCATTTATTTTACATTGGGTTCCAAGTGATGGGATACCAGGTGCCATTTTTCCAGAGATCTTCTGGTTTTGGCGAACAAATAGTATCTGTATTTCCATTTAAACCACACGCTTCTGATAGTGTAGAAGTTAAACATGATGGGTTTTTGAAGCTACAATGATATTTACCCGCTGTAATCACTTTATTTGTGGGTTGGTTGTATGTTATTGAAGTCTGTTGACATTGTACACTTAAAAAGTATGCGAATAATATCCAACCACTGATCATCTTGATATATTTATATAGATACACAAATCCAAAATAAGAAAGAAGTACTATGTCAAATAATGCACTTTCAAATAAAAAGAAGGATGAAAAGAGTTTGATGCATAAAGAAAGAAAGAGGTGTAAACAACAAGGAGAAGGATTTATATATAAACATAAAAAAAGGGGTAATATTACTGAGAAAGAAGACGTTACAGGTAGGGGGATCAATTTATTTGTACCTTAAGAACAATATAATATGCTTTTCGAGCTTTATAAGAGAATAGGGGATAAACGTATTTATGAGCCTTGGAAGGAGAAAAGCAAGTCAGAAGGAGAGAATTTACTGCCATAATCGGAAGTTGGGGGAGTTTGTTTGCCACTGTTTGATTTCAATGACAAGCATATTGGTTGAGTCACTATTTTGCTTACTTTTTGCTTTTCGCTTCATGGTATTCCTTGAATGTTTACACTCCTTTTTCTTCATTTCTTGTTACTAATTCTTGGTATGTACCTTTGACATGTATTGTAGAATAATCAAGAGCTGTTAAAAGTGAAGATAAAAGTAGTATTCCTATCAACTACAGTGTATCATGAACTTTGAGTACAGATTTGAAGGCAATACTCAAATCAACTCGCCTTTTCCGTCTTAGTAGACTCGCTTTCTTTTCATCAGAAGTACCTAGACTTTGTCTTATCTGATTTGGCTGGATCAGACCTTTGTTTTTGTATAGTATTTTACTATGCAAAAATATGTGTTTTAGCTACACATCGCGGAGGAGTGTAGCGTGGATGAGCTGAGAATTAAGAAGGCAGAGAGAGAGAAAATATTTGGATGAATTAAAATCATCTAGGAGTAGAGTATGTTTCCTAAGAGAGGTGGATATCTGACTGATGATGTCAGATAGATGTTTGTGGCTTATTGTTTCCACTACTCTGCAGAAGAGAAACTCTTCTGTATTGTTTCTTCCAGCTGAGTTGATTGACGATAAAGGTCTGTCAAATTGTTACGTTCGACTTCATTTAATGATCCTTCGGCGGCTCTTTTTTGCAATTGATGCATGTGTTGCATCAAAGACATTTTGAGATCCATTTGGACAAGCAATAAATTAGCCAAGGCTGTCATTGCATCCTCCTTCACTGCATCTAACTCCATAGCGGATATACCACTCTCAGCCTCGAGTTCCTCTCTGGCACTGTCGCTGTCACTATTACTATCATAGAATCCACTTGGCATATAATCGAGGCCTTCACCATCACTTCCGTCAGTTTCCAAAATATCAAAAGCGCTGATGTAATCTTCCACAATTATCAATTTCAAATTCTTCTTTGTTCGAGGAAGGACGGCACGTTGGTTCTTTGGTGCATGTTGCAATTTTAAGGCTTCAGTAGAAGGGGCCGGCTGATCCTCCTTAGTGGCATGAGATAAGACGTCCTCAACATTCTGCTTCTTGGATACTGGTGTTCTGCGCTTCTTCGATGGATTCAGAGGTGCTTTGCGAGGACACTCAAACGATTGGTGTCCAAGGTGTTGACAGTTGTAGCAGATGATTCATGCTCTAGATTTTTCACATTCAGACTTATTATGACCCGTTTGGTGGCAATATCTACATCAGGTAGGCATATTATTCCATGTACAATGAAAAATTTGGTCTGAAGATTCGTACCAGCTAATAGTGTGATTCAAATCTTGATATTGTGTGTCGTTCTTGTCTTTACCAATTACTGCATAATCAGATCCCATAAAAATACCTAATATAGGTTCAGTTATAAGGGAAGATGGGTCAAACTGATGGTCGTGATCGTATAATCGCTATCTACCGAGCGACAAGGAAGAGCCCGAATTTTTGTTTTATTTTGAAAATCACACCTGTGTTAATAATATCGTTCTCATCGCCCTTTGGATGAATGTAGAGCTCCAAATAACAGTGTGGGCCGTCACTGAGAAATCGACGCCCATGTATTTCGGGATATTGTTCGAGTACGATCTGAAGACTTTGAAAACCTGTATACTCGCTACGAATTTCGGTGAGATCAAGTAAAAGGGCTCCGGATGGTTTGGCAGATCTATAGATGCGGGACTGAAGAGTCGAAAGCTGGTCCTCTGCTTCGACATGAGGTTGTTATATGCTTTTGTAGATCAGTGAGATCCTCTTCTTAGCTGCTACGATCTGTGCATAGGGTGGTTTAGTTTTGGTGGCTTTGGGAGGCGAAGTGGCTTCCAACTCCGCTCTCGACGCCAAGTGTTGGTTAGCGGGTTGGATCAGACCTACTGTCATGTGTGCATGTTTGTTTTGGTTCGCTTCTTCGTTCTCTTTCGCGGTTTTTCTGGTGATTCTATTATGTTAACAAATCTTCAAATTGGAATGGTACATGTCTCTGATGTTCTTTAAGGTACATACAAAGTTTGGTGTGATTTGGTCCAGGTCTGATTGTACAATGGTGTTCCAAAGGTTTCAGCCAATGGTTCTGTCTTCTGTCAGACTCAATCAGATTCGAGTCAAAACCACCGATCGGTGTGTCAATTGTTGGGTCTGGGTTTCAATTGTTGTACTTTTTTTTTTTGGTTCCTTATTTGTCCTACTTCTTCCGTATTTTGTTTCATGATATTTTGCTGTGATTTAATTGTGTATTTTATTTTATTTTATTTTGTTTATTGTATTTGACAGTTCATCTCAGTTTGAATCTGTTGAATTTTATAATTTAATTGTATTAATTGTTCTCCTGTTTGACATTTCAAACGTGATTGTTTTTGGGCAAGTTTGATCTGTTCTAGATTAATGACAAGCAATTGTCTTTGTAGAAATTTATTCTAAAGAAGGTATAAAAGCTTAAAGAACTTTAGAAGGAATAAAAGATATCAAGAAATCAAGAAATCAAGAAATCAATCTTAAAAATCTTTTTATAAATTTTCTTTTACATATATCTTCATTGTCTTTTGAAGGAACTGTGCCTAAGGTTATAATCTCTCTATTTGTGTCTATCTCTCTATAATTACAATAGTCTTTACAGTCTTCTGTTGTTAATTATTGGTTTATCTCTTTTATTTGTTGGTCTCGTCGTTCAAGGTAAACACAAAGGGAAAGAGAGGGAGTTGTCACTACATTGGCTCATTCCAAAATTTTCTGATCGAGTTTTGTTTTTCATCTTCACGAACCTCCGTGGATCCTCCATGATCAAAAATATAAATTTCATCCAATAACCAAACCAATGATACCATTCGATTTCTGGGCTCAAAAAAACATGCTTTAAATGAAAAAACGGGCTATTTTGATAGTGTGGTTGTTGAGTAATGGTCCATCAAAGATTGGCATGTTTAAGCTGTGCTTTGAGCATTTTAGCTCTAAATGGTATATAGAATTTGCTAGATACAAACTTATAGAACATATTGTTTGCTATCTAGCGCGTCAAAAAACAAAGAAAAACAGAAAGATATGCATCTTTAATGCAAGTGTAGGGGGTAAATGGACATAGGACTTACTATGCAACTATGCCGCGGAGATTGAAATGGAAGGTGACTCCAACTCTTTTTGCCGCCGCAATAAAAATCAGGCTTTTGCTGAGAACTGTATAAAGACGCAGTTATTGGGCTTTGGTATAGTGACAAAAGTTGTAGATCGTTGGTTTCTGAGTCCGTTGATATAGAAAGCATAAAAACTTTGCTGCTAAAATATTGATTGAATTGGCAAAAACGTTTTCGATGTTTTTCACTCTTAACGTATCATCTTTATAGTACAGTTGGCAAGCGAACACATTTATTAAAAACTGCAGCGTCTGGTGCACATTTTGGGTATTTAAACTTGTCAATAACTCTGTTTTTCATTTTATAGCATCAAAAATAAGATCTTTTTTTTTAAGTTGTGTTTATTGATTGAGCCGCGTACACTAAGAGTAATGGTCAAAGTGAAGAGGCAGGTGCATTTGAGACAGTGCTAAGAATTGATATAAAAAATAAGATCAAAAGTGATTAAACGAGCTTTTTTCATGACTAATACCCTTTAGTCGAATGGTCATGTTGGGCAAATTCTATAAATCGCTTTTTTTTTGTCCAAAACAACTCCAAAGGTACCTTGTATATCAGTGAATATGGTTTGACGGAATTCAGCGTATTTATACGTGTAGTAGCAGGCTTTATGACACCTTTATATGCCTAAAAAAAGACAAAGATTCGTATGGATTGTTGAAACATGTATTTGCCTGGTTTTTCTACCACATGAATAAACAAGTCATGTCATACCAGGTTACTTAAAAGAAAGAGATGAAAAATTTATTTTGATTTTATGATAGGTAGCCTTTAGAATATACATTAAGCATAGTACAAAGTTTTGAGAGTATATCGCTGTTTGCAAGATTATTTTTTTTGTTCTGAACTTCATCATTGCTCAGATCATAAGGGAGGAAGCAAGTATTTAAAAACTGTATGATATACTGTTCATTTGCTGTATAAAAGACACAAGATTATTAACATATATGCATCAGATGTCTTCTTTTTGTGTACTTAGTGAGGAGAATATTGATTTTTTTGTATTTCTTCATGTTCAGCCTGAGACGAAGTCAACTCCTTGCTGACATATGTTTTAAACTTGATATGGTTTTGGTTTGTTCTTAGTCGGTAAAGGAGCATCGGCTCCGTGGGATTATCGCAATAACAAAGTTCAATATCCCCCATATTGTCAATCAACTTGGATAATTTAGAGACGTTTGATTCATTATAGAGCTGATAGTAAAAATATATAAATTGCTTGTTCTCTATTGATAGTAATCATGATAGGAAAAGTACGTTGTTACAGGACAAAGGCAGAGATCGCAACAACTTGTAGAGATATAATGGAGTGACAAGTGCTAAAATTTAATGTGGTATCAAGTAATACAACAAAATTGGGATTCAAAGTAAAAGAATAAGCTTCTCTTGCTTTTTTTAAACATTATTTTATTTGAGTCATGGACTGAAGCAGACTGTTTGACTCTCGTTCGTATTGTTTGAATAGTGTCTTTAGTCGCTCCATAAATAGTGGGTCGTTCTGGTGTGTATAGAATGTGATAGTGAACAATGATTTAGCATCTACTGTTTTTTTCATTTTACAGATAAAGCTCGTTTTACAATGTACATCATTATAAATAGATGTATCATCTATTCATAAGTTAAGTAACACAATGATGTCGCATTTTGATTTACCTATTCTTCCTGACCAAAGAATTCTACCATCAGGACACATACAGCCACTTAAATTGCCTTCGAAATGCTATTCACAATGTCAATTGACCATCATGCGTATAAAACAAACCTCTGATAGAATATAATGCAATTTGCCAGCAGCAATGTATTCTGATGTTGCCACACAGTGTACAGAAAACACTTGGTCGTTTCGTCTTTGTCGTTTTCTTTTACTCAACCATTTATTGTATTGATAGATAAGATAACTTCTCAATGTTGTCATTGTTTGTCGTACACTGCTTTTTTTTGAGAATGAAAATCGAGTTGCTGTCACATGAAAACGGGTTGTCTGAACACTTGGCTTGTATCGAACAAGAGTATGCATGATAGTAGGTATAAAACAAAAGGGTATAACATCATTTTCCATACGCGGAGGAGGAAGCACACGGCTATCATCATGAAAACAATACGCAAATTTAGAATCATGATGACTTGTGTTCATAGAAGCTGCCGATCTTCTTTTTTGTCGCTGTTGTAATAATTGAAAAGTAAGTTTTTGAACATTTGGGCTGGTAGACACAGTTAGTGAAACAGAGCACAATAGAACAATCTTACGCTTTTTCCATAAGAGCAGATAAGATTTGTTCATGACTCAAATCTCGCCACAGTACTTTGAGTGTTTCTCGAGTAGGGCCATCTAAATCATTTGAATGATAAATGGAAGGTGATCTCAATTGGCTGTCATGCCAAGGATTACAGCGAAATGAAAATGAATGGATAGAAAGTGACATTGAAGGAGTATCTTCACCTTTTAACAGTGGAAATGAAAGCAACCATGGATGTGATAGAATATCATTTGACTATGAACCATGTTAGCGTAGTTTTTTTTTTTTTTTTGTTGAACTTACACTGATACGTTTGTTTGGGTTCACAACCAACATGCGATAAACAAGGTCCTTTGCAGAAGATGAAACCCAGTCTGGCAATTGTCTAAAACGCCCTCTCTTTATTTTGCCTAGTAATCGACCAATGTGGCGGTCATCAAAAGGTAGTTTTCCAGCCAACAAAACATACAGAATCACACCAGCAGACCATACATCTGCAGCTGGACCGTAGTAAGGAATTCCCTAAAACAGTATGCTTGTCAATTTCATAAAGATAGTGAAGACAGCTTACTCGGACTACTTCTGGACTAGCATAATGTGGCGATCTTTTTTTTAAAGTTAGTAATCATCATGATATCATAACAAGCTTCTTTTTTTTTTTTTTTTTTTTTTTTTTTACCCACAGCTTGTTTTCAACAGTTTAGTAGTGGATTGCATGACTGCCATACCAAAATCAGCAATTTTGATCTTCTTTTTTGTTTGATCCAACAGAATGTTTTCTGGCTTAAGATCTCGATGACTATATCAAAACATAAGCATATATCAACAGGCTCTGTTTGCTATTTACCATATATGACGAGCATGGCACCAAGCTAAAGCGCTGATTATTTGACTGAATAACTGTTTAGCTTCTGTTTCGGACAATCCATTGTTTTTCTTATCACTCAGAGCATAATAAAGTTCTCCTCCAGGCACATATTCAGTAATGAAATAAATGTTTTCATTGTCTTGTAGTATTTGATAGAGTTCAATCAGATTTGGGTGATGTAACAATTGGAGGATAGCTAATTCTCTTTCTACTGCTTGAGTGATTTTAAGAGAAGAATAGAGTTGAATGCGTGGTATGATTTTGATAGCTGCTTTTTGTCCAGACCATTGATGAATACCTAGTTTTACTTGGCCTAACATGTTGAATATCATTGGATCTTAATATATATATATATATATATATTACCTGTAGATCCATAACCAATGGTGGAGCTCATGATATAATCACCAATGCTGTCTAGAGTGGAAGGAACAGTTGAATGCTCTTTAGACATCTTTATAAAACAAAAAAGTAAAAAAAAAAGTAAAAAAAAAAAGAAGAAAGAAAGAGAGGAAGATCAGATATAAATAAATGGGTACACATACAATCTAACACTTAACCAATAAACTCATTTTTACTATAATCATATTGCATTGATCATCCTATTCCTTCCTAGTCACATGCTGTCTTTAAGACAAGGTTTATTTTATACATATATAAATAAGAAAAGGGGAGGCAGTAAAGCAGGAGAAAGACCCTGAATATTATTTCTTTCGAAGAGGCTTTTTCTTTCTGGCCTTAAATCCTGATTCATCACTGCCAAGTTTACGCTTCTTAAATGTCACTACTTCTCCTTCTTGTTGTTCTTCCTCGGGAGCAATGTCTAAATCAGCAGGAAATTCCTTTTCTCTTATCTTGAAACTATGTAGATTCTCTTCATCATGTTCATCATCGTCTTGAAATTCAGGTCTTTGATCATGCGTAGTGAAAGCCTGCTTCTTGTTTGTTTCGTCTGCAGGAGGTGGTGGAGGTGGCGCAACAGGTTCCACTGTCTCCCATTCACCTACTTTAGCAACTTCCTTATTCAATGCCCATTCTTCTCGTCCCTGTAATACTGGCAGTCCTGCTGCTATGGCTTGTTGACGTAGTTCTTGAATGGTAGGAGGGGCTGGATCATTAGGTATAATATGATAGTCTAATACTTTGTCGGGTGCTGAGGAAGAAGGCGCACGCGGTAAAGGAGCAGGCATGCTACTTTTAGTCCCTAGCGCTACTGCACCAGCAGCTGCCTATACATCATTTAGATCGTATCCATCAAGGTATAGACTTACCATTTCAATACGTTGAATTTCACGACGTATATTCGCTGCATCTTCTTGATCCTGTCTTCCCTTTTTGAAAATGTTACGCATGAATTGCTCTACGCGTGTCTTATGTGCACCCCCAGCTTCGTGCAAAGCAATCGACTGGATAAAACATAAGTCATTTGGACTATCAGTATGAATAACTTACGGGTTTATTGTTTTGTATGTACTTTTTACAGTATTTGCACCAATGTCTTTGTTGTGAGACCCAATAGTCAGCCCTAGGCATGACATGTGAGTTTAACCTATAACTTTTTTTTTTGGCTTACATTCTTTTTTTATGTTGAAAGAAAAAAAAAAGAGAAAGAAAAGGAAAGGAAACATATTTATTTGATCAAGTGTGACTTTGTTTAGACATCTCGCATCATACCCTGAGTAGCAGTATACAATTTGGGATCTTCTTTTCCTCCCGTGATAATAAAGTTACACAGTCGATAAAGAGCACCCACAGTAACAGCAGAACCACCTATAATGCCACACAATCTGACAATGAAATGCAAAAATGATTGTTGACGTGCTTCACTGATTTGAACAGAAATAGGCTCAATATCATATCGAAAGAAAATACCGGGAATGGTCTGTCCTTCTTGAAATGTCTTGTGTGAGTCAATGACAGCATATTGGTTCGTGAGCAATACATTCTTTTGATAGTCAATATAAGTGGTAGGTACAACGGAAATAGCATATTGAAAGACTTCGAAATCTAGTCTGTGTGAGAGTCATAAAAGTATTTAAAGACAACACTTACGAGAGTCTGAAATCTCCATACTGTTGTCTAAAGGATTGACCAAATCAGGATAAAATTGACCAAATGAGAATTCATCAATACGGTGTGTAAAATTAAGCACTAAACAAGCATCAGTCATGACAGATCAAAAGAGAACACTTACAATCATGGCTTGTGTGAGCAACTCTGGCTATCTTATTACTTAGTCATTGAATCATTACGGGATACTTACCATAACCATGACCATCTGAAGTAATATGAAGATTGGAAGCAACCTTATTCACATTCAATGATCCATATACTCTACAAGCACCCATATCATCTATAAAGACGAATAAATAGCTTGTTAATACAGAATATTTTCTTACTAGCCACTTCATGACTGTATTTCTTTCCAGAAGCAGCTTGAATAATTTCATGAATATATCTAGGGTCTTCTACTTTTCTAAATGATCATTCAGTATATATGTATTTTTTTTTGATGTGCCTTACTTGTCCCTAGTTGCCGTTCCAGTAGAGAATTCAGCCTATAAAAATTAGACCCTATTATCATTCGTTTTATGCCTTACAGGAATAAGCCTGAGTGCATCTGTTAAGCGAGTTCTTTGGCCTGTAGCATCAACCACATGTACCATTAATGCTATTTATTAATCAGTTGAGACCTAGAGAACATAGACACTTACAAGGACAAGGCATAGCAATAGTCACATCAATATTGATTTGCATCTTGGTATCAATGGTTGAGTCTACAATAAACTTGTAATTGGTATAAATCTTTTGATAACTTGTCATTATTAGCCAGTTTATCTCTCTTGTCTTGACTTGACTCACTCTGAAAACTCGCTTAAGGCTAAGAAGCATAAGCAAAGCGCGACCAACACAGTTAAAAGACCTCCTTTTTCACTGCGTTGCTGATTGTCATCTTCGGTCTTTGGAAAGGCATCAATAGCAGCTGCTCTATCTGCTAGTTTGCGTAAAAGCATCTGTAATGAAGAGAGTATCGAGATGAATAACTGGAATCAACCGCTTTTTTTTTGAGGTTGCTAATGAGCCCAATTTTCCGGTCCGGATTCAACATGCGCATTATCATAGTTGGATGTCCGATCATATGAGATTCGCGATGACGTTGCTCAGCACGCTTATGGCATTTTAATTCCATTACGCGTTGCTTTTCTTCTTTTATTTTCTTTATTTGATCAAGTTATTCACATCATGGAAGAGATTGGCATTCATATCAAACCCGAGGTAGAATAAGATTGTACATGGATAACACTTGCTCACATTTAACGTAGACCAAGGAATTAGTGGGTATTTCTAAATCTACTCAACTGGAAGACTTGTCAGAAGGCGACTTGTATGTCAAATTGAAAAAGCTTCAACGCGACTTGGAATTCATTGAACTTCAAGAAGAATACATTAAAGATGAACAAAAGAACTTGAAGCGAGAGCTTGTTCGAGCACAGGAAGAAGTCAAACGCATCAAATCTGTCCCACTTGTGCTTGGACAGTTCCTTGAGCCTATTGACCAACACACAGGTATTGTAGGTTCTACTACTGGATCCAACTACGTTGTTCGTATTCTCAGCACGATTGACCGTGAATTATTGAAGCCAAGTTCATCGGTTGCCTTACACCGCCACTCAAATGCACTTGTGGATGTGTTACCACCTGAAGCCGACAGTAGTATTGCTTTGTTAGGTGCTGATGAACGACCTGATGTTGGTTATGCTGATGTGGGTGGTTTGGATATCCAAAAGCAAGAAATCCGTGAAGCAGTCGAATTGCCCTTGACTCACTTTGATCTTTATCGCCAGATTGGTATCGATCCTCCTCGTGGTGTCTTGCTTTATGGTCCTCCAGGTACAGGTAAAACCATGCTTGTGAAAGCAGTCGCACATCATACCACAGCCAGTTTTATTCGTGTGGTGGGTTCTGAATTTGTACAGAAATACTTGGGTGAAGGTCCACGTATGGTGCGCGACGTGTTCCGATTGGCACGCGAAAACTCACCTTCCATTGTCTTTATTGATGAGATTGATGCTATTGCTACAAAACGTTTTGATGCACAAACAGGCGCTGATAGAGAAGTACAGCGTATTTTACTTGAATTGCTTAATCAAATGGATGGTTTTGACCAGACTTCAAATGTCAAGGTCATTATGGCTACAAATCGTGCTGATACACTGGATCCTGCCTTGTTGCGTCCCGGTCGTCTTGATAGAAAGATTGAGTTCCCTACACCTGATCGTCGTCAAAAGCGTCTTATTTTCCAAACAATCACATCCAAGATGAATTTGTCTGAAGAAGTTGATTTAGAAGAATGTAAGTGTATGTGTTCATATGTTCATTATTGACTCAAATTTGTGTCTAGTTGTCTCACGACCTGATAAACTGTCTGGTGCAGAAATAGCTGCCATTTGTCAAGAAGCTGGTATGCATGCTGTCAGAAAGAACCGTTATGTTATTCTAAGTAAAGATCTGGAGAAGGGTTATAAGGCCAATGTTAAGAAAGAAGATTCCAACTTTGAATTCTATAAGTAAAGATCTTATGTCAGTTAATAAACAATTTTTTTTTTATATCTATGAAAGCAGTAGACATACATGTCTATTTTAGGGAAGATCAGATAACTTCTATTTTTTGTCATACACAAGTCCGTTTCAATTAAATAAAGCAGTGTACTAGAGAGTCTCTTTTTTAACACGTCGGCGAGAATCTTGGTAGTAAAAGGAACAACATTAAAAGTAAAACGACCAATTTAGAGGCTAATTCGTGGTTTTTGAGTAAGATTGTTAGTAACCGTCAATAAACTGTTGTCAGTAACCGCTAATATTGGAATGCTCTTTAGTAAGACTACTACATGTTATTAAACATGCAGCTAACCGGTAAAATGCAAAAGCTGATTAGCATAAAGTCTTTACATAGATCCAACTTGGAGTAGCTTCGCTTTGGCTCACTTTGCAAATGAGGTTGATGTCGTCACATTTTATTACATTTATTGTATAAAGAATAAAGTTGTATGCAAACGCATTAAAGACATAACAATAAATCCTAGCTTAATTAGCAGTCGGCCTGTCACCTATACAAGTGTCTCATATCATGATATTATAACTTTGTTTTTTAGTCTAAATTCCAAATACAACCAAGAATCATCAGCTCTACAGGAGTATTTTGTCACTGCCGTTGCAATCAAGGCGAAATGTTCCCAACTAATTCCAATACCAGTACTATTACTACAACCGATACCAATGGCAATAACAGCAGCAATGCTACTACAATGCCAATGCCAGTCCTAATGCCACAGCAAATATATTTGATGGTGGATTGGATACCAGTACTACTACCAATGTCAATAGCAACAGTCATACTGCTACCGGTCCTAATGCCACTAATGATGACTTAGATGTTGATACTGACAATGTAAAATTCAAATTAACAAAAACGTCAAAAAGAAAAATATAGGAAGAGAGCATGTATCACCTTAGAAGCCGAATCAGAACCAACTGAGATTGGTTTGAGAACGACAACTAACCGCCCATTGGCGTTGCTTTTACTGTAGTTTAACAGAGAGATATATATATATATAAATGAATGTTGGTTACACAATCTGATTTTCACATGATTCTCCAGCTATTTTCTACCATTCAAACATGATTATCTGATAAAAAGCAACACTTTAGTACAAATAAAAGAGACAATTGTTCATTTTCACCCTATCAGACCAATGCAGAAAAAGAAATAAAGTCCAAATGGTCATGGTAGAATACAAGTCTTTTGTGACAGAACATAAAAAAAAAGGAAATTCAAAGCAATGTACTGTGTTACTACAACCTATCTAGAACTCATAAAAAAAAAAGAAAACGGATGTTGTCAATTTCTTTGTTTTTGCTAGAATTCAAGATGAATAAATCAACTTTTATTGATCCCAAAATACACTGATCGAATGCAGTTCTTAATAGTATGCGTTCCATATCATTGCACAAGAAAGAATCACCAGTAGAATGCATACATAGAGTTGGCTTTCAATTGAGTCAGTGCGACTTGAGAGTTATGTTACAAAAAGCAAAGTGGGGCGATTTATGCTTGGTATAAGTCAGAATTGGTCTGATTCTATTAATTAAAGAGCCAAGTCTCAAGTAATGAAAACTTCAAAATAAACAGTATTTTCATTTTAGTGGGTATTGGAATTCAACGATAGGGACTATTTGAAACCTGAATAATCTGATATGGACTACTTACTTGAATCAAGTAAATATACCATTATCAAGCGGTCATGGTATTTTTATTCCAACTACATCTGACTGCTTGGGAAAAATGATTCTGAAAATAATACCCAACAAGGAAACCTGCTTCTTGATCTCAACCAAAGCTATCCATATTTAACAAAACAGAAGCAAAGGAACATTCGGACACGTACATGTTGTTCCTTGAGAAGCATAACCATAGGACTGTAGAAGAGCTGTGAACTTCAAGTTTAGCGCGTTCTATAAAAAATTTGCCGTTTGTCCCACTCTTTTTTTTTTATCTAATACAAACCCCGAGAATCTTATCAGATGTAGAAATTTTTTGGCAACACATTGTGGAAGTTCTCGATGTTCTTCACATAAATAAAGGCAAGAATTCTCGTGCTTTCTTTCGGAAATACACTTGCCTATATGGCAAAGATACTCCTTCAAGATAGATGGATTTGATTGAAACAGCCAATGGTACAATACGCGATGTTTCTTTTTAACATTGGCTACAATAGCATTAAAACAACTCATTGTCAAGACCATTTGTTGAAACACACAAAACATAGATTGTAATAACAGTTTAGTTCCTTAGAAAAATAGCATCAGGTTTCCCTTATGTGAAACAATAAAAAGATCAGATAAAACAAACGCAGTACAAAAGATTGTGTTACTAGATCCTTTCTTTTATATAGGCTATTTTAAATTTGAATTTGATGTTGCGAAAAAAATCCATGTAACCATTCAATGAAAGAATTGTCTGTGTTTATCCGCTCAGTAAGACACTCAGCTTTCAATGGTACTCAATCAAAAGCAGAAAAAAAAAAGAAGGGTACATGTCTTTTGTGACAGATACTGAAAGAAATATAAATACAAGCTGTTGTTTCTTTTTCTTTTTCTACATTGCCAACTTTTTTTTTTGCTTTTAAATCAAGATGCGTCCTACTCTTGCTATCTCTGTTGCTATTGCTACACTTGCTTCTACTGCCCTTGCTGCTGATTGTAATCCTTCTTACAATATTGCTTCTTCCACTGAATGCTATACCAATTGTAATGTTGTATGTACCAAATAAAAAAAATGACTAGACAGGTTTCTCATATTCAATTGATTTATAGAAAGCTGGACAAAAGTATGTCGATGGTTGGACCATGGATCACACCTCTCCTCTTTTCCTTGACTCTCTTGCTATCATGTGTAATAAGTCTGGACCCAACTATGGTAGCTTCATGACTACTGCTGGTATCTGTATGACTAGTTGTGCTGGTGACGATCCTGAATTGTTCAACAAGGAATTTGCTAGTGCTTGTGCTTGGTGGAATGAACACAAGAACGACAAGTGTACTGCGAAAACCACCACCACAACCGTCAAGACGACTACCACTACTGCCAAGACGACTGCCCCTACCACCACCAAGGACACTACCACCACTAAATATAGAACTACTACCAAGACTATTGCTGCTACCAAAGGTGATACTGCTGCTACAGCCACTGCCACTGTTACCTCTACAGCTATTGCTACTACTACTGCAACCACTACTATTACTGTTACTGCTCATGGTGCTGTCATTGTTACCGTCACCGAATGCCCTACTTCTACCCCTGCTGTTGCTTGTCAAACCGGTTATTTAGGTGTTAGAAATGGAAAGGGTCCTCTTGGTGCTTGTTGCTCTCACAGTGACGATTGTCAAGAAAGCTGCTTCAATGGCAAATGCAATGCTCCTATTGCTTCCACCTGTTACTCTGGTTCCAGAGGCAAAGGAAGAGGTGATGGCTACGAAGGTGCCTGTTGTAAAAACAACGATGACTGTTGGAACAGCTGTATTAAGGGCAAATGTAACGGATCTTCTCTTGCCAACTGTGACGTAGGCTTCAGTGGAAAGAAGTTAGGTAATGGCCCTCAGGATGCTTGTTGTCTCTCCCAACGTGATTGTAAAGAAGACTGTGTCAAAGGTATCTGCAACTAAAGCTAAAATTGAATATTGTTAGGCTTTTATCAACATATCTGTATCCAGCGATCCGGGCTTATCTATTAACCATTATATTATACTCATTCTTATTCTTGATCTCCAAAAAAATGTACTTTTAACATTGCTTCTAAAATAAATAATTCATCTTCATTGCAACATTATTTCATTAACTATACGCCTTACTTTATTTTCAACACTATAACTAAAAATCCCATTTTAAAAGGAGAAAATATAAAGTATGCGAAAGAGTTTACGAATGGCTGAAGAGAAGTATTCGTTAACAGGAATAACTACAGTTAAATTTGGAGTTAGTAATATTGTTTGGGATCATACGGATAAATTACTGAAGCCAAGAATGAAAGTAAATATGCAGCGATATTCTTTTTGAAAAGAAGAAAAAGATACAGCTAAGAAAACAAAGGCATTATGAAGTATATATCTAGATTAAGCAAGCCCTGTGTTATTTTTATATGAAGGAGGATATTTCATAAGGCACAATTTCATTGTGTTTTTTGTCTTTTGTTGCTACAGTAGCTATAGTTGACATTTGTATAACGAAGGAGGGGAAGAAGCAGAACTTGAAGAAGAAATAGAAGCATAAAAAGGATTAGAAGCATAAAAGACAAACAAAGCACGGTGCCAACAACACTTATGTCAACAGCAGTGCCCAAGCGAAGCAGCTCTATTCATCTTCCAGCTGAGTATTACTTTCAGGTATTATCTCACCGATGGCATTTCTGTAGCTTTCGCTCACTATGGCAAGGTAGTTAGCACAACGGATTCTCATTTATTCATTAGCTTTAATGAAAACCAAGTTGACTAGCTATCCTTGGCTGCGGGAAATATGTATCCAATGCGAAATCTTAACCCAAGCAGAGGGCTTTAAACTTTATTTCCCTTTTTTCATGTGAAGATGAAAATAACGCCAACGATAAAAAAGGTTGGGCTGTCAAAAGATAGTTTATATTGTACGCATACTTCAAGAATGAATACAGAACATTCTGTGGAAACTTCTTGATTTCTTATTTCTATTTCTTTTATTTGTCATTTCGGAAAAAGATAACTTACCAAATGTACAGTTTTCTTAGGTTGAGAAATGATTATAAAAGTCTATTTTGTTTCATGTTATGTTATCAACCTGTGTAAAACATGGCGTTGGCTATTTCTTTACAATAAGTTATGCCCTCTTCAACACTGCTTCCTTCTTATTTCTATATACAATAAAGGGATAGAGTACCATGTATATACATCTTTTTATTAGAGGAAAAAGTCAAGAATATAGACATATGAAGAGAATACTTGGGTTGTATTTTCTACAATATAAACAATGATGACATAAGGATTGTGTTCCTTTCCCCCTTTCTTTTTACTGGCCTGTACATTTTTAAGGTCTCAAGATGCCAAATTTTTATTTAACTTTTTACTTTATAAGGTTTATCGAAGGAAATCATGAGAAAGATAAAGACAAGTCAGTACCCATATAAAAAGAAAGAGACCAATACTTTCTTCTCTTTGTTTTACTTGTCATCCAGTCTATTCTTTCAATCAAACGCCACCTTGAGACCTCAAGACCACCTCTATTCTACTTCAAGACCTACTCTACCTTACTTTACTTTTCTACTCTCTTGGCCTCGTATGAAAATCAACTAGCCTCTTCTCATCCATCAAGGAGGTAGGATAATTATTCTAAAAAACACGTTTACTGACTCTCTTATAGGGAACCACTTGTTTCCGTACAGTGATGTTCCAAATGCCCTCTTCTTGTCGGCGATGGCATCCATTCGGCCCTGAACTACGCAGGGCCAGTTTGGGCCGGTTCATTCGGCTCTGAACTACGCAGAGCCGCGTGGGCTATGAAAATCAGCACATTAGAGGGTAGCATGATGGCTTTGGTCTTTTGGTAAGTCATATACGCTTGAAAGCTTTTTTTTTTAATCATCATTCTAGTTGCTTGTTTCCTGGTTAATCAAGGCTCTCTTTCTATGGCTTTACTTTTAAAATTCTATTTCTGGCTCTATTTTGTATTTGGTGAATCTTTTTCAAACCTCTTCTTCAAAATAATTGCCTCTTCCTGATATATGAAATTACTTACACATCATTAAAAAAAATAAACAAGTCATTTTTCCTTCTTTTCTTATCATATATAATCATGATAAATCATTAATGTGCTTATGCTTCTGTATTATTCAAAACTGCTATGTTTAAATTGAATTCGGGTAAAAGCTAGCATGTCTATGAAATAAACAGGTTTTCAATATGAGACAGACCTAGGTGTGCTTCTTTTTTTTTTTATCAAAAGAAAAGACGAAAAAGGCTACACAGTACGTTTTTTAATCCTTATTTACTTTCATCTGCTCCTTTTCTTTCTTAGAGCCATTTGTTATGAAGTTCTTTAACCAATTCATATTAAAAGTAAGCCTTAGCTTTGTGTGATTTAACATGCGAATAGTGAGTCAAAAGATATCAGTAGAACAAGTATCAACATATATATATATATGCATAAGCGTTCTTCAAAGGACTTGGGTAAAGTAAGTAAAAACTATAGACAAGGACCAGTTTTTATTTTGATATGAGATGATTATGTGTATGTGTATTAAAGTATTATTTCATTAAAGCGATGATGGTAATTTTGTGGTATTATTTAAGTTGTTAAGCAGTAAAGAGCAAGCATTGCGCAGTGGGTAGCAGACTTTTTTGTAGCAGACTTTTTGTAGTAGACTTTTTTGTAGTAGATTTTTTGTAGTATACAGTAGGCAGCAGATCTCTATATAGTACTAGCCGTATCATATCGGTAACCTTGTAGTAGAATTCAGAGGATAAGCCTTATTACTAAAGCTTAGTTCTGTTAGCTCTTTCCTCACAACAAGCCTATCAGTGCTGAGAAAGAGAAGCACAGGTAATGTTTGTGAACTCCTTGCTACCGAATCTCCCAACGGGTCTACTATGTATCCCTCAAGGCAAAGCCCTTCAGGAGTAGAGGTTTATGGAAATTGGCCAACAACAGATACGGTTGGTTTAAGCGATTCAATAAGCGGCATCAGTCTTCGTTCTACTAGTCAGTTACCAATGGAAATAAGGCCAGAAAGAGAGAGAGAGAGAGAGAGAGAGAGAGAGAGAGAAGCAGAGAGGGTCCTTGTCGAGACGCGTGTTCTTTTTGTTTGTTTTCTTTCTTGGTTTATACGAAAAGATAGATAAACCATTTATCGGAATACGTATTGAGTAGTTTGAGTTTTTAGATTTGCAAAGAAGAGACGCCTTGGTATGGTTTGGCTTGACGAAACATCAGAAAAGAGGCTAAAAGTATTAGCTAAATCAACTCAATTTGCATACATACCTCTTTGTTTTCTCCAAGACTTGAAAATATGAGAGAACAAGATAAAGAAAGAAAGAAAAAAAAAGCTGCTCAAGACTCGCCTTTTTGTTTTTTCTTTTTTTTGTCTTTTTTTTTGTCTTTTTTTTTTTGTCTTTTTTTGTTCTCACTTGTGTAACTTGGTTGAATCGAATGTCCTCATCCTATTTCAATCTAAACAAACTAGACCAATAGTTGGGGACGATGTCTAGAACTAGTCTGTGTTTTATTTTGAGCGAAAAAGAGAAAAAAGAACGAATGTACGTTTTGTAGCAAACTAGAAGAAAAACTGTAGATTTTCTAGGGCCTGCTTTCAGGGAAAAGAATGATTGTCCGCGGATCTAAAATGACTATTTTCATGCGTATGCATGGTGCATGGACCTACGGGCATACATATGTTTTATATGAAAAGAGACACGAAAAGAGACAGTAGGCAATAGTAGCAAGTAACTTAGATGTAAAATAAGCCGTCTCTTTTTTTTTCCACTTATTTATTTATTTTGATATTTAAACAAGAAAGCTTTACATTGTTTCAGAAGGTTCTTGAAATGGAAAAGATGGAGCTGAAAATGATAACAGTTTAAAGTCCTCTGTTCCGAAATAAAGTCCGCATTCTTGTATGTTATGGGAAGCTTTCCTCATAGTCAATAATAACACAGAGAGAATCATTCATTTCAATGAAGAACAACAGACCCATCGCAGAAAAAAAAGAAACAAAGAGTTTACTTTTGCGTCTAAAAAGTAAAAAAGTAAAAAAGCAAAGCATTACTCGTATGTTTTGTGCACATAAACAACTTTGGATGTAGCACGAAATCAGGTGTTTTCTTTTATTTTTATTTCTCTCCCTCTCTATCTCTCTATGAGCTCATGCTTATCAAAATAAACAAATGGAAAGGAATGGAAAGTAGAAAAAAAAGAATCGATATAAAACTACGCAACGCGTCTTTTTTTCCCTTTTTCTTTACTTTCAGCTGCTCGTTTCATGGTCCGGTCCCTTTGAGGTAAGTGCTCGCCTTCTCAATATCAGCGCATGTACCAGCTCCGGTGTGTCTGTTATAGTCAATGATTGCGCTTTTTATCGACTGTGCTGGCTTTGCGATAAGGGAGTGTATAGACGTTGCCGCCGGTCAAGCATGATGGTGACCGTTGCTATTGATGAGGGAGGTTTCTCTAAGGATCTGTAACACTATCAATCTGCAGGCGGTTGACATGAGTCAGTGAAGAGGGCCTGGGAGTACAAGTCAGTTGCCTTCTCGCGGCTACTCCTGTGAGTAACTTCTCCATGAAGTGAAACTAAAGACTGACGCCATTTATTTTTTTTTTTGAAATAAACACATGTATAAAATAAAATAAAAAAAGTAAAGTCCTCCATACTTTCATACCATTGTCTTGTCTATAATAGTAGTGTGTTTCGCATGCAAATGAATATTCTGCTTCAAAAGATTTGTGTAAGGCAATAGAGAATGAAGTTGTTTTTGACATGTTTGATTGAAATCATACAGATTAGTACTGGCACGACAAAACTATTATGAGGAAATAAATTTGCATTCACTTAGCCTTGATAGAAAAGAAAACGAAATAGTCTTCAAAGCAGAGAGTATCTAATACCAGACATTTATTATTCGTTATATCTAAAACTGTGTGTGTATTTTTTTTCTTGACTTGAAAGTGTCAAATGCTATAGTCTGACTTACTTTTCAATGTTATGCACATCGTTTGGTACTAGAATGAGTACTCGCTCGCTAATCGATGTCAACTGAAAAGGGTCTCTTTTACATCCTTCACAATGTACAACAGACTTTGAATGCTGATTTGAAGACAATGCTTAAAAAAAAGAAAGAGAACGTTTGCTCATGAAAGCGTCATAACTCATTAAATCTGGTACAAATGACTACATGTTGCCATCTGTTCACAGCTCTAATTTGATTGCTTGCTTTATCTATAGTCAAGATACATATACCTTAAAAGCTACAATCTTACATCTAATTATGCAGTCATTGTCTTATTGCTAAAATGTCTCAAATTAAACAGAAAATCTTATGCATCAACCTGTCAATCACACTGAGCTGTTTAGAGATTGGCTGGTTCATCTAATGCAGATCCTTGTACAGAAGTAGCTAGTGATTCATCTGAACCAATTGTACTATCTAAGATTCCTTTATGGAACAAGGACCTCTGCAGAGCATGCTGAACCCTTATACAAGCAATCATCTAAAGATATGACTCAATGAACTGAATTATTTGTTTCGTTTTAATTTTCTCGCTCTTACTTGGATATTGGTAGAATAGCAAGGAACATTATGGATGGGTATGGGTTGACATAGATGAAAACGCGTTATAATGAGTGACTATGGATGACCATAGATGACCATGGATGGGCAGAATAATAGAAGAACTGTATGTGTTTTGGCCTTTTGAAATTAATTTGCTCCTTAGCATAATAGTCTTGTGAAAAAAATTCTTTGTTAGTTTCTTGTGCCTCCTTTCTTTAACAATATATGCAAATTTTATACAGTTTCATGTAGATTTATGTTAATGTTTTGACAACATTTTTATTTTTATATTGTTTTTTATCACAATTTCTTTTTATATTTAATTCTTTTAAAGTTAAAGACATTACAGCAGAAGCAATGGAAGATCCTAGCTAAACCTTTACTCAAATATCGAAGAAAAATACAATCGCTTACGCTGTGACGAGAATATATACTTTTTTTTTTCAAATCTAAAAGTAGTTATCTTCCAGAAATGTATTTCGGTTGACACAAATAACATACTTGCACACTGTTGTTAGTTTTTTGAAACTCATACTTAAAGTTTGCTAGTTTATTGATTTTGTAGAAAAGAACCTTTTGAACACATGGTCCAATGTGGCCTTCGACTGTTCAGACTCGATCAATTTATAAAAATGAATGGCTTTACTAAGCTAAAAAAAACACACCTTAAGAGAATAGGGGCAAAAAAGGAATGGAGAGAAGAGCGTTGATCTAATGGTGTGTCTGGGCGTGAATTTGTAACCAGAGAAGAAATAGAAACATTTGGTTGGGTGTTGGAAGAAGTAGATTGTTTGTGGTAGCATGTTACATAGAGGTGATTTGGGATAGAAGCAAATGTATAGAGGTCCATCTGGTACTCCAATAAAGTACAGAGCTAATGTTCTTGAGTATTGTTGTGAAAAAAAAACAACTTACGAATTTCTGAAAGACAAAGAGCTTGGTCAAGGACACTTTTGCGTTCTCTAAAGCCACCTTGGGCAGTGTCTAAGGACGATACTTGGTCTTGGAGAAGTTCTTTGATGCATTTTTCGATTGTTTTTTCCGGAGATAGTAGTCAGACTAATTAGTCAGTAGCTGACTGGGTCAGTCGAGTTGCCCTTCTTATGAATTGGGACTATTTGTATGGCTCGTCAATAGTGAGGCGTGTATGATCAACACCAGCACAGATCAAAAATACGGAAAATTAAGGAACCACTATAATTCTCGATATGTCTACAGGAAGCAGAGGTAGAGCCATAAAAGATCGCGGTAATAGCCGTAGATGTTAGAAACTTCTCATGAATGCAAGAAAATACACATGTACTTTCAAACTCCGTTAACATTCATACCGACTTACAAGTATGCCACTTGTGTATTTAAAAAAAAATAAAAATAAAAACCACTATAAAACAAAACAAAAACATTTTTTGTAATGATAGAAAAATAAAAAAGCAGAAGGTTTCATATTTTCTGCTTAAAATTAGAAAAAAGGCTACTTTTCAATTTTTCTGCCTTAAATAAATAACCGAGTCTACCGGATGATGGCTTTACTGTTTTAGCTTAAAAGAAGAGATCAATGGTCGGTAGACTTGTTTTTTATTTTGAAACAGAAAAATTGAAAAACAAGCTTTTTTCAAAATTTAAAGCAGAAAATATGAAATCTTTTACTTTTTTATTTTTTGTCGTTGCAGAAAATATTTTTGATTTATTTTACAATAATGGTTTTAATTCTAAAATAGCGGTTTTTATTGCTTTTCAAAAAATATTTTTTTGAGTACGCAAATGGCATACTTGTAATTTCGGCATAACTGTCAATATTTTTATGATGTTTGAAAATGTTTTTTTTTCTTTTTTTTTTAGGTAAGTCCATCACACTGACAACGAAGGCCTGAGGTATACAAGTCTTTCTATAATTTTCTCTATCGCTCTAGTTACTTTTTTATAGAGTTGTCACTACAGCGTAAGCGATGGAAGAAAAATGCAGTTGCTCACGCTGTGGTGTATGGTTACCATGGTTACCATGGTTACCATGGCTACTATGGCTATTATGGCTACTATGGCTGTCGTAATTATTCTGCTGCAAGAGTGAACCTAGCCAAAAAATTGATCATCAAGAGCATTCAATAAGGATATCGAATTGCAGCAGTTGTCATTTGGGAAGAGAAGACGTTGTCAACGGCTAGTAGTTGCTTTTCAAAAATGATTTTTAGCTGCCGCTTGCTTAATTCGAGTTTGCTAAAATTTATGCAAAGGAAGGGTGTAGTTGACCTGTGAGCCTGGTTTAAAATAGAACAAAGCAACTGTTATGAGATCAAGAGAGAATAGATATAGAGAAGAGAAAAGGTAAGAACACAGAGAAAGTCCGTTAGAACTTGTATAGGCTTTTATTTCCAAAGAAATGTTATCTTTTTCAATTGCTATAAAATATCGAGGTATTTATACTTTTTCTTCTCGGTCAAAATATTGTTTTGGGATTAGCTTATTGACCGCAGATTGATTTGTTAGATCAGGAGCAATTAAGAGAAATGCCTTTAGAGGAAGTTGTCAGCTCTAACTGTCACTTTATGAGGGCCATTAATAATAACAGAGTCACTAGGTTCATAATCTCTGACTATGAGGACGATGTAATACTTCTAGTAGAATGAGTGAATGTCAGTGACTATAGATCCATTGCAATTGCCATAGATGTGATCTGGTCTTTTGCCATGATCATCATTTATTGATCTACGCATACGAATTCATATATGTTCACAACAATGGAGGATACTGTGATCTCTTCTTCACCTCGATCTACAGATTTGGAGACTCATGATAATGTCAAAAGATGGTAAGTTCAATGGAACTGATGATATAAGTGCTGCTCGACAACAAGCGGCGGCTTCAGCTGCCTCACAACAAAATGGAAAGAATGACATAAGTAATGTTAGGGCAAACGTGCTTCAGCCTGATTTGATGGGCCAACAATCACCTCAACCTCAACATTAATTATGAATATTAGACATCATACAGTTAAAATCGCCACTCTCAATTGTCGTGGCTTGAGAAAATCAGAAGATACCAAAAAAAGAAAACAATTCATTAGATACCTTAGAACACTTGGATATGATACCCTGGTGCTACAAGAAACTCATGCTTCAGATACTACTATTATAGATCTGCTTAACACCTATTTTAACTGCAAGTCGAGCATTTGGACTCAACATTGCGGTATCATATCACCCTCTCATCACTTTACAATTACACCTGTCTCGGAAGGAATTGACAATGGTCGATATAGATTGACTGATATTCACTCAACTCGAGATTTGGAACATTCTTCTACTATGATACCTATAGCAACAATTTTAAATATCTATGGTCGTTCAGCGCTTCATTCTGATCGATCAGCACTCTATACTGAGCTCCTTGATATTCCAATTGTCAGGGACACGATTATCAATACACACAACACAATATTTATTATGGGAGATTTCAACCAT